CCCAGGGAAAATTGGACCCTCTCTGGCCGATGGATACTGCCTGGCCAATTTCATATTTCTTTTTGCCACCTTAGGATCTGCTTGGAGCTAGTGCTTCATTTCCAGTCACCACAGTTCTCTAGAACAAAAACAAGGTCTCAACTCTCAAGCCAACCCAAGCCAGTGCACATTATGTAAATTGGGGGTAATTGGCACGTCAACGTGAAGTTGGAACTGCACACCTGAGGCAAACTCTTTGAAAGGACAGTAATGGTGTCCTCCCTATTAAATTTCATTTTATACCTTCTTGCATAGAAATACTAGTACATTTGTATATCATTGCTGTGGTTGTAATGTAGAAAATACTCCAGGGTCTGTAGAAAAGAAAGTTATCGGAGAAGGGCAAAATCACTTTTTTCTTCAAACATCACACCCACCGACCTATAATCTCCAAGCAGATCCTACTGTGACAAGGCTGTCAGCTTTGTCACAGTATAGGATCTGCTTGGAGATCCTACAGCAAATGGAACCAAGGACCTTGATGGAACAGACCATGCTACAAAATGTCCCCACCCACCCAAAGTGTCGTTTCTCCCCATTTACAGAAGTACATTTTGACCGTAGTAGTTATACAGTAGACAAAAACACATCATTCACGTATTTCTCCAGCCATGAAATATGAATGTAGGATGTACCCAGTAGACTATTTTGTAGGGCACCAATGGCCGCTTGTGTGTCTACCTATTATTATAAGTGGCTGCAAAGAGCTTTCATTAAAATTGATGAAAGCTCCTTTCGCTGTAAAAAGTCTCAATAAGTAAACAATGCAGCCAATTAACTTGTCTCAGACAGAACAATGGGACAAAATACACACGATGTCAAGTTTCTCAGCAAGTCACACCAAGCTTTTTAAAGCTCCTTGGTTTAAAGATTTCATGACATCCTCACAAAAATACTCTGCACCTGGTGGTACCAAGGTTCAAAATTAATGTATGTTCCAACTTCCTAGTTTCTCAACATATTTCTTATCATGATGCCTCCAAATATCTGAGAAGAATAGTGAGTCCTGATTTGCACTGCTTGCAGTGTGTATTTTGAATGACAGACATTATAACAAAGGGCCTCCTTCCACTCAGACAAAGGAGGTAAAAGAGAGAACCTCCCTTTTTTGTGACAATTATCAGAGATTGCTCCCATTCTTGACCAGCTAAGGCATTATATGACACGATTATGACCATATGAAAATTTGTGGGCAATATTCACAAGAACGACTGACTGTTTTCAGCTGCTAAGCCATTAATTTCGATCCCCGAATATTGTGGCCAGTGTAATAGCAATTGAGGAACTTGATCAATTTTTTGCAAGACCTGTATGTTCTACATCTCAATTCTTACAAATAGACTGAAGGAAATAAATTTAAGTATTATTTTATTATGGCCTCCTTCAGTCAATATTGATCATGTCGGTAAAATTCTATTAGACATTAGCTTTGGAGTAGTGAGTATGTGTTTGCAGTATTGTAAGCTCTCTGGAATCTTTCTTTTTTGTGACCCTTATAGTTGGCTGAAAGGGGCAGATAGAAGAGTGTGGATTGTGCTCTCCATGCTTATTCTTTGTCCTGATAATGTCGCTTTTGCACATCAATTGGATTGGATGACTGTCTGAGCTCACCCCGACGGGATCAGAGCTCACCCCGATCGGGGTAAACTTGCCCCGTCGGTGTGTATAGACTGATCAATTCACGCCTTTCCTGGCTTTGTTTTGGGATTTTGCACCTCTTTGACCAGAACTCCCACCCCGTCGGGGTGACATTACCCCGTCGGGTTTAGTGATTATGACAGTGTCACCCCGACGGGGTGAGTACCTTACACCGACGGGGTGAGTACTTTACACCGACGGTCCTGTGATTTGGTCCTGACGGGGTAGCTGCTAGCCCTGTCGGGGTGCTGAAAAACCCGTCGGTCTGCTTGCATTTTCTATAAATGATATCTAAAGTTATGAATACTGCAGAACAATAATTTTCATATCACTATACTCCTTACATCAAGACCTGCACACTGATGTGAAACTTGAATGCAAAATGTTAATTTTTACTTGACATTCCAAATGGCCAGTGACTTTCCTAAATTGAGATGACCAGTGTTTCTTAGACAGTCTGACCTTTATATTAGGTAGCAGAACTAGAAATGCTTTCATTTCCTTTGAGTTTGAATGGGAATAAAAAGCACATCAGCTAGAATCCAAGAACAACAGTCACTATTTTCTTAATTCCCTTTACACTGTGCTCTACCTCTCATCAAGGAGGTTTACAATCTTTTAAACCTCTTTTCAAATTCAAATTCTTTCAAATTAGTTATGGACACATCAACAGCTTTGCTCTCACCTGTCTTCTACAGAGGAATATCCCAAGTTGTCCATGACAGAGGGGTGACCAGACCCTGCATGTTGCCTGTCCCTGTTGTCCCCCTGGTTGGCAGGAGGTTGTTGTGTACTGGTGCTGGTCAGGTTACCACCATACTTCACTGGGGCATGGGACAGGTACGGGTTGCAGCCAGACTGTTTGTGGGGAGGAAATACAATCGTTAACCGTTGTTCTGCTGGCAATTTTTGCACAATATTTTCAAATAATTTTAAGTCTTAACCAGGTCACAGACCCTTGACATTTTTTGTCCCGTGGTGGTGTTGTTACTTCCGGATTCATTGCGTTTTGCTGCAGTGTGATGTGTTGCACGAGAAGTAGCTCCAAATTTTACATATACAGGGCACTATATACTAGTAGATGGTACTGTATGTGCAACCCATATATATATATATATATAGGTCCCACAGGACAAGGGTTAAGATGTTACAGATTTTTTTACATCATTGGGGGAACTTGAAATGGCCAGAACAACAGATCAAGATAATAACAACAACGACAACAATTATACAGTCATGAAAGTTCATCTGTGTTGGTAGTTACATGTCTAGAGTTAAAAGTGTTCCAACACATGTTGTACAAAAATTCCTTACCTGGTGTTCTATTAGAATGTCAATGGGAAACAGGTCCTGACAGAACTCACACGGGATGGCAGCATCATCTGTGAACAAAGGAACATCAAACGGGTTGGAAAGACCAACCATTCTGCATGACAATGTCTTGCAGAAACACTCCACACAGCCCTGATCACAGCTATATCTTCTTTCTTACCCATGTTTTCCCTCCTTTCACCTACTAATGTCCAAAAAGGTGTCACCAGCAAGAAAATTATTGTGAACCGTAAATAGCACAAGTAGCCATTTGACTACCGGTACTAATTGTCTAGTGGCTATAAGGAGAACATTAATGTTAGATTAAGTAGACATTGATAGTATAAATTCATGGCCCAAGATTTGAAAGCCACTCTCTTTTAATCTGCCCTTGTATATATGGAGATAGCAGACTAATGAGTACATGTTAAACACATGTGGTGTTGCCCAATATTGACAATCAATGTCCACGTACCTCCATTGGTAACAGCTGTAGTAATGTGGTGTGCCCTGTTCTGTGGAGGACTGTGCATCAGCCCTCCCGTGTGCATCACGCCGTTGTTGTTGTTAGAGGAGCGGTCAAACCCAGGGAGCAGTGTGTCCAGCTCGTGGTCATCCTGGTCCGAGAGGTCGTGGGCCAGGTGTCTGGCCAGGACCCAGTCTGGGTCAGAATCTGGGAAGGTCAAGAATAGGGTTAAAGTCAAAACATGTTACAGACAATAACATATGTTTCTAAACTGTCTTTGATTTGATCATCATCATCATATCTTGTCGGCCCACTGCTCCAGCCAGTCCAGGGCTTCCTGGTTTGCATCGTACAGGCCTCGTTTGGTGACAGATGGTCCAAATTCGCAGTCCTGTAGGATGTGTTGCATGCTTTGGGTAGGGTGTTAAAATGATTTGATTAAAATGAAGCAGGCATATTTGGACGATATTTTCCACATGTTTGATAATTGGAATAGCACCAGTTTTTACCTTTTTTTGTTTTATTCCAAAAGTCTCCATTATCACTAGCTAATGGAATGCACCTGGCCTGGTTTATAAGGCTTGGTATTGAGATAACCAACATCCCCAACTTCTTCCATTAAATGCACGTGTGTTTGGTGCTGTTGGTTACAATATCATACATGGTGTCCCATCATATAAAACAAGGCTCCAAATACTGGGTATATGCACTTAAGTGCTGGTAAAATTGGGGCTGTGCAGGTATCCCTGATTTTGTTTTTAAAATTTTACCTGCACTAGTGCAGATGTCCAGAAAAAAAAGTATTTCGAGCCCTGTAAAACTAGCCCAGCAGGTCTGTGCCCTACCATCGCTGTGTCCTGAGCCCCTCCTGGGCTGTGAACCCCGTCTGGGCGGGATGTCTCTCCCTCTCGCCGCGCTCACGTTGGTCGACTTGTTCTTGGGTCCCTTCTTCGCTTGTGCCACGCTCCTTGGCACTGGCATGGCAACGTCTCTGTCGCTCGATATCCGGTTTCTCGTTGGACCCTGGTTCACCAGGCGCGCTCGGGCGCCGCGCGATCTCACCAGCAAGGAGTGGTCCGAATCGACTGACCTGATTGGCTGTTCCAGATCGAAGGGGTCCGAATCCATGGGGATGTCGAACTCAGAGGCGTACCGGTTGAAGATCCCGTACTGGTAGTGCGATGGGAGGTCTCGTACGGACGACTCGGAGCTGGACTTGGTGAGCGGCTTGGGTTCGGGGTACTTGCAGTTGGATGCTTCGTGCTGCAGCTCGTCCTTCTTCATGATCCTCTGGTGGCACTTGAAGCACTCCTCAGTCCTCGTGCCGCAGTAGTCCAGGTGCGAGGCCAGGTCCTTGTGGGACAGGTCGATCTCACAGTACTGGCACTGGGCTGGCCGTAGGGGACATGCATCAGTCTGTACAAGATATGGGGAAAATAGAATTAATCCTAATATTAGCTATAGATTATAATAATGATACTTCCAGTAGCTATGTCTCTTTCCTAAGTGAGCTGGAAACCTATTAACTACCGATGAAAAACAGAAATTAAAATGTTTATCTTTGGAACTTTAACAAACATATTACTAGTAAATCAAATTTTGGTTCCCAATTGACAAATCGTATGTAACTTCCATTGCTTACCTCATGCTCTTCCAACTTGCACTTTTCCACTGACATTCCACATTTGCATTTGACCTGTAGGTATGATAGTTCATACTTAGTAAAGTCTATAAATAATACATGTATGGGATCAATGTTCATGTTTTAGAGCAGTTAAGTTTGGCTATTTTTAGTGAGACACATTCATTTGCTCAGCATCTAAAATAAAGGAGCTACGACTCACTTGGGACATAATACTATAGTATTATAAATGTTGTCCTTCCCTGAATCATACTTATTTCACTTGACCAGCGAATATCGACTGAATACAGATCATTGTCACTGCCTAGATATGCATGACCAAACTACTGGGCGTGGCTGCGTGCGGCGTGGATAAGCAGACTCATTTTAGCTTCAAGGCAAAGAACAATTGTAACATGTGCCACTGCAAATTGCATTATTCAGATCCCTTTTCCTACTTACAACTGTAGTACCCATATAAGCTGTTTCCAGAACTAAACAAACAATATGAATAAAAAGTTGACTACTACTACTACTACTACTAGTATTTTGGGCAATATGAGAATGTATTACGTTAGGCGAAGGGTTAGCTAATTTCTTTTCGTTACTCTTGAGATAATTTAGAAATTAGATGGTAGAAAATTGTCCCTTAGACTTAACTTGACTCTTGATCAAAAATGTGTACTAATTAATACTCTTGTGTAAGAAACGTAGGTGTGATACCATACCTGGGCATGGGTCTCCTCAAAGTGTTCTTCCATCTCAGATCGAGGCACAGGCTCCTTACAGTGTTCACACAGCACGATGTTCCGCTGGCAGTGCGTCTGGTGCATCACGAAATTCTGTGCTGGAATGTCTCGTTTGCTGTAATATATGGAAAACCGTATACTGTTAATGAAGACTGTAATTTTTCTTATAAATGAAGCTTAAATTACTTAATCATGCAACTAATATGCAATAGTAAGTTTAATATATGATGTATATGAAAAATTACAACCTTAGCTAGCAATATACAGGAAAAATTGATACATGTACTGCTAAACTTAAAGGTTGCATTTTTTTCTCATAAATGAAACTGTTACTTTTGAATAATATAGAGTTGCCTGATTAAGTAATTTAACAAGCTGTATGTGACTGTGTTTGGTAATTTATGATCACATGACCAGTAAAGTGAAAGTGAACAACACAACTTCCTTATTCTTTAACTGCCATACTTAAAAGATGACATGAAGCATATGTTGTCTATAGTTGAGTCAACTTGAATAAACATTCCCTGTCCATCAGTTTAACCATAAACTTGTTTTTCTGGTGATAAAACCGATCGTTTACATCATTATTTCACAATCATTTGACAATCATTAGTCACAGCAGTGAATCAGCATTCGGCACTGCCCTAAGCTATATTAAAGCGTTCACAGCTTTCAGACTAAAACAAAAGATTTTTAGATGGAGTAGCAAACGAAATGTTTCATCTGAATCGGCAAATACTACTAGTACTAGAGTATAATATCTGAATCCATAAATTTTGGACAGGTGAATAAAAATCATATCTCACCAGTTACTGCAAAACTTGGTCTCCGGTTGTTCATCCATTTTGCTTGATATAATTTTGTTGACTGACGAGTGACGACACAAGCTTGGCGAAGAATCCAACTCCTAAAAATATATCGGAATGTCTGAAAAACAGTTATACAAAACTCGTGAAGGCGAATCATCAATGCCCCCCTCCCTACACCAACCGACAACACAACAACAGTGAAATTTTCTTGTCAACTGGCGGAAATACGACGACAAATTTCGAGATCGGAGCCAAAACGCGACATATCCGACAGACCTACCTGTAAAGTCTACCTTTCGAAACTTAACTGACTCATCACTAACAGAGTCCAAGTCCTTAAAATGAGGTAATGTCCTTTTTTCCAGGGGGATTCACCGCTACGAAAGTGTAATCATACAGAAAACATTCAGTAGGTGTCAAGCAAAGTGCTGTGTAAAGTAACGACTGTCCTCCCTTAAAGTTTTCACATATATCAAATTCTGATGATACCAATTGACAAAAGAGGAAATTAACTCAAAGATTGAGATAAAATCTATAGTTTGGTATTTTTGAAGAAAAAAGATGTATCTGAATGCATTTTCTACGTTAGGAAAAATACATTTAAAATGCAAGTTAAGGGCGCAACAACTAAAGATAGAACAGCCAAAACGGTGGGTCAGAGGTCAGCAGACCGATTTTTGTATCGCCGTTTCTGATTGGTCAGGACACGAACTCTCATCGACAGATCTCACGAGATTTTCACCGCCATTTTCAATTTCCATTTTCTCAATGACAGTCATACTTGCGTAGAAAAGAGACACGTGCGTGGTGGACTTACTGTGATTTCATCCTCTTCATTGCCACAAAAAGAAACAGAAATGGCGAGTATGATAAACCAAGACGAAGCCATGCAGTTGGCTGCTGAACTAGAGGTGGAAATGATGGCAGATATGTACAATAGGTAAGTGAACAAAAATGACCAAAAATTTCCTTGGTTGGTAAACGCGGAGGTCATTGGCATTTGGCGAATGGCCAGATCATCGGCGGTTGGGTGGGAAAACGTATTCATAGATTGTTGCCTTGGTAACAGTGGCTCAACAGGGCCTTGTTGTACTAGAAATATAGCCCTAGGTTGTTTTTTTTTTTTGGGGGGGGGGTATTTGTCAATATAATTTATAATAGAAATATTTGTCAACGTCTTACCTTGAAAGTTCATCTGTGTTGGTAGAAGTCATTATTCATCATAACTGTATATATTATCTCGCAATGTCCATCTGTTGAGAAATATGCAATGACTGACTACTTCCCTAATTTCTTGTGTAAGTCCAATTTTTAATCTTATGTTGAAAATTACACTCACAGTTCAAACTTGCTTCATAATTTTAATCTTCATCCCCAGGATGACGTCAGCGTGTCAGAAGAAGTGCATTCCCCCCAAGTACAAGGAGCCAGACCTGAGTAAGGGCGAGTCGGTCTGTCTGGACAGGTGTGTGGCAAAGTACCTGGAGATCCACGACAGACTAGGCAAGAAGCTGACCGAGATGTCCATGCAGGACCAGGAAGTCATGAAGAAAATGCAGCAGCAACAACAGCAGATGGCTAAATAACAACTACATTGTGTAGTAGTACACAGGACTCATTTTTTTCCTACCTTTAAACTTTGAGGACATCAATGGTTGAGAGATAAGATGTCATGATTTCATTCCAGAAAGTCATGAAGAAAATGCAGCAGCAACAGCAGCAGCTGAATAAATAACCCTACATGGGACTCTGAGACTCTTGTTGTACCTTTAAAATTTGTGGACATTGTGGATGAGATATGATGCCATGACTTCATTCCACTACAGTTCATATGAGGTTATTCCAGCAATGTTGTCTTCCACTGAATGGATGGATGGAAGGTTTGAAGATGAAACAGGGCTCGAAATACATTTTCATCTTACGTATTCTGCACTGGTACAGGTAACATTGAAAATTACCGTGCCAGACATGTTTTAACAGCACAATCAGGCTTTGTGAACTATGGATCATATTAAAAGCTACCACAGAGCCATACTAAAGACTTAAAAGATGTGCCAGTGGCGAGTGGTGTACACTGAGACTGGTACTCTGACATGTTGTACACTGTATGAGACAGAGCAAATGAGTGAGAAATTCACTTGGTACAAAAGATACAAATGATGAGAGTATTGTGCATAGAGTGGATAGATTATGCGTTACAAATACATTGTATTATATAGTGTAGTGTAGTACATGTATAATATACTGGAGACAATGTTGCAATGGATGAATAACAGTCAAGAAAACTTTAATTTGTATCTCAAAATGATGATGCAATATCATAAAGTACATGTAGTTTGATATTGAATTGACTGGTTATGAATGTTCATATGCATTCTCAGCTCCTTGCTGTCAAATGTATACATAGCAGGTCTTTCTGTAGAATCTGTAATTTTTCCATTAAACAAATTTTGAAGACAATTGCATTGATGCTGTAGTATTTTGATACATGATACAGTGACTTCTGATGGAAAATACCATACCTTGGACCACAATGCTAGACATACAATAGTCCTGTTTGGTGTCATAGTTTTTCAAACTTGATATTAGTGTCTAACTAAATAGGCCTAGTAGTATCTATCTGTTTCCAGCTTAAAACTGGTTGACGAGGTAGCCATCTCAGATAAGTTACATGTACTACAAGCTGGAAACAGCTAGATACTAGGCTAGTCTAATGCTCAAGTGCATAATAACTTACAAGTATACTTCAACCAAGTATGCTTGACCTAAGATGCCTGCCAGTCTTCTACACCAATCAGGGCTTTAGTTTTCGGGTCGGTTACTTGGTAGACTCTCTCTGCAGCAACTTGCAGCTGCTCAGTACCGCTGGTCTGGAGGACGTTCTGCTGCTCATGTACAAAGTCTGTTACATCCGTGATGCTTACGATCCAGTCCTGGGCAAAGTGGCTGAGTATCTGTAATGATATACAACATACTTAGTAACATACATAGTAACACTTAGTACGTATCAAATATGCAGAAGAAAATATGTAATTCACTATTGTGAAAAAATACAAAATGAATATGAATAGCAATCTTCAATACATCCTGCTGTCTTATGAAGCTATATATGATTATTTATCAATGCAAGTCCAGGTACAGACTAATATGTTAGGTTAATATGGAAATGAGTGGAAAGCTAGTTGTGTCTGAGTGTAGTCATCATCATCATGATTCATACATAAACATGATTCATAAGATAATATATCAAGATAGTTTTCCAATGAAAATATTCCCAAAATGTTTATACAGCCTATACAAGAAACTTGTCATTTGCCAAGTATATCTAGCTTTAAGAGCGGCAAACTGTTCTCTCAGTGCGGCATATCATCTGTCTATTTGGCCAAATTCTACTCTTTCCATCCACTTCCTGAAGCCTGGTAGAAGCTTAAGTACATCCAAAACCAAACAACTTGTTGATAAAAAAATCCTCTGTATTGTACATACCTCCCCCTTCAGCCCCAGTTGGATAGCTCTTCTGGGTAGGGATTTTCCAGAAGGGTCATGATCAGGGTCCCATTGTAACCGCACTTTTAATTGGTCCTTGGGCAGCCCAGCCTCTTCCTGGGTCTTCGGTGAGTAGGCGTTTGCCAAGATCTCGTCAAAACCTATGGGGATGCAACAAATGTAGTTGTATTAGAAAAAAAGATAACTACCTTTTAGTAATTCATGGTTGACCCTTGTAAATTTGACTTTTATGACTACCACTTTTTGAAGCAATCTTTCTATTCGCACTTGTCTCCTATTTTTACATTCATGTTTTCCCTGTTGGCTTTTATTTTAACTTATACATCTTTGGATAGTCCCAGTAATTTCATTTGAAAATCTTCACTTCTCTCCTCTGTCTTGCAAGGATGAAGAGGGTAAGTAAGTAAGTCAGTTGATGTTAAATAGATGTAACACTGCTCAGGGATAGTCTCCACCAGACTCCTTTGCAGGCTGAATAAATAATAGATTTCTACTACTAGTATTCATTAACAGCCTGCAAAGGAGTCTAGTGGAGACTAGCTCTGCGCTGCGTACCTTCCCGCGTGATCCGTACAGCCAGCACCCTCTCCTGTCCCTTCTTACTGGCCCATCCGCAGCGGTACATCATCCACAGGAAGTTCGGCTTGATCCACGACATGCGACCCCACAGGTAATGGGGACCGCCGAACCTGCGATACAACAGGTCGAATATGGGAATCAACATTTTGAATCTAACATCTATTTTTTTGTGTTCAGTTTTTATTTACATTATATTGTAGCTCATTATGATTATTGTAAATGTCTTGTCAGGAAGGCAAGCCCTTTGTAATTAAAAGTCACAGGCTTGTTGGACTGCCCTGGCTAGCTACGTGTGCAGTAGCCGTGGACGACTCTGTAACCCTTTTTGCATGATAATGCCGGGTATTATCATGCAAAAAAGGTTACAGAGTCGTCCACGGCTACGTGTGCAGCAAACCAATATATAATGTACATCAAAGACCATGCAAATTTATAATATCCTGTATAAAATGAATCACTATAGTATTAGAAAATTAAGCTTCCGGACTTTTCCTTGTTCTCTGTATCTACTACTCGTTGCAATTGAATACATTATTATAAGAACATAAAATCCTCTTCGTGTTGCAATTCCTACTGCAGTTCAATAATCCGCTTCTCGAGCCGCAATTTCCTCGCAGAGCATACCTGTAGTATAGAAGGAATCCGAGCTATTATGCATTCTAATAAATGACCTTACCTTTGGTTCTCGACTGCGTACTCTGCTATCTCTGGTCTGAACGCCTGGTACACCACAACACTGCTGTCGTCATACTGAGCCAGGATGTGCTTCCCTGTCTGAGGCCAATGTTGTTTTACCTGAGCTACATACGACTCAGTCTTCCACGGAATTTTCTCAACAACCTGAGCCATACTGAGACGTAATAACTGAGACGCCCTCTCTCTCTGTTTCGTATACGTACTCCTTCACTGTTCCTTTATCTCAGAGCAATGCAAAACGGCTATCCTCTATATATACACGTCTCTACATTACGTTGTCTCATGCAATGCGCTCGTCACAATACTAGTATTGCGTTCTCCTGTGCAATATGTATCTGCAACCCGGAAGTGCAGTCACCTAACATACTGCTTCCGGTACACCATATACTAGTAACCCGGAAGTACTTGGATGCTATATTCCACTGACGTATCCATGGTAATAACGTATTGTGATTATAATAAATGCATTATTTAATTCCATGCTTGTCGGTAATCATACTGTGTGTATTATTGGTGAAATTTTGTATTTTCGTGATGAAAAATGTAATCTCCAAGTAGATTCATCCGGGCCAAGTTGACCACTTTTAATAGTACTGCCAAATGGATACTGCCTGTATTCCCCAAGCAGAGATTGGTGGGGAAGATTATTACCTTCCTACGTCGATGAAGGTTAGACATCCAGGTAATACGATATATGAAAGAATGTACAACCCCACCCTCAACAGGGAAGGGGGGGCTACGGGTCGATCTTTCCGGCACTTGGGATTTGGCACTCCCAGCCCCGAGGGCAGACAACACTTACCTTAAGCTCCTGTCCTGTATAACAGGAGCTTTCAGACTAATTTGCATCATCTTGTCTTGACTTGTCTGACTTTTGTTCCTTTTTCGACTTCCAAAAATTTGTCTTCACCTTATTTGCATATCAATCAACAGGTTGTGTATATAAACCTGCTTTCCCCTCTGGTCTCTCAGTCACTGACGAAAGCTAGTGGATACTAGCTGAAACGTCTGACGTTTTCAAAATCATATCCAGTTGCTTGAGTAACTGTTTTTTGGCATATTACCTTCCTACTTATGCCCCGTTTTCTCTATCGCGACATAATATGTGTGTTTTGTTGAATACCTTATTATTGAAGGAACAGGCGAATGATATAGTTTCTAAGCTCTGTGTCCTGGATACTTGTGATATTATATAACTTTACATAAAGAAATTCGTTCAACAGCGAAGGCTTGGTCTGGTAAATATGCGAAGAAAACCACCACAACCGTCCAAGTGAAAAGCACTTTTTATCGGGGATGACGCATCATTAACTAGTAAACATCAACAGATGACACGTCACCGACTGCGCTCCCTTCCATGATGTATGTAATCACGCAAATTACAAGTAGGTACAAAATTACGAAAATAAATACAATTACTGTACTGTACTTCACACTACTTCCAATACTGATGATAAAAACATAACTACAATAATTTTGACCTGTCTATCCCTTTGGGATGAACTAGGAAGGATGTTGGTGCAACACCTTACGTGCTCTGTGTAATTTATGTAAGTTGTCGTTCTCAATTTTAAACCATAATCACATGTCCACTGCAGCTAGTTCCCCTACTTTTCGACATTCCAAGATCCTTCCTTGCCATGCCCGTCCCTTGTATCGGCTGACTACAGTTTTAAAACAAGATTCAACAATTGTGACATCGACCTGTATACACAGTCGATGGAAATGTAAGTGAAAAGTCCTTTCATCAACATGATGATGACCAAATGTCGCTGACGGCCGGTCAGCAGCAGCGTTTCAGAGCACCAAAAGTCGTCCTGGATGGGGTAGACTTGTGATATCTTCTAAAATTCAGCTGTGCGTGCACTACGTAATATAAATCTCTATAAAATATGGCACAAATCACGAACTTAGTAGTACTGGCGCAATTTGAGAGTCTAGGATTTGACTTTTTTATGGAAGAGTTTCATAAAATAATGTGTACTGCAACAGCCTTTCATGGGACACACGGAAGCATTAAACCACGACTACGGCCTCTTAGAGGCTCTCACGTCGCCATAACAAAATCCTTATGAACATCGACATTACTCTTTGTACAGTTAAAATCATATCAAGTGGTAAATTTCAAACATCTTCCAAGCTTTGCATGTTACAAGCGGCATGAATACTCATATGGTTCACTTCGTTTTGACGTGGTCTATCAGACATATACTCGACAATTGCAAGTAGGGCATATAGTAAGTACACAATAACTAAATGTATGTAGTAAGAAGTGCTCATTGTCTTCCCCCTCTTTAACCATCAGTGACCCATGTATGTACATTTCATGCTACCTTTGTCAGAATTCCACATTTACAAACTGTCATACATTTACATTGGATGTAAAAATGTTTTTTGTTTGTATAAATGGTCTCAAACCGCAGTGATCATAATTCGCTAAACAAAACTGATGGACCTTTGGAAATGGGAACGATTGAAACCATCAGAGTGTTGCTTGATAGAAGATTATAAGAACAGTGGTCTTTTGGCCAGAAAGCAGGCTAAGATGGCTAAGTACAGCTGAAATATGACTTTATGAGAAGGAGAAATAATTCTATGCAAAGATTCTTTAAACTGCCGCTGATTTAGTGCTGGTTTGGTGCCAAAAGCACCCCACATGAACACACAAGCACATAGACAAAGAGAAGACAGCACTGATGAGTATCCCACTGTTCCTTGGCACAGTGTCTCCAAATCACATATACTGGACAAACATCATTTACACCAATGCTGCAAAGCTTGTGCATTTTCAAACCAATGCTGGCTATGTCGAGATCCACTGGGATGGAATGTATAGACTCTTGAAGAATGAAAAGGTGTTGCGAAAACCGAATGCAAATCCAAATGGAAGGATGGGTAGATTATCTCTTCGGCATTTCCAACTGGACCCTGCAGTCCCCAACATCACTTACAGGAAAGTCGCTCAGCCACACACAATAAGTGCCTGGCAGCGTGAAGGTTTTTATTCCTGCGTCGCTTGTCTGACACATTCTGCCAGTAGCTCGTCAACTTCATCCCCATCAGCTTCTGGGTCAATGTCAATGTCCTAGAATTCAACAAAACACACACATTATTTTAGAACCATTTCTACTGTTAAAGTATGGCACTGAATTTGCATGAGTTGTGGATTTCAACAAAAAGGATTCGATTTGAGTCATGTAACAACTAGTATTACCTCATTGATGGATTTGAGCAGCTTAGAAATCAGCTTCCTAACGTTGGACAGTTTGGCGTTAGCTCTGCCAGTCTCTGCCTGTTTCTCATCTGCTTGGCTTTGGAAGTTCTTCACCAGCTAGGACAAGGAGAAAGTGAGAAGCATCCTTAAACATGTTCTGGCCATGAATGCGTCAGTAAAATGGAATGACCAAAAGGTAGACATGCTGGGGAAACAAAACAATGGCTTACCTTCTGAGGCCCTTTTCATAGTGGTCAAAGAAGTCATCCTGCAAACATAACTGTTGATATGAGTAATATCCACTCCATCTTTTATCAGCTATTTTTCCAAATCATTTACCTTCAAATTAAAATCATTTCTAAGAAAGGGAAAATCAACATACCAGTGGAAAGTTGCCCAACTCTTCTATACTCATCTGGCCTATCTTGTCCTTGTCCATAATCCACGAAGGGGGCAGGAAATACCGCAAGCAAGTTCTGTGGTGAAAATATAGCTTTCTTATGAGACATTTTCACTGATTCTGAATACTGTGAAGCAAATGGAATCATGCTGTCATGTTTTCACCTTAGCTTTTAACTAGTCACTCTGGTCTTCTTCAACAGACTGACCCAGTGTTGACGTCACACTTCAGAGAAGCCATGTGACAAGTCTCACTGGGTCAGTCTACTGAAGAAGACTGAAGTGTCTGGTCGAAAGATCTAGGTGAGAACAACCTCTTGTGTTGGAACAAAAGTTTTAACTTTAAATACGTAGAATCATTATTATCCGAAAAGATTAAAGAGCCCAAAAAGCAAGCAAGAAGTGAAAACACTGCCAAGTTATACCTATATCCATTAGATATGGCTTCATAGTTCTGCTGAGTCTGGGCGTAGCTGCTGACTGCGTCTGGCTTGGTCGTGCTGGAAGCTTCGGGCACGGATTCTTCCGAGCGAACAGAGGAGGCGGACGGTGCAGGAGACACGACTTGTGGCGGGCGGCCGGGCGAGATCGGCGCAAGGGGCAGTCTCTGTGATCCTCCCACTGCCTCCTGGTGAGGTTAACGGTGGGATTCTCAGATCTGAACTGCTCATGCCGTACCTGAAATGTACCAAGAAATAATAGCCATGGGACTCATACTAGTATGCTACAGATAAGGGAATACACATTCAAGCTGATGCAGTTAAACATTGAAATAGAAAGTTATTTTTTCCAAATTGCATTCGCAAATACTTCTGTTTATGGCTACTACTATATGACATTTATGGAAAGTAAATCCTGCAATACATGTACATACAAAATACCATTCAAGCCAATGACTTAGTTACTACTGCCTACAGAATCACGAGCAAAAGACTTAGAACTTTGAAAGATTTACCATTTGTCATACTTGTCCCTTGGATACTTGTCGAACTTGACCTTCCATCGGACTGGACCTGCACCTTCTGAGCTGGTGGCAACAACCTCTCCACCGTACCTGTGAAAATTCAATGACAGAGAAAATTCGGCAACAACCAACCCTTGGATTAGGCAATCAAAACACTGGAGCAATTTTGATGCCTTCAATCTATCAGTATCCGTATCAGTATAGCTGGTATAACCGCCCCGATGTAACACACCAGTTTAAATTCATGCGGTATAACAAGAAAATGTCTGATGCAAACGAAGCAGGCAAACTTACCAGTTCCCGTCAATCTTAGCTTCAACCTTCTTTCCAATATCTGAAACAACATGCAAATGAACAATTTCAACCAACCATTCTTCTCTTTCTGGTTACTAGTCGTTACAAGTACAATGTATGTATTTGGATATGCATACTCTAGTACAACATTGGGCCAGGAGGCCAATTTGAGTATCTCACGAATAAACAAATGATAAAGGGACAAGAGACCATCAATGAATAAATGATAAAACAAACTGTTGCTTGCAGCAAAGTGTGCATTTTGGTCCCTTACCTTCCGAGTCTTCATCCACCCCATTCTCAGGTGCCCCATTTTCAGGTACCCCGTTCTCCATGACCTCCATGACCTCTTCCTCCTTTTCAACCTCTGGTACCTTTGGCAGAATTCAACATAAATGAACTTTTTAAAAAAATCCAGCAACTGCAAACCATGCAAATCAACAGAGGGCTGATGCAGTTAAGCGATTGCCAGTCTCACCTACTCACTTCCAACCATTCGGATAATACATAATCGTACAGGTTATCATCTGAAAGCTTCTGTGGTTGAAACCTTCTGTGCTTGAAGTTATGTGTATTAGTCTAAATTCTTTCATTTTACTACAGTACAGGATATCTTTGCTGTCTTTCTTATATTTGTTTCTCTGTTGCTTTTCATTTAATATTTGCAATAACTTCATAGTAACAGTCCCACAACAAGGGCTTCTTCAATAGCTGACTTTAAGTGTGCATCAAATACATGGAAGTATGAGCAGTCTCTCAGTACCTTTGGAGCAGTAGCAGTGGAGCTTGCCCTCCTCTTCTTTGGAGGCTCTTCTTCCTCACTCTGTAACAAGCACAAAACATTAAACAAACTATTCAAACTGGGTAACACAATGTGAATAGTATTACTATTAGCTATGTTATGGTTGTACTAATGAAAAAGGACTGTAAAATGTACACACCTCACTTTCCTCTGCACTTGCAGCACTGCTGGCTCTTTTGGTAGTGGCCTTGGGGGGAGTTTCTGAAAAACAAATATGAAGAGCGTTAAGAACATGGAAATAGAGGCCTTCTTTCAAACAAATACTGGTGTCTAGTACAATCATCTTGCATTATGGTGATTAGTCTACTAGTAGCATGCAATGGAAGGGTTGAATTTGGTTGATCATCTAAAACAGGATGTTTCAGGACAAAGACACAACACGATAAATATGTACAACAGTCTATTAACATATCTACAGTGGTTTAACAGACGAGACCACTAAAGCAGCACATGACAGCCAGCAAAGTTTTGGTTATTCACATGATGTTTAAAGAATCATTAGAGTTCTTGCTTCAGTAAGTCAGCCTTTGTGTTTTCCTTTATTCAGATTACATGGCATAAGCTCTGGACTTTGTAAGGCCACACCAAGTAAATTTTATGGATGACGTCCTTTGGAGACCCTAAATCTAATGCGAGAGGGCGAAAAAAAAACAAGAAGGGCCATAAAAAACAAGATGCCTAGATTAGAAATATACTAAGAGACGACAAATGTTAGGACACATATTGAATGAGGTGACACAGTGTAACAAGCAAGAAGTCTTTTATTCATCATCAAAACAGCAATAAATCAGGTGGAATAGCAGTTGTCGTCCTGTCCTGTTTTCGCGTTACGGGTTCCACGTCAATCTGACGATTTGCAGCACTGTCGTGACTCTTTGGCCATAGTTACAGGAAGCGGAATTTCTTGTTTTTTTTTTCTAGGAACAGGCCAAAATCAATGCGCGCGCGGACGTCATCCATAAAATTTACTTGGTGTGGCCTAATAAAGCGTTGTTAAGCATGCAGCGTTTAGTAGATTTTACATTGCTCACGCCTACATTCAATAAGATCAACTTCTGTAATAAGCTACGAGGTACCATGCGGCAGGTATTGGACAGTGAATGGGGATTTCAGCTGATTTTCTTTGCAAATAGCACAGCAGCACTTTATATGTTATGTATGCAAGACACTTTGTAAGCATTGATGCACTGATACTAAAGACACTGAACTCAATGACTGTGTCCATGCATTTGGCAATGAGTGAATGAATGATGACTGCAATATCTAGTTGATTAGAATGGTGCAAACTGTCTCAGCATGCAGCTTCGTTTAATGCCAGAAATCAGTGCTACTGATATGATGATGGACTTGTTAAACCAAGAAGGTTTGCGGTCAGCAGCAGGCATGCAGTCAGCTCTAAGCAAGACAGCCAACGGACAGTTTCCCATACCTCAACTGGACATGGCTGCTGACTGACCACTTCTGTCTGGTCAACCTTTGCCGGTGACGTAATCGGCGTACTCTGAACTAGCACCACCTTTTGTTCTCTTACTGCTGCAGAGGTATTGGAGGATACCGCCGGTACCGAGGTCTGGGATTCAAGTACCTTAGCACCTGGTAGTACTGCTACTGCTGCCTTGTCTTTTTCAGGTTGTTGTGAAGGTAAGACTTTGACAGTGGAGGGGGTTATAGCTTGTAGTTTTGCTGCTGCTTGAGCTGGTGTCATGGCCTTACTTACACTCACACTTGTTGCTGCAGCTGGCTTTTTTGTTTCTGAAGGTTTAGACACTGTTGACTGGTTAGAAGAGGACATAGCTTTCTCGACCACTACCTTTGCAGGATATGTTTTTGGCTCTGGTTTGGGCGACGGTGGTTTAGCTTTTGGTGGCGGCGGTGTGGCTTTGGTCTCCCTTCTGGATGAATCTGCCCGAGTGGAGGTAGGTGTAGGAGCTGACGATTGTCTCTTGACGGGCGATGTTTTCGTGGCTTGTCTTTGGGGTGAAGCCTCGATACTGTCCCGTCTGTGACTGCTAGGGGTGGACTTAGTCCTCTGGGGAGGAGCTCTCTCCTCTATGGAGGCCCTTCTCTGTTGGGCAGATGTGTCCTGAGAGGGCCGTCTCATGGCAGCCTGCCTCACGGGCGGTGGAAGATCCAGTCTTGGTGTTGGCTTGGAAACACTCTGTTTGCAAGAGATACCAGTCAGCTTTGATGAAACAATGGTAATATCAAAACTGTGTTGTTGCAATCCTAAGCTACAGGCCTATTTGAGTATGCAGTATAAGTTTTGTTACCTAAAAATACAACGTGCTGTGTTGCTGACGAAAGGGTATGTCACCGCGCAAGGGGCGGTATACCCCAACCAATACAGTCAACCGATGATGATGATGGTCAATCAGGCAAATTGCCAGACATTCTTCACTGGAAACATGAATAACTGTATAAATAATCATTTGCCAACACGTTTGAAGAAATTAAAGAAGGTATAAATAAAATACAGTTCACACAGAAAATCGTCACCTTCCTGGCTGATATGGATGTGGCGGGAGATTTGGCAGGTTCAGGCCTGGTGGATCTGACCAGGGTGTTCACCTGCTGCCTTGACGTCACCGTTTTCACATGCTACGGGGTACACAAATATCAAATCATCAATACCTCCAGGCACAAGACAGATGTCAAGACAATGACACCAAATTTACAGGCAGACAATAATTTAATGAGTGAAAAGTGGGTGGGTACTATGTTGTTCGTCCGTCATTTTCGACGATGACCGGTGATATCACATCAGCTAAGGCAGTCATACACCTATTTGATCAGATAATCTTTGCAGTATGCATACATGTCCAGCATAGCTTTGTCTTTCAGAGCAAATGACATCTTGGAAACATGAATCTTACCTGCAGCTTTTCCAACTCCTTAGACTTCCTGGCGATGTCCTGAGAAGAGAGTTCAAAACAAATTTGAGGATATTCATAAAATACACTGAACTAGGCAAATCATCCAGATACTAGTACTGTTTTTCAAAGCAAGCAAACAAGGTATTAATGAATAGGTAATAAATAATGAATGGTACAGGTGTACCCACATCTAAGAGCTTCTGACTCTTCTCTTCTGCAGTTTTGGTCTCCTTCTTCAGGAAACCCTGTGGAATGTTTTGTTTCACCTCTGCAGCTGAACATCTGGGAAGAGTAAAAAGTATATTTCTTGGTCAATTTGCTCCAGTTCCAGCGAGGATTCCTGACAATCCAACTTTCTATTGCAATACCTTTTTTTTTCACAACAGTAGCATACTTCTAGCTGATCGTTTGAATTTTTGGAATCAGCAATATGCTACACATATCATAATTAATAAACAAATTGCTCCTAAAGGGCCTTCAAATGAATATCACATTTCCAATGTTTTGATGAATAATTAATGAGGTTCAATTAATATTTCATGAGGTTACATAAACCTAGATACAATGAAAGCTTCTGTCACATTTTTAATCAAGTAACAGCAGCAATATGCTAAAAAAGAAAGCACATAAAATATCAAAAATCTTTATTGAAACAAAGCATAGAATTATGCACCATAAAATTTCATAGGGATATTTGACAGCACAATGCTTACTGGCCTGCCAACTTCAACCCTGAAATGATAAAAAAACATGCTCCTACAAGGACTGCTATAAATGTCTCTTTATATGTTGTAGTGACAAGGATTTTTCCTTTTATGTCTTCAGCACAATGCTTACTGAACTGCTAACTTGTAAAATTCAACCCTGAAATGATAAAAAAAACATGCTCCTACAAGGACTGCTATAAATTTCTCAAGGATTTTTCATTTTATGTCTTCATGAATTATCATGAATTATTAATATAAAACTAATCCTGTTCCCTGACCTGTTCCGCTGTGTATCAGGGTTCATGGTGCAGTTCCAGGTCTCTGGGAACTCCTTGTTGATATTGCTGGCCGAGAAAGGCAACGTCCTCCACTTCAGACACTGGTCTGAAATTGAACGTTGTTTAAATCTATTATCCTCCTATTTTGCATATGCCAATGTATTATGAGTTTATGAGTATCTATAAGTTTGTAAATATTCTACAAAAAAATTAATGATAAATTTGTGTTCCTACATGACAATTGTTTGTTTTCTGCTTTTTAGTTTTCAAATGACTTATCACTTATTATGTACCACCTCAGCCAGCATGTGAGCGATGCCTTTCCAGGTGGCCTTGCTTACAGCTTCTAACTGCCAGTGTTGACGAAACTTACCACACTGGATTGTGAGTGGGAGCTGCATTGCCCTCTTCCTCTTGAACTTGGGGTCCTCCGATGGGTCATCCTTCCAGTTTGTACTCAAGTAGCCAAAATTCTCCCTACAAATAGTGAAATCACAAAACTTCTTTAGCGGGACCTAAGTAGTAATATTACGTACAAATGTATCCAGAAAACAGAAACAGCCATAAAGTCAATAAAACCCAAGGACCATGTGGTCAAATTCAAAGACTACAACCACTGCAATCTACTTACCAGAATTTGGTTACGCCTTGTTGAACTGTAACAATCAAAGAAAACTTTGTTAGGACCTAAAAGTCAATGTTTTCTCTAAAATAAAGGTAAACATCAAAGTCAGCGCCTCAGTTATCACTGCAAAGTATGTCCTTTAATGCAAATGGCGAGTCCATGGAAATTTCTCATGAAAACGGCCACAATGCCCGTCAGCAAAATTTACCTATGCCAATGTCCTTCCAGTACTGGTTAAGGTACTCTCCCATGGCCCGTAGTAAGTGCCTGTACTCCTTGGCATCAGCAAAGTTCTGCTTGTTGTGGGTGGGCTCCAGCACCAGGTAGGGGACATCCACGAACCCCAGCACCCCGCTGCAGTTCACCCCCCCTTCCGTCTGGGGGCCCACGCACTCGTACATGCGGATCAGCCGGCTGCAGTTGTAGATGAACATGCCATCCAACTTCCGCTGCTCGATGTTCATACCGAAGACAAAATTCAGCACCTTCGGTTCCTTTAAGGACCTGTCACAAGACAAAAAAACAGATATAAATATCTTCTCTCTAAGAAAACAAAACTTTTCTTATGAATGCTTATGATTATAACCTTTAGTATCATAGCCTTCTTTAGTGTACAACTAGAATGATGGACCTATATTGATCGAGCTACCCTCTACAAAAATGTGGTACCTTTTCTTTGTCTCTGCAACCTCCTTCTTGATGTCTGCGTCATTTCGCAGCATTTCTGCCTGAGCTTGGGCCTGCCTCAAGGCAACCTTTGTGCAAGAAAATCATTTAAAATGATTACAAATTTACAGTTCACTGCAGTAATCTTACATAAGTACTACCACAAATCAATTATTAATGCTACATTCTTTCTAAACATAGCCCATAATTGCAGTGCTACTCACTCTTTGATCCTTTGGGGCCACCGGTCCTACTTTGTTCTGTAGATCCCTACACAAAGAAAGAAAAACAATGCCCAGTTAGACACATGATTGATAGCTGAAACCTGTTAAGTTGTTAGTGGGGTTCACTAAATATTGCTACTGGAAGACACATACTAATAACAAGATATTGATAAGGATATTTATACATTTATCTTCAAATGTTGTTATAGTTCCATTATTATATACAGCTGCAAAATATAGCAGTTTCTTTCATCTCACCTGGCTTTGCTCTCTGCATCTCTTGCTTTTTCTTCAGCTGCAATTCAAGACACAAAATACTGTATTTGATGACTCTACTAGTAGTTTTTTTACAATGTAGATTCATACAATGTGATCTTTCCCATAACAAAACAATGGTTTCCAGCACTAGGTGCAGTGCTTATCTTCGGGTAAAATGCAAGCCTTGCACCTCAAAAGTTATAAAAGATTATATTTGAATTTAAGAGAGAAATAAGGAAAACCTACCCATCTGTGCTTCGTGGTAGGCCTTGGCAGCCTCCTTCTCAGATCTAGTTTTAAATCTGTTGGAGCTGTACTTGTACATCCTGCATATCACAAAACATGCAAGTTAGCTGCAGCACTAACTTTGTGTATTCAATACCACCCTAAACATCATCTATCACGGATATCAAAACGACTGCGTATTTATAGTAAACACCATTTCATGAGCAGGTAAAAGAAGTTTTGTCAACACGATCTTTTGTCATCAAACAAAACCAGGCACACGGTTATGTAGTATGATTCTTTGATAGTTTGATCAAGGAGATCTGATGTAGTTCATTTTCTTTGTTTTCATCATGACTCACTTGGGTTTGTACAAGCAGCTGGCCAGCCTTCTGGTGCACACTTTGCTCCCGTTGATGTATATCTTCATCCGTGGTTCGATGTACAACACAGCTGTGTACGCTCTGAAGGATCTCTTCTCTGGAGGAACACTGGAAATAACCGGCAGAGCCTGTCAAAATCATGCTCTAGTCTTCTGTGATCAAGAGATTAGAATGTTCAATGTTGACTTGATGGCAAATTTGTATCTGGATACTAAGCAATTTTCCTGAAAGATATTACTCAGAAGGGTGTGGCTGCAAGCTTCCAGACACCTATGGCCCCTCAATTGAAAGATCCAGTATCAAACCTGCCAATGCAGCATTTCTCCTGTAGTCTCTTAGTGTCACTGACGAAAGGTAGTGGATGCCCTCTGAAACTCCTGACCGTTTCCAAAATCATATCCAGTTGCTTGAGTAACTGTTTTTTTTGCATGTCTTATTATCTGGATTTCTAACCTTCACCGACGTACAATCCTGCCAAGAGTTGGCCTACTTTGTGACTGGATGCTTTAAGTTTTTTAAATTTCGTACCTGTCGTCCTCCTTGTCCACATTGGCCATGAGGATGTCAACAGAGTTGGTCGTCACATCGAGCTCAGGCTCCCCATTGTCAAGCAACATCATGTGGTAGATGATAACCAGGGTGCCTGCGACATCGGAAACATGTATGCTATTGTACATGTTGTACAAGAACCTCAATTCAATACTTATGGCCTTGCTTTATTACTGTAGTTGATGCATGCATGATGATAGTATTTTCAATTGCACGCTTTAGCTTAGCTTTTCGATTGCTATATGATTTATGTTTTGTCATTTTAATCCTGGAATATTGACAATATTCGTATCAACTGCTGCTGTAGTTGAAAAAATACATAGTTGTCCGATGGCAAGGAATGACAAAAATGCATTATACTGTAGTGATGACACACATTAAAACCCAAATATTTTTTGCTCCCGTACTAGCTTCTGTCATGATTGAGTATTTATTCATCTATCTATTTTCATCTATTTTATTTGCATTTATTTTTCGAGGATAAACAGTATCTATTATATCATTATCTATGTCCCTGGACCAAACCTACCTGATTCTCCATCTATTTTGTCAAACTGCTCGTGGATCTCCTTCTCAGACTTGAAGGGTGAATACTTGGTGATGATGTCAATCTCTGTTAAGTACTGGAAAAATTGAGATAAATTTTATCATTTTCGAGCACTAAAACTGCCAAATGCGTCAACATTATGAGTAGGTGCAGAATTGCCAAACACACTTTCGATAATTAAGAAAAACAAGTCTGGATTACAGTAATAATCTGCCATTACCTTCAGCTTTTCAAATTATGTGAATTCTTTTCAGGAATGCATTTTGTTATGTGAACAAGTCAGATAGAACATTTCCATTAGGGTAAAACTATTCCAACCATGCGTGCGCAAAAGGTTGGCATGATTAATCACAGAACTAGTTGGACGACTTGTAATGTTTTGTCTCCTGGATGTTTTTCTGCTCGATTGCCGAAGGCAACAGCTATTGAATAGTCACATTCCTGTGGCTCTACAAATAGTAACAAACATCTATAAAAGGAGTGAATGCATTTCCACAAATGTGCATGGAAATGTTTGTTATGGATTTTCAGGAATCTTTTGTTGTTCTTTTCTGCATCCCATTGAATTGTATGACACAACAGGACACTGTATTTTGTTTGGAAATCTTTCATTTATATGATTTAGTGAGCACATTTTTTCATACCAGACACTAATCATGTTTTATTCTTCACTGTTGGCGATGTACCGTCTTTGTGCTGCCTTACCTTTTCCTGCTGCTTGGCAGACTTGGCAATGGGTCTGTTGGTATCCATGTCCCATGACGGCAATGGCACTATCACCTGTTGAAACCATTTCATACTTACTAACATGCCACATTCACACGAAGCAACAACACATTCTCTATCAGCTTCTGTTTTCATTGCAAACCTTCCCTTCTTCAGGCTTAGTATAAATTGTTAAGGGAATATCCAATAGCCAAGGGGATAGACCACTAAACCTACTTTCTTTATCAGGCAACTACAAGATATTGTTCATTGCTCACACATCTCAATCTATCTCATGGTTTAATGACCCTGTGCCCCTCCCCATGGCAATATTTTAGATATTTTTAAAACTGTCTCGTGTTCTTTCATACTTTGTACTTTCTTCTGCGTGATGAAATCTTTATAATGCTGCAAACCTCCTCGATATTATCTCATTTAGCTTCAACACTTCACCACATGCAAATTTTGCACTGGACAACTGTTGACAGCTCAAATGTACCTTCTTGTGGCAACTTTTGTCATAATGTTCATATAAAAACATCAAGTTGCCAACTAACTATGCTTGTGTAGTAGTAATCACCCATTAAAAGGTGTACCTTCCATACATTGATCAAGATTTTGCATGCTACTGCATTACCAGTCCATGGATAATTTAGTGGTAATGTTCTGAATCTGATATTTTATCTAAATCTTTATGGATCTCTATTATATTACTTCTGCACCGTATACCATAGCAAGTGCACTATTGTATACAAGCTTCCCTAACAGCCTGCCCTGAAGGAAGCCTATTGTAGAACTGTCTACCCAAACTTAGCAATCATCTATATACCTCCTCAATCTTCTCCTCTTGATGGAATGTTCTTGACAAGAACACAATGCTTTTTGTGTTCCTCTTCTTCGTGAACAGAATGAAGTCCTTTCCTATTCTCATGGATCCTCTGTGTGGTTGGAATAAATTGTCGTTGAATACGGATCATCAATGTCAACAGTTAAACATCCTGTACAGTTATCAAAATATCAAGTCACTACTACTTCAAATCACACAACAGGATCTACAGAACGGATGAAGGCAGTTCGAACTTTAGGTCAACCAAAAATGCAGTATGAAACATTTCAATTGAAAATCAGGACTTGCATCCCACTACTTACGACTTCAGGCCATTTCCATACTGGCCAATCATTTGGGAGTCCACGGCTCTCTTGGAGGACTTGCCAAACTGGATGACACTGGCAGCCTCCCCTGTTCAAAGGTGTCTACGGTTAACTCAATGTTCAGGTACAGTAACACAGACTTAATAATCCATTTGCCATGTTGTGATATTCATAATTGACAATGCTGAGTTGGTGATCATGAACCCTGACACAAGATCCACATCTTGTTCATGTTATTAACTGGTGATAGCTATATAGTAAGGGATGCTAACATGTGGATGGATGTTACTGGGTTTATGAAGTATAGTTCTCTGTATTTCATATCTTTTTACTTTCCATAAACATACCTGGATCCATGCCCTCGCCATCATCCAGAAAACACAACAGGTATCCACCACGGACCTCCCTCTTGGGAACTAAACACAGAACATACACTGAGTAATATTCATGCAGTAGTCACGTCATAGCATCAGACTAATTAGCAAGCTCAGACAGCACGACATAGTAAACAACACCTGCTGCGAAAAGGTATTGAATTCGCGTCACAATATGCTGTCTCCAACTGATTACTTGCCGTTCTTCCAGGAAAAAAATACCTCTTTCTGAGAAAAAGCTAATCATAGTGCCAAAGTGATGAATCATCTTTCAACAAAGAATGTGTTTACACACAAAAGAATGTAAAAAAAAACCAAAAAAAAACCACTTCAACTGTTTGTATCGCCCATAACAGCATCTTCTGCCATGATGAACTAGTCATGTGTCCAGAAACAAGACACTGAAAAGTACATAACCCTTAGGCTTGGCCAAACAATGATCATTCAACACAGTACTGCAGTTTTCAGGGTCCACTATTGTATGGCGATTCATGGCTCTTTCTGCACTTTCTGATGCCAACATTGCTGCAACTCGACAATGATCAAAGCAACTGGAGGCTAAGAAACATTACACCACAAATCCGTAGTCGGGTGACTGTTGTTCCCTTGATGCAGTGCTGTTTTTATGCTCCTTCTTGGAAAAAGCAAATGCCAGATGCCATATCAAATAGCTTGTGCTGACTATTACTGCCATAGAAGAATCGGAGGCATGGCCTTGGGCTTATCCATGAGGTATGTTTAATGATGCATTCCATGGCTGAATAAACCTCTGGGTAAAGCCTTCATCCTCTTCTGTTGAACAATCCTTTCTTCTACTGCACACAAAGCCCATTAAGGTTGGCAGCTTTCTGGATGGTGCGTTTTGAGTCCTGGGTGTGCATCTTCCATTCCGAGCAGTGCATCTGCACATATTCTCGTCAAGGTACTCCTCAGGCAAGCAGCAAATATCTGCTTGGGTACAAAACTCATGCTTACGAATGAACCAAAAGACCATCAACACAAAGAAAACAAATGTCGCCACGGACAACACAAAAAGACTAATAACACCTGAGTTGCTGTTGAAAATCTACTGTATCCAGTTCCTCAGTTCGATAGTTGATACTTCTTTGTGGTTTTAGCCCCTGCAAGCTCTTCGTGCATTTGGAAGCTCGGAACACTTTAAATCGCTGAAAATCCACCATTGTTCGTTGGATCTGAAAGATCCATGGATCTGAAAATCCATCCCGATTCACCAACAAGCTGTCATTTCTTTACCTGCAATGCACAGCAAAACTCCTGTCTGTGTCTTTGCGCCAAATACGTCATGTTTCTCGTTTCTACATCAAAATCCGTGCAGGCAGAAGACTGAATATCCACAATCATGTTGCCTCCTGAATACTGATGAGCTTTGTCCCTGGAACGAGTGCTTGCCATACCTTTTTATGACAGGTTGATTGGGACCATCTCAGAACAAGCATTGACACTGCTAACAATACTTCATTATTTCACAGCACAGTACTATCTGCTACATGGACTATGTTCAAAACAACAGGCACCGTGTGAGTTTATTTCTTTTTGTGGCATTGAGCACTTAAGCTTACTTACGTGAACATGTAACAGGTGATTCTGTCAAGCATGCCAAATATAATTTCCCAAAGAACAGCAAGTACCCAATGAGACAGCATCATTGTGACCCCAGGCAAAGGAAAAACATCTACATTTTCAAGTAAAAATGTATCACTAAGTATCCAATTTCATTTTATTGAAAGCAATATTACTTCCTTGCAACAAAATGATGCAATGCAACTTTTTTTATCATGTTTGGATGCTTGCTTTAACTATAACACACTAGCTTTGAAGTTTAAAATAAACAACTATCTCAGATACCACTGCAACGCCTTTCCTATGGTTAAGATAAAATTTGTATCCACTTGTTGAAAAAGTAGAGGTTGGACATGGCGGGCTCCATACAGACCTGTGTAAACATGGATTTTCGTTGCACCAGCATCCCTGTTGAAGTAAGTGATGAAGAACATAGATAAGCAATTGAGTTTAATGGTACAAAATTATTACAAATACATCACAAGTCATGTCTTCTCATGGAAATTTAAAACTGCAACCATGGAGAAACTATGAAATGGTCTTTAAAATCAGTAGCCTGCAATGCCTCTTTGTTCCACTCCCTCTATATGCTGTTAGTGCCTGCATATACAATGCAAGCTATTCCCTCTGTAATTACTGATGAATGGAAGGCTGCCATGTCTCTTTATCCACAATCTCCTAAGAGACAGTCTTCTCTACCATGGTGACTGGTAGCGTTGGGCATACAATTTGAGGTATTTTAATCTTTAAAAGATGCTGAAAGCTCTGAATCTGAGGTATCAATGACAGTTGATGGTTACAAAGCCTGGCTACCACATGCCCATTACCTCGCCGTGGCTATCACATTCCTAATACCTGGCCAATCTGCGATTCACAAATTTGATTCATTTCACTGACTTACTGGCTTGGATGCCACCATCTGGTGGTCATTAGCCCGCAGCCTACGGCAGTATGTGTCCTTGCGCTATCAATTTTCGTGAGCCTTCTTTCTCTCTGTTCCTTCATTCGGAATGGATTTTCCAGTAAGGTTTATCAAATGTAGGCCGAAAAATATCTATCTAGAACGTTTATCTGTCTTTCTTATATGCGTGATTATGTGAAAACTTCATCCATCGTTATCATTCTTCTAACGGAGCTAAAGTTACGATCTGTGTATCTGTGAAAATGTCGCAAGATTTTTTTTTTTTTGCTAATGCACCAACGCAACCGAACAGAATTCTTGATTCAATGATGTCATCGCATCACACCCCCACAAAAGGTTTCGCATCAGGAAATAGGATTTACATGTACTTCCCCTTTTCTAGCTATCTGACACGAAAGGCAAAAATGACAGATTAGATCGTGCCATGACGACCTAAACGAATGGAAATAATAATCCAGCGAAGAAATATTCACCTTGCATTGTCCACCAGCTCTGCAAGGGCCCCGAACAAAAATTCGTGGGTGGTTCTAAAACAAAGGAAAACATTGATTACAAATCGCTTACACGACGTTCCTTGCTTCTTGTACGTACCGATCCTTGTATAACAAACGCTCACTCACACCTGCTTCCATCCTTTCCTACCGGTAACAAAACCTTACAGGGCCTCTAACTGCGATACGTTGACATGTGATCCAACGTCGGCACCGCCAGAGAGGCCGCAGAGCGGGACGGAATTTCAAATTACGGAGACTCGTTTGATTTTTCTCTCACTTACCACCGGAAAGACACGTTGCAACACGGCAGCAAATAGAAAAGTCGTCTTGTTCGTTCATACATGTGGTATAACATAGACTAAAAGATTAACTAACTAACGTGAGATTTCCGATACACAGAGGTACGTATTCATCTCACAATAGGCGGGAAGGCAGCAGACAGACATAGCATGATTATGCCACACCCGTCGGTCCATTTCTATGGGGTCGCCTTCTGTAAAATATCAACTAACATAAACGAAGCGGCAGGGCCTCAAAAACGTCGTCTGCCGCCGTGAATCAAATCACAACATAAAAAGGTGAGATAATCTTTCATCCTAACGGAAAGGAGAGGATCTGTGTAGTTTTTGGAGAGGGGTATTCCGTGATGGCCGTTCTCAGCCAAACCATGAGGCCCTTGGCTGGCGCATAAAATTTGTAACAAGCAAACAAGGCTTGGATGAACACCCCACTCACGAGTTCGTATGCAGATAGTCAAAGGTAAGTTGTGCCCGGCTCAATCCACTATATTGAGCCATATCTCCTAGCTCAGTCGTCCTGTGCACTGCTGTGATGGCTGCTGGCTTCAAATATCAAACATCTTCGAGCTCCTCGCCGTTGAGAATGTTGATTCCATTCGGCTCCCAAGCAAATTTCGAAGGTATTCTTTTGAAGTCTGCCCACCAGCGTCATGTGGCGTCTACCCCCTTCACAGAAGCTCCTTGGGCGCTTTCGGCACAGTGGCGTGGCCTATCCTGCTAGAAATGAACGACGAGTTGCATGAAACCTTTGTCCAACTCTTCCATTCACCGATAGTGAATTTTCCGACACCAAAGCGAAGAAATCTGCGATCTCCTGTGGGATCTCCTGGTCGCCAGTCTCTGCGTTCCCCCAGCAAACAAAATGGCTGCACGTGACGCCCTACATAAATAACGCAATTTGTATTCATCCGCGGTTGACGTGTTCGGAGTTGTGATCGGTGTTTGTGGCCGACGGACGCTCTCAAAAACTTATTCCGATCCATTTTAAAGTCTATTTGTTTTTAGATAAACTAAACTAACAACTTATGGACATAAACTGCAGTACTGTATGGCATATCTATAAGCGCAGGTACTAGGAAAAACTATTTTGTACGTCTGGGTCTGGGCGGAAGGATTTGGTGGTGCGCAACCCGGCAAACAATCAGAATCCTTGCGGGAGTTCATTACCAGTTTTGATTGGTTAAAACTGGTCACGTTGCATGGCAAAATTTGCATGTTGGCCCCTGGTCTGGCCAATGATAATCTCTAAAACAAATGACTCTAGGAGTTGATATGCACTGTTAAAATTAAGAATGTTTTAAAGACCGCGTTGTTCTTCGACCTTAAATGCCCCTGCGGTCGTAAACAGATACTTTGGACGGTACACTTTGATGTTTCCAACAAGGTCAATACACATTGTACTACTAGAATTCGAACGATCGTCTAGTTTTTCTTGTCCTGAAATGACCATAACTGTTCGTCTAGAAGTTCTCTAGCATAAACTTCGACGTGGGTCGTGTGCATCAGACACGGGGCTTAGATCCATCTCCTTGGTTTAAATCCCTTGTATTGCTGACGTTTTTATTCTCCACACTTTAAATAGCCAGTCCCCCATAATCATCATCAACTCGGATCCGTAGAACTCTCGGCTTGACTTCAAGACCTAACTCTTGTCTTGACCATTTGCTATTGATTCTTTTCAATACAACCGCTTTACGTACATGTACTATACTAGTACATTGTATTTCAAAACGCAACATGGCTTCTAGGAACGAGTGACCAAAACGCTTGGGGCTTTCTTTCTTTAAGCTAATTACTGGCTTTTGTTACAGAGGCATTGATTCACGCACGGAAAGGAATTTTGAATGCCTCACCATTGTCGGATTCCATTAGTATCAAATCGGAATGCAGTCCTATTGAGAGTAAAAGATAAACCGGATCCATCTAACTTCGTGCTACAAGTAGCTTCAAAAGAGATGTCCAAAAGGTCTTTGATACACGTACTACCAAGGAGGCGTCACCTCCTATACTACAAATCAATGGGTAGTCTTTGTACTTTACCCCAAGACATAACAGTGGCGTCGCTATTTTACACAAACTATGAACATGGAGGCTTCAACAGACCCCCTTGCTATGAACTAACTGTTCATTTGACCAAAAATCGGCACCTTACCACATGTATACTATAGTTACCGACAAGTATGTACATGCACCTATGCAGGCTCTCAGTGATACCCCAGTAGGGGTGGTTAGAGAGTACGTAAGAAGAAGAAGAAGGCTCGCCGATTTCGGCCAGAAAATATCGTAGATTACAGATGCATTCAATTCTCACTCTTTGTTCTAGTATCATAAAATGACTCCTGACAAAACTAAAAAGACAGGTTACACAGATTATAACAAGATGAAACAGTGCATACAAACTGTAGCTACACTGGACAGGGTAAACCATCCTTCATTTAAACAAACACACCTTCGTTTCTTTTTTTATACTCAATGGCATGTTGCATTTTATTACACTACATGTACATGTTTCAATTTCCTTACATCCAAGGCTACTGATTCATTGCAAAAATATGTAAAAACAGATTAGCCCATTTTCCTGCACTACTAAACCAAACCAAGCTCGTGGATAAAGTGAATAAGGCCACAGTTTATTACATTCATAGCTGTATGCAATAATTGCTAGCGCTAAGCTTTGCAAGCACCAGAATTTATATATACTGTATATATATATTTATAAATACTTGTATATACATACACCAAAATCAAGTCAAAAACATGCATACATCTACAAGATTGGATTAATTGTAATAAAAGAAATACCAGGCAGACTGTTTCAAAATTCATCCAAAGAGCAAATTTGATAGATATGATCTAAAGAAGTATTTCCATTCATTTTTAATGAGGCAATTAAGTATGTGACCAAAACATGTTTGAATCTCTTTTGGTCAACACCAAAGAAACATTTCCTGCCTCATGAACTATAGCTGTCTGCACTGGTACTCTTTTTATACAACTGACAACAAATATTGTTGATTAAATCTCCAAATCAAAGGAAAACACCACTACTATGAATCATAGACATTGTAATTACAGTGAACTTGTGTAAATGCATCAAAAATTCTTACACCCTTTGTGCAAAATGTGCTGGCAACCTTTAAATGTTTACATGTTCAAAGTCATTTCTTTTTACAAGAGTACAAGGCTTAAGTCCACTACATCTACTAGGATTTGAGATACGTACACCAACAGGAAATGAAGTAAGGATCATTTTATCTCTTTCTCCCTCTCTCTGTCTGAACAAAACCTGCAGCTGTAGCATAGATACAAGGGGTGCTTATATGGCATGTATTTTCATTGCCACAATTGAAAAGAGAACAATACCTAACATCAAACAATAAATTCATAACCCTGATTCCAATACAACTTTACTTACTTACTGATGTCTTAATTTTGATTTTGACAATTTCCAGTCTGGTAAAATTGCTTACATTTGGTCTGAAAAGGCTGCATTTTGACAAGATACTAGTATGCTCAGCTTTTCAAAAAGTGTCGCTGTTTTCTATGGCTGTTTCAATCGGGTTCCACTAGAATGTAAAAAGCATAACAATTTAAATGGCCACACACAGCTAGTACTAGTAGAAATAAACTATAACATGTACATGTACACCTGCTTGACTACATACAATAACAAAACTTTTGAACCATTTAAATGCTACAAAAGATAATTAAGTATGATTGCTCCACACATCACCAACACATTATTAGCCTGGCATGTAAATATACAACGTTTCACCAGCAAAAATGCAACTCCTGTACAATCTCTGATACTAGTGCACATATATAGCTTGCACAGAGCTTCCACTGTTGTCCACATTCAACTCGGTTTCTTTTTAACAATTGTAGCTTTAGCTATGTACATGTTCAACCCCTCTCATCTTGGAGATTTCATTAGGTCGTACAAGACAAGCTACCTACATGTAGGTTCCAGTGTTCATGTTGTAACAGAAGGACATCTGCTCAACAAAGCAGCGGCTTCATCTATGTAGAAATTGCACATGGTGATATCAAATGCCGTAAATTTTGATGGCTCACCAATTCTTTCACATGGTTCTCAGACTCAAAGGACAGGAGGAAACAAGATTGTTGTGAGTTGTTGTTTCAATGTATGCCTGTATCTATATTTTGGTATAGTCGGTATACTTCGGCGTAACACACCAGCTTCACAGGCACGCGGCACTGCAGCAGCTAGTTATATTACACCAAACAACCTGTTACACCCAATCTTTGCACATTGTGTACAAGTTCACAGAGTAGTTAGGAAGGGCTTGTACTATCATACATGTTGTACACTTCTTATGGGCCGACTTTTTCCTACTCCATGTTTCCCTGCTAGTCTTCTCCTTGCTGAGTTGGTCTTTATCAATAAAATTGTGGAAGGGTCTATATAACGTACATCTAGAATGGCTTAACTTTAAGTGAAAGAACCAAGGAAAAATTGGTGGTTTGAAGTTAGATAAACTATTCAGTTGGCATTATTGCACCATGATGGCAAAATCTGTACAGTAGTGACAATGCAGTAACCGCAACATGACAAAAACATGTTGCTCATTCATTATCATACACAAATGTCAAACCACAAGTATTTGGTCTCTAAATTCTGAACAGAAGTTTCAACAATGCCTACAAAGATTAACAAAGTCACACACTAATAAATACTGTAGCCGAAATACCATATGATTGAAAAAAAAACACACTTTAAGCTGGATTACAAAGCATTTTAACAAGCTCTAATATAGGCAACATAATATTTAGCAACACCTTACTACAGCATTTCTTCAGACCCATAACAAACAACTATACCAGTATCCTTAATTGGTCCTGAAAAAAAATTTATACAGCCAAGGACAGCCAACCATGTACAGCTAGCAACTTCTCACCTATATAATCTGAACGAAGGAAAAAAATCCTGGATACAATGGCTAAGGGTGCATGTCTTGTTTCTACATATCTTCTAGTCTTGGAGCATCGTCTTGTGGTGTTCATCAGCCTGTCTTCTCGAGGTTTCTACAGTGGTAGCAGAGGGAAGCTGAAGGATGACATCACAGGTCCCTCACGTTGCCTCCTAAAACATTCGCAGAACCCTGCCATCTTCACGCTTCAACAGGAACCTGAAAAGTTTGTCCAAGATGACACGGTCACATCACTACCGCTTCCTTCAGGGATTTCACCATAATACTTGTACTTTGTTTCTACATACCTGCACCGGACAAATTTTACCTGGCACATCTCCAATTTTACCTGCAGTAACCTGCATATGCATCTGGTATTTCCAGCCCTGACCATACAACATGAGACAAACCATCTCTTTCTGCATCAACTATGTACTAATCAGAACATAACCGAGGGACAGGGTTAACACAGACTTAGTTCATGACGAATAACATGTACTGTACACCAACCCTGTGGGCAACATAAATGTCATTTCAGATAGCATCTGCTTATCTCTCATCAGTGACTGAGAATGAATTAGTAAAAGAGCAATGATGTAATCCTTCGCTTCATCAGATTATACACTTTCAGTCCCTGATGAAAGATAGCAGATGCTGTATAAAACAACTGACTTTTCAGATGTTATCTGAAACATCTGACTTTTCAGAGAATTCATCCATTTTTTTTTATCATGTGCTAATGTAAACAATAGCCTGGGTTGTAACACTCCTGGCTAGTCATTGGTTTACAGCAACTGCAAAGTTCTAGCTACAATTGCAGTCCTGGTGGTGGAAAGAAGATGCCGGTGTACTCTTGTTTTGAATTACTGGAGGTTGTTGTCAGTAATCAGGCAGACACGTCTTTAAGTGCCGGAAAGTTTTCCTTCTTTCATTCAAGGCAGATGCCTTGGCACCTTCATCTTGTTGCAAATTCTGCTGCCTTTCATTGCTGGATTTATTTTATATTATGTAACGTAACCTGGATGTCTTCAAACCTTCATCAATGGATGGAGCTTACCTTTGTCTCCATGGAGTTTGCAGCTCTAGGTTTGCTGGGCCTTCCCCTGATGACAGCATAGCAGAAGACCGTGATGACCATGACAAACAGGAAGTAGCTTGTGTGAAGGAGGTGCAAATTCACCAGCGACCGCTCGCCCTGCAGTCATGCAAAAACAAGACACACCTTCAATACTGTACTTAAAGTGCCTGAAGGTTCTTGTGGTGTCCAACTTGAAGGCCGCAAGAACATTCAAGCAAAGAAACAGTGACAATCCTAGGGAAGGCGAACTGTATAGTAGTGCATGGTTCTAGCCAGTATCCGTTTTTCTGTCTGTTGACAGAATCTGATCATGAGAGAGTAATGCTTCTTGCCGCTATATGTAGCCAATAGCCGCGGCACTTTTGCGGTGAGAACACAATGTTCAATAGATTGGGAGGGGGCAAGGAAATAGACAGAAGAATCCATTGAATCAAGGAGGCGATAAGGATAAGGATGTCAACCCCACTGATAAACCGCGATGAGGAGGGGGATACAAACTTTGGGATTGTGCCACCTACATTGGCTACATACAGCAGCAACAAGCAGTCCTCATACAAAACGTATCAATCGCGTGAGAGCCCCTCAGTTAAGTCTAAGCATATGATCATACCTGTCTGAAGTTAAAACTTTTGATCCAACAAAAAGAACCTCTCTGACCTAGAGCTTTGGACCAGTCACTCTGGTCTTCCTCAGTAGATCAAGGGTTGTAACTTTAAACATGCAACTATCGTCACAGATGAACTTTCACGATAGCACATGACATACCGCTGACATCATGACTGACAGCTCTGGGTTTAAGGCGTGGTAGGCCTTGACAAACACCCCGCTGGGACACCAGTGGTCCTCGGGTGTGAGGGGGTCCAGCGGCTGGATCCACGTGGTGTAGTACACCGACGTCGCTGTGTTGTTGTTGAAGCTGTCGGCGTGGCAAGTCTCAGGTTTCCTGTACGGTCAGATTGGAACACTCAGATATCATCAAAGGGCTCAAAATACTGCATATCTGTACCAGTACAGCTAACATTAAAAATTACCTACTCCAAACAATTTTTCCTGCACTACTCAGAATTTAGGAAGTGAAAATCTGCAAACTTGTTGTTGAAGCTCTCAGTGTGGAAAGTCTCTGGTTTCCTGTGTTATCAGATTGGAACAAAGGAAAGTGATCTTGGTCAAGTTTTAACTATCCAAAGAGCTAATTTTCCACTAGCCATGAAATTTTCCACAAGTGTAACAGAGACGCTATGTACTGTATTTACTGGTTCATTATACCGGGGAAATTCTCTTAGCTCATTGAACAGTGGACCACAGCATAACGTCCCGTCCTAAGGAATGCCATCCTTTCCAGTAGCATACATGCCCAGTGAGATTGAACCCAAAGCCTCTTACTAGTGCAAGAGGGTCGCTAACCTATATGGACTGACTACACACGCTCCTGCACGGAACACAAACTCATATAGTCATACTATCAACAATGTGTGAGTAACCCTTCAGCTATGTGTAACTTGATGCCAGCAACAACAGGCAAATACTTTTTGTGCCAGACTTTTTTGGGGATAGAAGCAGAAGGTGGAACGAGTTCAACTCTACTGGGTCACAATAATTAGAGGATAACAAAGCACTGTTTGCTTGCTAAAGATTTGAGGGTATAGTCTACTTTTTTGTACTTTGGTCAACATAGTAGGGAAGCCAGTGTCAAGCATTTTGTTACCAATCACATACATAGGGTCTGATCACAAGGGAGTGTAAGAGCAAAGGTATGAATAACAAGCTGCTAGGCAGCCCAAAATCTAATCATTTCAAACTCAAAGTCCCATCAAGACCTACCCACCTACCAAGTTTTATGACAATCCATCTTCAGCTTCTTGAGTTATTGTGCTAAACTACATACAATTGCTACCAACCATAAACATATTAAGCGAAGGTAAACAATCACACACCTGGTAGTGGGGAATACAGCTGGTGAGGCGACGAAGGTGACACAGGTTTTGAACTTGGCCACGTTACACTGGCCCTTCTTAGCGCAGTCCTGTGTGCTCCAGGCTGTCGGCAGGGTGAACGTGACGTTGACTTCTTCCAGAGCCTCAGAACCTGAAAGACGAACGGAGTAGGAAACCACATTTAACATCATCAAACACAACAAACACAGTGTTATAGCCAGCCTGTCTTTCTGTCATTTGACAGGCAAAAACTTCCCCCAATCTCTCATCTTTGATGGACAATCAGTGTGCAAGAGATGTCATTAAACTAAGCTTAGACTAAGGGCAAAATTTGCCCCTTAAAATTCAGAAAACAGCATTCAGACGGTCGAAATTTTCCCACAGATGCCCAGACGCCCCTAAGATTGCCGTGCCTCCACTGCTTGACATGATATTATGGCAAACAAAACTGAGATGACAGAAAAAAATTTCAGGTTGGCTAGAACGCTGACTGGAACTGACACCTGTTAACTGCTCAAATATCACTGTGAACCTGAGAATGTTTCAGGCCTGGGTTTACATACCGTGCAGTCCCAACTCCTCCCCTGATATCGTCGCCTGCAGGTGCGTGACGTTATGGGGGAACCCCACAAAGTTCTTCATGGGGTCGAGGGTCAGCATGATGGTGACCGACACGTTCCTCTGGGGTTCTGACTCCAGGATCTCCTTCTCTGGCTTGGAGGAGGGCCCCGTGGTGGTGGGCGTCACGTCATCATCGTAGTGCTTCAGGGTGTCATTGTCCGACACACAGAAATCCATCTTCCCGAAGTTCAGCAGGAACGTGTTCCAGTCCTGGAAGAGACGGACATTCAGATATTAGCGAAATGTTTTCTTTTTTTTCTTGTTCTTCTAGTTTCTGAAATCTGATTCTTCTAGTTTTATGGACCAATCTTGAACTGAAGGGAATACTCAATTTTACATCAATGCATAGTATACTCACTATACTGTATACATTATGGAATACATTATGGAATACGAGGGATGACAAATGTCGGAAAAGACTACATATACATCCTAAGACTGTAAACAACACCTAACACTGTTTGCAAGAAATTGGTTATGCTTAGGTGGAATAGAGTCCTAGAATCATATCCAGTTGCTTGATTAGCTGTTTCTTGGCGTATCTTATTACCTGGATGTCTAACCTTCACTGGCAATATCTAAGAGCCTGAATGTTTCTTCTAAAGAAATTTCCTGGGCTTAAGGCTTAACATCTGGCCAGGCCTGTACCAGTTTAGTTGGAAATGCTTGTAATGGATCATGTATAAAACAATAAGAAGAACTGACCTGTGTGATATCAGGATCTGTGATTTGGTTCATCTTGATGTAGTAAGCCAGGGACATGAAGGCGATGGCCAGCGCGCTCACACACACCATGAACACCACCAGCGGTGGCCGGCTCACCGCAAAACTCTTCACATTCTCCAGAGGTTTGATTGTCATTCTGCAGTCTCTCTATGTAATACCTGCGTGAAAACAGCAATAATATATTTCATCTGTCTGTAACTTATGTAAGCCTGTATAAAACATGTACTGAGTATAAACATACGGCACATGTCTAAAAACCCATTGACCACATGTCCTGCATAAAAGAGAATACTGTGCCTTACAGGTATATTTCATAATTTACAATATGCGAAGAAGCAGTACATCTTACAGTATAGGCTGGAAACTAAGTACAAGCATAATCAAGAACATCCTGTGTTATACAAAAATCTCTCTAGTCCATGAAATGGGTTAATTAGCCGCCTTCCCTCTATAGAGGCTGCTCAGCCAAGTGAGCCATTACGGAGCACTATTTTCTTTGTTTGTTTGGTTATTTGAACCATTGTTTATTACTAATAAGCTCAAATCAGCCTGCAGGCAATCAGGCTAAGCCTAGCGTGCCAATGTACAGGTTTAATCATATTTCAAGGTGTCAAGCCGTAGCTATGATCATGTAAGTGGATTGAACTGGCCTATTCAGTGTTACGCAGCTCATATTTACCAAAGTGTGTTATGCCTTGAGGCAGTGTCCCATGTACCAGTTTTGTGCTACGAACAAAACAATGTTATGACTTCTGGGAAGCGTTGTTCGATTCATGAGGGGGCATCACTAATGAAGCAAACCAAACTGAAGCTGGAAAAGATGGTACCCAGACTACAGAAGAGTCTACAAAACGTATATTTACTAGATTAAAGAAAGATTGGTGGATGTGGTGAGAAATGGTGACTCAAATTAAGTATCCAATTATCCAAAACTGGTACACTGCCACAAGGCACACTTTGAATATCACAGAAGTAATGTTTTGAAACATGAGGGATTAGGATGATTAAGTATTATTTTTAGCAAAACATTTTGACACTGTAAGATTGAGTGAAGAACAAGTTTGGGATTTAATGATGACAAATCTGTATGAAGAATCCAAGCAGGGCAATAATCGCCTGATTTAGTCCACCCACTCACTAACAAGGTAATTCCAGCAATTACTGAAGCAATTTCCTGAAATCGTGCACACACATCTTCTGATGATGTAACCTAAATCACTGCTTTTGATTCTTCAGAGTGTATGCAGCCTGATGTGAAATGCTCGCCATTTGCATGAAGTTTGAAGGACCTATCTTACTATTTTTCTAAACTCGCAGGGTTCTAGCCAGGATTTTTTCATGTAACCTAGGGGCCAGGTACAGAAAGGTAACTTTTGCTGTGCAAGTCACGCATTGAGCTGAAAAATGTTGACCCTCATAACCCCCTGAGATATTATTTCTCGCTTATTAAGGGACAGATTTTGTGAAGTTAAGGTTTTCCCTTTGCTATAGTTTCATTCTAAAGTTACATCTTAATTTCTTTAAGATTTATGAAGGTTCTCCCCTGAAAACATGCTGGTTGAAAGACAGCATAGCGGTCCAAATCACAGTATAGAGGGTCCTTATGTTCAAATAGCCAAGAACTATGCACAGTCACAGGTGATGAACTGAAGTCAGTCATGGCTAGCTGTAATATCACAGTGGATAGGTCGGCATCTTTACAACTTAGTACAAGCTAACTGGTAATACATGTACAAAGAAGGAACCATGCTGCACCAGGTATGTACATGATGACGCACCATTTGAGCTACAGTTACCACCTCATGCAAAACAGGTCACAGCACAACAAACCCTAACAAACCAGTGAGTTCAATCACCACGCCCATTAGCCAGAGTCAAAACATGCATTACCTGGAATTAGTTCGTCCCAGACAACTGAGGTTAACAAAGTTTTGTGCCAAGGACAGAAGGCTTAATAATGGTGTGACTGAATGTTGTTAGTATGTTGTAAGGATAGCCTTCCAATGATGCCATTAATTTGCATAAGAAAGACCTTTACACCATGTTCTATGTCATCAGTACAAAAATGTACATAAATGCAACATTCAAGTTAGTGGAGTTTTTCCTGTTTTGTGGTAAATGTTAAAAAAGAATTGAACTGTTGGTGTTGAATTTAACCACAGAATGTACACAGACAATTTAACACCAGATTGGGTCACAAAATAACAATATTAGCAACTCTTAATCATAAATATGCATTAGTACAATATATGTTACATCAGCATGGAGGTTTTAAACTTCCTTGGTTACATACACATGTCTCTTTTTGGGAACCATGGAAATGCTAGTACATTGTTACACCCAACCTAGGAATGTTGTACTTCATTGCATAAGAATAGGCTAAGGTAACTAAATTATTTACATAGAAATGTAAATGTCCCTCCCTCCCCCTCAAAAAAAAAGACCATGGAATTAGCATACCACTGACCTCATTTTTGTTCAATATTCTTTTTACACATTTTAATTACATAATGAATAGGATAAAATCTTGTCGGACAGGCTTCAATTTACATGTAGAAGGTTTGGCTATATCATATGGCAAGCTCCTCCCCTTTTCTTCATTTTTCTTTGAAAGGACACTTATGATACAACTTCGATGTACAACTTCGGTACCTGTTAGACTAAAATCCACTATAAAACAACACCGAGAGACATCCGAAAGAATCAAGAATTGTCAAAAATAGTCGTGAACATGATTTTTCTGGGTATGATGAGTATTCATGATTTCTTGGTAAAAACAAGGAGGTTTAAAAAGAAGAAAGAAAGTGATGAAAGAAACTCAAAACAAGCAGAACACTTGCAAAACTATCACGACAAATACACGATTGACAACAAAGGAACTTAACCATGTACATGTACGTCCAAAATTTAAGAGGTTAAACATTGAAGTATGGTTTCACGCTTGACTGTACTTCGGATTTTCGTCGTGCTTGCATGGCTACGTGCAAAGGTGTGCACCTCTTCTCACTAGTACACTTACCTTCCAACAGCAAAATTCCGAGTTTCTCCTCCACAAGGTACTAAAACAACACCCTCCGAAGCTGTATCATGCCAGCCAATAAACGTTGAAACATTCCAGACTCTCAATACCGCGACAATGCGTGTAACTTCACATGTTTTCTATGAAGAAATCAAACGACAGATACTTCCTCACACAAAATTCCGCCATTTTTATGTGACGTCGACTTCCCTTCAGGTCATGGGTCGAATATATTTTCCGCAAACACTGCGACAAAAAAATGAATTTATTCCCCTGATGGCACTTAAGTATCGTAAAATTTATGATTCATAGATTTTAGCAGATTATGAGGAAAAAATTTGCGTTCCAGAAAAGGGGGTATGATTTCGCGAAGGCGTGAAAATACGTCATTTGGAGACGACATACATATGCAAAGTATCATGTGGTTATTGACGCATGTGACAAGTGTTGACATGGCTGCCCCGGGCAGGCTGTTCCATCAGTATAACATCCTCCCAATCTGTTCAAGAAATACTTTACAGATTTGTTGCAAATAACCAACCCATGTAGCAAATAATCATCATAATGTCAAAAAATCTATAAGTGAAGATACAAAATATGGCTTTTTGTATGCTAGATACCAGCGTTTGGTTGCAAACCCTTGAAAGTGCGCTCATAATGATATGCAAATAGGGAAGGTTCCTCTAGATGGAACAGCTAAATACCATCTACCATGTGCTTCGCTCCACCCAGATCGAGCGCTCTGATTGGTCGAGAGGCTAATGAGGCATCAATCAACTACCTCCATGAAGAGCATCGATTTCCAGCACGCTCAGCGGCGAGCCTGTGTTTTGGTGTTTTTTGGGGCGAGCCTTCTTGGATTCCTCCGCCTCTGTTTCAATTTTTACCCACGTTTCGAGGTGTTTGGCGGGGGGAGAGGCAAGATCGGGGTCCCCTGGATGCTCCTCCGGTGCTCTTTGGTACAGAACGGCCATGAGTTTGGAGACGTTGCTTCAAGCGGCGGAATGGTTGGAGCTTCGGGCGCAGACCGGAGCACGTGGTAAATAGCACATGCTATGGTGGACGCGCGCTCGCTTCACCCTGCGTCTGTCTAATCCAAAAATGGGGGCTGATTTTCCACGGTGGAATATTTTTGGAGCGGTGATCGCATCTTCCTGTGGTCTGTTGGTGTGATTTTATTTCCTGTGGTGTGCGTGTGGGGAGTGTGGTTTTAGTGGGAGTAAACATTTTGTCACGTATGTTAGGAAGAGTCGAGTGTACCAGATCAAGTAATGGCCCAAGATTTGACGTGTCGTGTCATGGCCCATAATTTTCGCAGGAGAGGCAGAGGAGAAGCAACCAGAAAAACCGGAGCCGTGTGGCATCAACGGGGACAGCGAGGAGGTCACCAGCGATGCCAGCGAGTCACAGAAAGCTGAGGAAAGGGAGCTCAAGCAGTCGCTGTCACCATCGTCCTCGCAACAGTCCGAGGAAGAGAAGGATGGCAAGCGGCGAAGTGGCGGGTAAGTCTGTAGGGGCGGGTTCGGCCCCCCTCTGGCCCGGGCCGGTCTCTCTCACGTGATCCTTGTTTACCCTCCCGACCTCGGCCACGCGGCCGGAGCATCCGATTGTCAACAGTTATGCAAACAATTCCGTGCCAACACGTTGCATACCGATGCCTTATCGCAATCTTTGGATATTAGATGGAACACATGATGACATGCGTCACCAGAATCGTCCGTATAATTTGTGCTAACGTTGTAAAGGTTACACTGAAGAACAACAACAACAAATGCATATTTTTGGCGGGTAAATGCCACGTGGTCGAAGAATGTGGCAACATGTGTTGCAATATTTGGGGGAAATAAGATAAATGCATTATGATTATGGCATTGACACTTCATTTGCGTTTCAGATATGGGACCAGAGAAGTACACAACAAATTAGAAAAAAATAGGTTGGTAAATGTGCTATTAGATCAATCATTTGTGATTTGCAAACACACATTTGATTGGCCCTATTGGCACCTATGCATACTGATTTTGATTGTCATTTTGCAATCCCTTTTACATGCATTTTTCGATTAATTTCAGGCCTGCAATCATGCAACTTTTTTTTTGCAAAATATTGTTGTCTTCTCTTTCAGGCGGGCCCATCTGAAGGAGTGTTTTGAGGTCCTAAAACGGCACATACCAAACATGGAGGACAAGAAGACGTCCAACTTGTGCATTCTGAGAAGTGCCCTTCGTTACATTCAGGTGAATTTCTAAAACCATTTTCTGGCCTTCTGGGCTCGTAGAATGCAGACATCATAGATCATGATCCTATTATGCAGGGCTCGAAATACTGGGTGCATATGCACCGTAGTACAGGTAGAATATCCTGATATCTACCTGCACCTAACCTGCACTGGTCCGTGTACTGGGTTTAATATTGGGGTATATTATAATACAAATGTAGGTGTGTATGTGGATTTTCATTTGCTGAATTGGCTATAACCACCTATTATAAAAACAATAATGTCAGTGATCTCTTAAGAGTCTAGTATGTTGCATATTGCCTAAATTTTTAGTATTGCAGGTAAAATTTGTCTGGTGCAGGTAATATTCAATGTTACCTGCACCAGTACAGGTATGCAGAAAAAAGGATGTCGATTCCTGATATGTTATGTAGAAGCAGTTTTGTAAGCGTCATCATACACTACAGTGTGTCTTTATACACAAATGGAAATGTAATACATCAATGCTAGCTTTGTTCGTTCTGCAGAGTGTGTTTCTGTCATACCAGACAGAGCTGGAAGTCCCTATTAATATTGAATGACTCCACTGATGTGATGAGAATGTTGATGTTCCCTGTAACATGCTTTCCCCAGACAAGCACAGAGAAGCATGCTTTCGTAATTAGCAAGGCTTTTATTATCTTGTCAATCAATCAATCAATCAATCAATCAATCAATCAATCAATCAATCAATCAATCAATCAATCAATCAATCAATCAATCAATCAACGGCAGCAAGCATCAGGGAAGATACATAGCAACTGCAGACATGTCCCTCCAGGATTCAACCCTTTCTTGAACATGCACTTTCAAAACTCTGATCGGTTTCTGAGCACTATGCATCAGACAAAGTGTAAATGTCTGTGTAATGCTTTTTCGATAACTGATAGTTGCAGTTCAATGCAGATTCCAGGTTGAGAATGTGTTGGTAAATTGCAACAAGTTGAGAGATATCTGTTAGAAATGTGCAACCCATATGGTAATGCTGGGTCCTTATGTGTAGGTGTTTTACATTTTACTTTTACCTCAATACCCTTTTAATTTGAACTCTGGTATTAGGTTATGGTTGCCAACAGATGCTACGATATTTGACAAGATTTTTTTTGGCATACTACTAGTACTAGTAGTTAGGCAGGGCCTGAAATATACACCTGCAATGATCAGAAAACTATCTAAAGATTATTAATAATTTGCAGGCTTAAAAATATCAGGATCAATGTTACTGATCACTTACTGCAGGTAACAGAATAAGGATCTGAAGCTCTAAGGAAGGGTTTGATCCAGAGCAGTATGCCATCTGCTTCTTCTCACCTGCCATTTCCTGGTCACACCATGTCTTGGTGTATTTTTCATTGCTCTTCTCTTGTCCTTTTATCTGGTGTGGTTCATTATAGATTCATCAGGTCACTTCCGTAGCTGGACAAATGTAAGGTAACACTAATTGGTTGCAAACCTTACCAGTTGATACCTTTGATCATAGTTATACTTCCTGCTGCCTAACCAATAAATGAATTCTGCCTTTGTATACACCAGTAAGCTAGTTAAGCTTGTATGGTTTATATAACACCTCATATATGTTGGATACTTTGATATGACAGTAGTGTATTTTTTTTTTAAACCCCGACAGGAAAAGAAGATCTTTTCCACCATATCAGCCATATGCATTTGAGTGAATCATTTTCATCCGCAGACCACAGTTTTTTTCCCATTTTCTTGCCCTAAGAATTTTCTCGAAAGTGCAAGGATAGACCTTTCACCTATCCGTTTTCAATTTGTGTGTATAAAACATAAAAACATTATATAGTTATGCAAGCAGGTAGGAATCCAAGTTTTACACCCACTCAAAAGGTTAGGGACAGGTTGCTTTTCCCCACCATGCACAGAGGATTACTTCTAAATGTCAGATCAGTTGGCACACTGCTCGGGTTTTAGAGAAAGGGCAGTCGGTTGAAAACAAATTGTAATGGAACAGGTAATGCAGTTCTCTTGCTTGATGTGTTCGAACAATGTGGGTGGAAGTGGCCTTACTGAGTCTGATTTTGTTCTGCAGTTGATGCAATTGGATGTAGTGGACATTGGTGTATTCACTGTTCAGTAAAATTAAGTTTCTACAATGAAGTGCTACATGTAGTTTATTCTAGGGAAGTATGATTCACTCAAGTGGACATGGCTTCCTGTTTTTCCGTTAGTCCATCAAAAATTCCTTTTTGTTGTTCAAGGGATAGATCAAAATGACCTACATTATCAGGAAAGAACAGATAGACACAAAAAGGTCAGGCCGTAATGTCTACAAAGGTCATCAGCTGTACAGCTGTAAATTATTTGCCAAATAGACACAAAATTCTACGTCTGTTTACAATATGTACAGAAGTTTGAGTTGGGTATTATTACAAGTATGCTAATGTGAAATTAAGATTAGATAATTTCAATAGCTTTCGTTAAACAACATGTTTAGATTGTTACAATGTAAAATGACCATCTTTTGTAACCTTTGACCAAAGTCCCTTACTGGAGTCTTCTGTCTAAATCTTTATGCAACCTGCACGAAATGTTAGATTACTTGTCCATAATAACATATCTACATCAATTTGTATGAAACTCTAGCTGAATGCCTTCTGGTAATTTTGTAGAATAGGAATTGAATGCCATTTCTACAGGAAACAAGACATGACAGTGGTTGTCTTTACTAAGCCAAACCTTCTGTTGAAAACACAGCCGTAAGAATCCCTAAGATATGTGGTAGTTTTGTTTTTAACATGTCTTGCATCATCCTATGGGTTCAGGTATGACGTCTACCCCATATAGACGGACCTTTGCTTTAAGCTATGTCTAACTGCAACATTTTAGCTGCATGTAAAATTCATAAGTCATCCATGTTCAGACGTGATATATGTTATGTTGATATTCTGCAGTAGTGTCTGTAGATATACAGGCTTGGAAAATAACCAGTTTCATTTAAGTCTTCCCTGAATTTCAAGTTTGCAGTGAGAAAAGGTCTCTGATAATGGCTTTTATATCTATAGAGGCATTCAGTGGATATCTACAGAAAAATCCAGAAAGATAGCTGCTCGATGTATGGTTTTGTCATGTCATGGCTACCCCCGCAACAGCCCACATTTGGTTCGATCCGTGTACTCAAGCCAATCAGAGCGGACGTATGACCTCTCCAGGGCCTATCACAAGCCTCCTTGCATAATGAGGTAGCAGGGTGGCGGCCACGTGAGCTCACAGCACATGTAGCTCATGCTTCTACATGAGGCCAGCTGCACTGAGGCGGCACTGCGCAAATGTTATGCACTGCGCAAATGTTAAACAGGAATCTGCATGGGCATACCCAGGGCAATGTACCGGTTTACAGTGCAGACAAATTGCAGATTTTATGTGGATGTTAAGGTGAATAAACTGGAAATCAAGGATTTGTGTGTTGCAAATAGATGGTATATGGAATGAGGTAATATAGTATAGATCATCATATATGGTAGAGTGTCTTTGTTTTTGTACTGTAGGATTTTCTAAATCATGTATCCAGATTTCGAAATGAGAATGAACTCGACGGTGTAGGTATAATATGTCTGGTGCAAGTAACATTTTGCATGTGTTGTGAGCTGCAACAGCACATGCTTACAGAAAAAGGGTAGTTCCTAAATAATGAATGCATGGATCGCAGAGATGGCTGTATATGCTCTAAACATGTCAGCAAGTATACTTACATGCAAACAGGAGTATGCCTTGTTATTCATTTTGACCCTTAGCAAAGTAGGCATGTCCTTATTTGGAAAGTATGTCATCATGGCTCTTAAATGGCTCCTCCCCCCCAACAAGTGATTGACACGTTACATAAAGGTCAGTGATCAGTGACCCCTGGTGCTGAGGGACCAATCAGATCGGGGCTTGTGAGGTCAGCTGGCAGCGTGCCAGTTCTGATCATGAGTGAAGAGTGCCTTAGGAAGGTCATTGAAAACGTTGGGCCCAATGCAAATTGTCCATGTTGCCATCACAAAGCAGTATTAGAAATACATATGTACAGGCAATCTGCAGAGACATGTTAATATTGCAACATGTAATTTTGCAGACTGAAAAAAATGAGGATATGGATTCAATGGTGTCTGCGTAGTATTGTTTGAGAGCTTTTGTGTTTACTACTGATCATGAGTGAAGAGTGCCTCAGGAAGGTCATTGAAAACGTTGGGCCCAATGCAAATTGTCCACGTTGCCATCACAAAGCAGTATTAGAAAGAAATGCTGCACCTGCAGTCCACATTTTGCAGAGACATTTTGATATTGCATTACCTACAAAAGAATTATCCTAGGGATTCAATGGTGTTCGCATAGTAGTTTAAGAGCTTTTGTGTTTACTTCTGATAATGAGTGAAGAGTGCCTCAGGAAGGTCATTGAAAACGTTGGGCCCAATGCAAATTGTCCACGTTGCCATCACAAAGCAATGTTAGAAAGAAATACTGCAGTCTGCATGTTACAGACATCTTAATATTGCAAGCTGCAGTTTTGTAGACAAATATCAGGCTAGGGGTTCAATTGTGTCGGCATGATATTGTTTACTTCTGACTCTATGATATTAATATGTCATTGAAAACGTTGGGCCCAATACAAATTGTCCACGTTGCCGTCACAAAGCAATGTTAGAAAGAAATACTGACCTGCAGACATTTTGATATTGCAACTTGCAGTTTTGTAGACAAATATCAAGCTAGGGGTTCAATTGTGTCGGCATGATATTGTTTACTTCTGACTCTATGATATTAATAGGTCATTGAAAATGTTGGGCCCAGTCCAAAGTGTCCATGTTGATTTTACAAAGCAATGTTAGAAATACCCACCTGGAGCCTGCATGTTGCAGAGACATTTTAATATTGTATTACCTGCAATTTTGCAGACTTTATTGCTGACTCTATAATATAATATACTAGTAATTTTTCATTTATTTTTCAAATTGCATGTAAAATGTCAACACGCAATATTATTTATGCCATAATGTATTTGCATATGTTTTTTTTAAGTGCAGAACAAAATTTTGACATGAAAACAAGTACTGGTATTTCTACCACCGCAAATGACACATAACATAACAGGAGATATATTTTGTTTTGTTACCAGGATAATGGATTTGAATTGCCCAGGGAGTCTCAAGCTTCCTATGAAAACTGTATCCTGTTGATTATTTTGTAACAATTGGTATTAATATTTTGACTAACTGATATCAAATTTGTTTGGCCATAATAAAAAGATGAAAACTACCCTTTCACATTCACTCCTTGCACACACATAGCAGTCAAGTAGGCTTCAGGCAGACTCTGTATGGCATCCTTGCATGTTGGCAAGCTTTGCTTTTTACCATTTCTAACCAGGATGAGGGCTTTTAAAGCATTTGTTATGTGCAACCCTCTGCCAGTGTTTTACAGAGAGCATCTAATTGAGACCTGCCTTAAAGAAAAGCGGCCTGCAGGCCAATTTGAGCTTAAACCGTTTCAAGTTCAAACGAACGAACAAATCTCAACAAATATTACCGCTCAAGAATAAAGACATGGTTTAAGGAGCCAGCACAATGTGAAATGTCATAATGCCTATTACATAACGTCCCCGTTATATCATACTTCATCCGATAAGCCATTAATATTTTTCCAGAAATAACTTTGAACCTTCACATTGGTCTCTAATACACCCTTTACAAACCAGTAAGGAATAAGTGTACAGTTGGTTGGGTCTGAGCCAGTTGCAGGCTGACGTCTGAAGTGCCAATAGAAGTCTTACCAGTAAAGTGCTCTTGTATTGATCCGCATTTGATTGACGTCAAAGATGAGAGTTAATGGCTCTGTGACGTAGGAGGTGTCATGTTCAGGGATGGCTCTTTGAAAGAGCGGGATTCCATGCCAGATGGATTTTCCCAGAAAATACTACACCAGGTTGGCAGTACAGCACTCCACACACCCACGTGCACATACACGCACCTCTGCCACTTTTCTGTAATACACCGTGCTCAGCTCATTTCTCCCATTGTGGTACAAATGACTGACTGTCATGTGATTTAGAGAAAGTGCATCATGTCGAAAGTGTCCATGTAAGGTATAGTAGGAGAAGATTTTATTGTGGATTGGTTAGACACAAGGTCAAGGTATAAATTTTTATCATCTCCAAAGAAATCTTTTGCTGGCTACAAGATGGTATCAAAATAGGCGACATATACAGTACAGTACAGAAATGGACGGGGCAATATCCAATATTGGATATGCCACTTGGATATGGATATTGGTTTGGCTGGCCGAAAAAAAAGATGGGGCAATACAAAAAAGAAAACCTGATAAAAATACCTAAAAGATGTCAAAAATAAAATGAAGCCTTGAATGAAGAGTACCACTTGTAAAGCAGACAGCAAAAATATGTGCAAGTGGACTATCTATGACAACGTGGTCACAAGGTTTTGCATTTCTTAACTGTATACATTTACTTTTTAATCTTCTTCCATTCCAAACACTGACCTGGTCAATGACCTGAACCAGACCATCTGTCACCATGGTAACTGGTATTGGGTTACATAATGTTGCAATTTTATAGTAGGAATGATTTAGACTCCATATGTGAATGTCTTTGATTAAGAATTAACAGAGCAGATCATCTACGAAGGTTAACATTATGGTATGGAAGAAGAAACAGAACAAAAACAATGTTTTCTTTTGGTGTAGTTTGACCATCACAACATGGCTTTGCATTTGTTAACTGAATGTGTTGATTTCTTATCTTCCAGGCCTTGAAAAGAAAGGAGAAGGAATACGAACATGAGATGGAACGGTTGGCACGAGAGAAGATCGCTACGCAGCAGCGGATAGCCCAGCTGAAGATGGAGTTACGGGAGGAGCTGGACAATCAGGAGAAACCTCCGCCGTGGACACACGACGACGACCAGGCATCCACTTCTACAGCCTCAGGTAGAAACAAAATACAACAGAAATTGCTCTATCATATAGCAGAATTTCATTTTATATTTTGAATTGTAGTCACCTGAAGTAAAATTACAGTAACATTAAGAGAGAAATAGTACTATTCTTCTGTTTGTGGAGATTTGTGATTAATTTATTGTTACAATGTTAGCATGTTACCAGTGTTACTTTTAACAAAACAGTACTGTTTCTATACAATAAAATTTCCAAAACTGTCATGCAATTTATGCCAAAAAAGTTTCAAGCAACTGGATATGATTTTGGTCCGATGTTTCGGGTACAATTTTCTGTGTCTTACCATTTGCTGTTTTTTTTCTGCCCTTCCAGAGGGTGAAGACAACATGAAGATCAATGAAGATGAGGAGGAGAAGCTGTGGCACCCGACTGCCGTCACCTCTTCAGCGGGCGGGGCAACTGCATCATCTCCCATGGACGTATGTGCTTCACTCCTCCCTACAAAGGACACGCCCTCTTACACGGTCATCAAGAAACCCGCCCTACAGCCTTACACCATCATCAAAGAATCCAGTCCGTACCGGGTTCTGAAAAAGGACCACATCGCGGCTAGCTCTACTACTACTTCTGGAGCAGCAATGGAGAATGTATCACCACCGTCTGCCGCGTCGAAACAGACCTCTGCTGGCTTGCCGACACTTCCGCCGAAAAAGGCAAACGTGTCGTATACAATTTTCAAAGAAGTGGTGCCATCGCACGCCGTTGTAGGCAAAACTACGGCACCTTACACTGTGGTAAAAGAAACAACGGCATCGTACTCATTAGTAAGAGGGACAGCACCCTATACCGTACTTAGTAAAACAACAGTTCCCGCTGTCACTGTCAAGGACCCTAGCCCTTTGTATAATCATGTCAAGGCTGCAACTGTCCCCTACACAATTATCAAGGACGGGACTGAAGCCGCAACGGCAGCAACTGCTACAAAAAGAGTTTCTTTCTCAGTCGTAACCGAAGTGAAGCCGCCAACACAAGTGGTGCCGAATGTCGTAGGAAAGGAGAAACAGCCCACCACTGCACCAAGTGCTGCTAGCAGTGCAGAAAAGCTTGCTGCCCCACCGTCTATACTGAGACAAGGTGGCGGTGGCGGTGCCTTTCAACAGGTCTTCATGAACAAGGAAAGTACCATGGCGTTTCAGACTTTACCACAGCCAACAGGTCCGGTCGAGGTCCGAGTAGCACTAGCTCCGGCGCCCGAAGTCAGAATGCAAACCATGGTGAAAGAGCCAGATGCAAATCATCCAGTCACCAAGGCAATACCTGTGCCCAATAAGCCTCCTAAAAAGACTGCAGCTGTAGGAATACAGGCGACGCCCGAGGAGGCAACAGAAAAGAAACCGCAAGAGGAAGAGCCGCCAAGGAGACCAGGACCGAGTATGGCCAGTATCGCAATCCAGGCGTCGCTACCCAGCGAACCGACAAAGCCTGAGCACCTCAGTAGACCCACTATGAACCACACGGCCGTGCAAGCCTTCCACCCCAGCCAGTTTCACGTGGTGGCAGCGCACGCTGCCGACGCCAGAACTGAGCACAGCTTACACCCCGGCGGCGCGATCCCACACCTAGGCACTTCTCCTCATACCGGTGTAGGCGGCCTGCCCCCCACCCAACCCATGGCCAGTATCGCCAGCCTAACTCGCATGACCCCCATCACCCTAGCCTCCCTGTACAACACCCCTACTGTCACCTACACGACACCCATCACCATCACTCCCTACATCTCTCCTACCATGACCTTGACCTCTCTGCGACCCCACGCGGTTCCGCACGGATCGCTACACTCATTCATTCCACCGACCATCATTCCGACTCAACTTGGCGGCACGGCGGCGGCGGCCATTCCCCTTAGCATCACCACCCAACGTTTACCCATGTCTGCCCCTCTCCTCCCAGCCACCATCACGCGAATGGCCCTCCCGGCAACCTCGCCACACATCTCCCCCGTTACCATGACGACGCGATTCTCGCCGGTCCCGGTCTCGGCCAACGTCCACCCGGCCGCACACCCGGCCTTGGCGAAACCCCCGGCGCAGGCGGTGGCTGGACAGACAATGGCTGCCATCACAGTACCTGCACCAGTTCTGACAGTTGCATCGTTTGTGGCACCCCCTACACATCCAGTAGTAACCACCAGTAAAAACCTATGATGAAGGTGCTTTTGTAGGCATTTTTATGGTCTCATGAAGCAATAGTCTGGTGCAGATGTATTTGTGAATGTCGAAAAAATTTTGAGTACGTAGCTTTAAAACTTGTCAAAGCCAGTATGTTGATATCAGAATGTCAAATTTTATAAAGGCATGTAAAAGTTGCGAAGCTATTGATTATATACAATATGTACATAGACTTAACATCCTTCCAAACAGGAAGATTTGTATGTGACAAAACCATTGGGTATTGAAAGTAATTTCTTTATATCTGAAATATCTATTTACAGTACATTTAGAAATTTCTTGGACCCAAATCTTGCCTATTCCTCTCATTTCCTGTCTATGATTGTTCTGTTGACTTGGAAAATGTTCAGACAGAGTCTCTCCAGCATTACTAGATTCAAACTGCTTTTTAACAAGTAGAACCCTATGTGAGTGTACTTCTTTCAGATACCAGCAGCATTTTACAGCACAACAGTTACTTGAAAAGTTGAAGGGTATTCTGTTACAGTCTGTCAATGTACCATGTAGTACAATGTACAATGTACCATTTAGTGCCATGCAACAGTCACAGTCTTTGTTTTCTCAGTACAAATGTACCTTGAAATGTCTTTTGCTGAGCACACTTATAGCAACGTCTTTTGTTTCACCAACTAGCAAGGGTTATGCCAAATTCAGAATAGAAAATTAAATTTAAACATCTTGCTGCTCTTCCAGTGATTCAAAACCAGAAAGTGTTTGTTACACAAATCCTCAAATGAAACAAAAGAGAAGAGATATCTTTTTAAATATGGTCTTTACATGCCCTTGGTATTTCTGTGACTATCTTTGGGGTTCAAATCTAAAATAAACATTGTCTTTTTTGTAATATCAAGCATTACGCAATACAGACATATTAGTTAGTCTGTAGTGTTACATAAGGAAAGAATACTGTATACTCAGAATACTACAAGATATCGTGGAGTTTTTTGTCTCTTAGGACTGGGATGGATGACAGTTTTCTACTTGAATAATGTGGATTTGATATAGATAGTACAAACTGTACAAAGACTACTGACGTCTAACATGGCAACTTTGTGTCTGTTTGAATTTTAAGTGTCAGAAGGCAGAAGGCCAATAGAATCATTGGTAAGTGCCTGAGAATATGATCATGCTGATGTCACCAAGGTAAACAAGCTATGTGAAATCAACATACATGTTGTCTACTGTAATTCACTTTATTTTCACAGTAACAAAAGTGTGTAGTCTGAGAAAAATAGAGGCGTTCACGGAACTATATGTTCACGGTGGTGGCAGGTGCAGAAAAAAGAAAGTCAGTAAGTTATTTGTTAACGGTAATGATAAGTTTGTGGTACAGAAGTGACCGTGAAAACCGTGAACATAAAAGTGCCGTGAAAAAAAACAGGAATTACAGTATTCATTACAGAATGAAGGGGGTTGCTAATCTTTGTGGCTGTCTGTTGGGTTCCAAGTTTCTGCAAGAATATGACAAGTTTATATGGGAGGATAAGGGTAGAATATCCAATGCCAGTGTACTTAATCAAAGTCAGGGGGTAACGGTTAATATGTATGTCCACTGCAGAAAAGATGTATCGGGTACTGACTTGAAAGTGGTCAACTAATACATTTGAAGCATTTCTGTCATGTAGCACAAATGAGTATTTTCCAGAGTTGTAAAGCACATGTAACATTCTTATAGTGGTGTGGTGTATTTCGTTAAGGCGTATCACAACTTCTATACAGATTTGCATGTGGGATGTATATATATTATTTACATATATGTATAGAATACACTTATATTACTGTAATTAGAAAAGTATCATGAATTAGAGGCATTTTTAGGACGAAAATGCAAGAAAATTTGAAAGAGTGTATATCTCTTGCCTTATCGTGTACAAAAACTGTCAAATTCTATTTTCTATCTTATTTAAGTTATACCTGATCCCCTTGTTTTTATCCATAGCCCCATGTTAACTATTAAATATGTTCATGTTTAGAGAGTAAAATGGATATTGATAGTCCTTATATAAGAGACATATTTAAACCTAAAACATGGAAATTATCCTGTGCAATGAATAACAATTTGTTCACAAGGTCTTTGCCTAATTATGGTGTATTTGAGAAGGCTTGACAGAGACCAAGTCTGCCACCTTTATGTGTATAATACCTGTTTGTGTCACTTCTTTCCTGGCCATGTCCCTATTTTTCTATTTGTGTGGATGTGATTGTGTATATTAGTACATGTAGTATTACATAACAATGGATGGAGGCAGGCACTGGTCGTGCTTTCATAACTGTTCATGTCAGAACTGGAAAAATTAAAGAACTCTTTGTTTTCAAACATGTGTGTAGTAATTCTATCATTAATGTGAATTATTTGACTTGGGTCCTTCAGTGTAAGTTTTCCTGGCATTTTATTTCTTCCCATATTTGCTGTGCACAAAACATTTAAAAGTGCAAGAGCGCCTATATTATAATTGAAGAAAGGAAGTCGCTGCAATAATATAAACCGTCGACAGAGAGCGCTTTGTTCGACCGGACCGGTCGACCCTCTTCTTGTGTTTTTCCGTGTTGGAAGTGATGTTTCTTAGCGTCACCCCTACAGGCTTCGGGAGGCGGCTGGAAAGAGTAGAAATCGGCCAAATAGAGGTAGCATGCCAGGGGAGTTGGTCTGCTGGAGAGAACAGTTTGCCTCTCCCTTGGCCGATTTCTACTCTTCCCAGTCGCCTCCCGAAGCCTGGTAGAGGCTAGATGATTCTTGATACAATGGCAAAATGCGTCATACCAAGGACATATTAATATAGATAGAGATATACAGGCTTTTCACATGTCGCAATGCAGTGTATACCTGTCACTTGCCAACATACTACTATACAATCAACTTATCCCGCCAAAATCTGAACGCCAAGATTCATTTGATAATTATCATGACGTCAATGCAAAGCCTCTATGTAATTTTCTTCGTCATACCAAGGAGATTTAAGTGCTAGTGGCATGTAACGTCCTTGGTCATACGTGCTCATGTCCACGCTGACAATGAAACGAAGGTTAAGGCCGAAAAGCTAATGTGAGTGGTTTTATGTTGCCGCTTTTATCCGATGACGCAAGTCTACCGATTCTTCAAATGATTTTCTGATGTACTGGCTGTCGTTTTCGATTCAACATGATTAGTGCTATTGAAGGCGGGAGTCCTCAGATAATGGTAGCAATTGCTTACGTTTATATATCAGCGAAATACTAGTTATTTCAAACGACTGTCGTTTTCATTTAGGACCTGCTAGCTAAACTATCATGTGAAAACGGGAAATGCAGGGTTTGGTAAAAAAAAAGTTTGCAATAATGCCAATATTAAATTGTACTGATTTTTTAGTTCATAAAGGCCATTCATAGCTGTAGAACTAGATTTTACGTATGGCAAGTGTGACTTCATTCGGTGGGGGTATTAAAGATTCGGTCAGCACATGTACGTCAGAGTTTCAACGTAGAGCCCATAGCTAGCTTATGTTTTGGTGTCTTTTCTCAGCTTTTGATTCATCATGACGTCTCACACATCTTTGACGTATGCAAAACGTAGATAAAAGTTCGTTCTAACAAATGGGTGACCGTCTTACGCAGAATACATGAAACAGCTAACAGTTAACCGCAACCTGCATTTATTTGACGCTCTGAAAGAGGCCGCTTTTCCCATAACGTGTTACGTTTTTTCGGAAGTGAACGTGGCCTAGATTTTGCCCAAGGACACTCCTTGGTTTTTTCCAACCGGATCGCCGAGGAAATTGGTAACGATTTTGTGAAAGGACCGTTCCTCATTTTCTTGGATAAAGGATAGAAGAGATGTGCATGCGTGCAAGGAAAGGGCCTGTAAAAACGGGTGCTTTTATAGAAAAATACAATTATTTGGAACTTTCCCAAGTTCATTCTCCATACATGACCATTTTCATTTTACGCTTTCTTGTCCTGTTGTATTTCAGGCATAACAATTAACGAGTTATCTCAAAAGTCTCACAAAATTGGTTCATTATCAGGTATTTCGTAAGGCCCATCCCCCTCGCTCTTGAAAGACGTTTTTACATGCTTGATGCTTTCCTGTCCTTGAGGTATTTCAATTATATGTGAACAAAAATCACAAAAATTTTTAAATCGGTTCATTATCAGATATTTCGTAGCTGGCCCATCCCCTTTTGAAGGACGTTATACATGCTCGAATGCTCATGCCCATTTTCATTCGGTGTTTTCCTGTCCGTTTGTATTTCAGTCTTTCAGGCATATCTGAACAAAAATCACACAAAATCGGCACACCAAAAGATAATTTCTAAGAGCCCATCCCCCTTTTGAAGGCCGTTCGGAAAGCCCTGGTTGGACTACCCTCGCTCCATATAAGGGCGGAAGTGATGACGTCGTACGGTGGATGTAATTTACACGTGGGGCCATTTGAGTTCACTCCAGTACAGTTGGTGCCTGCATCCTGCATGGAGCAGACAGATATGACCGGCGATTCCGTGGTACGAAACGACAATTCAGGCTCCCCTACTCCCGTCCAAGAAGAGGTGGGAGATGAGGGAGGGATCCAGAAAGTTGCCAAGCTCGTCGGTTCGGTAAAAATCGAAGGTAAGCTGCGTTTTTTTCGCCGTTTGCGAAGCGAGTACTAGCTAGGCCGGCATGCCTGCGCCGATGCCTTTGCTAGTCACGCACCCAGTTTCAAATGTTATACAAGACTTCACGGCCTTTCCAAAATCGTTCAATACATCAAAGAACAGTCTCTGACAAGATTTTCTTCGAATGCCAGTAGAATATAAGGCTTTTGGTGACAGAAAAACGTTAGAACAATCTACGATCGCTCTGCTCCGAACGCAAGTGTGGAGGGGTGACCTACACATGCAATCTCGAAGTGGGGTTGCATAAAGTGATCGATTTGGCCGTACAAACGCTGTCACGGGACACGTTTCGTCACTTACGCAACGTCAGAACCTAATTTTCGTCGTCCTTATTTCCTCAGATGCTTTACTGATGATTTAGTTTTCTTACTTAACGATTTGGAAGGTTTTGAAGCTCCACGTTGTAGCAAGGTCACGCCGGTTGATGGGATTCTGGGAACGATGACCTTTGAACGACAGACTAACCTGGGGAGGGGGGCGTGTCAGCCGGCTTTTCGCAAAATATTGGTAGAAAAATTAAAATAAATCATAAATTCCACAATCAAATAGTGTTACAAGCTTGTGAAATCAAATGGTATATTTTTCATGAATTAACCTGGGTCAATGCCGAACAAATAACAAATTTCTACCTTGTAATCTGTGTGTATTGCAGTCAGTTGATTTTATAAAAGCACTATATACTAGAATTTATTTGCAGGGGCTACTAGTATATCAGTTTTTTTGTGGATCAAAATGGCGTCAGTTGCATAAGCCAGTGAAGCAATAGTAACTAGTCGTAGTAACCGATCCACCGTCTGTTGGCTCAAGCCAGGTGAGCTATTGTTCGCCTGGTAACGGCTCACTGGGTCAGGTGTGCAGGCAGGTATTTACAGTCACCTGAACCTATTGTTTCTCCGGTTTCACTCGTTCGGAGTTCGGTTGCAAGAAATGGTAGATAAGTATTATATGATTCGTGCATTACTTGCAAGGACTGGACATAGTGCTATCACATATCCCTGAATGAATTTTTCTGATTTAATGATTGGAAAGGAATTAGCGATATTTATGAATATCAATGAAGGATTTTAGGATCAGAATAAATAGAGTGGTTAGTAGAGCTATCCTATGCAAATATTTAGGTTTTGATGACCTATATTAGAGGCAGAGAAAACAATGGCCACACTTCTGACTATCAGACTGTTGTTTAGACAACATTAGAGTTGTCTTTGTTTCGTATGTGTGCATTTGTAGGCTGGCTATCCATCTACTGGTGTTCTTTTTTGCTCATCAAATAAAGACAATTGTTTGACAACGTCAAAGATTTTTCGGTAGCAGTGCAAAAATAGTATTTATAAAGGTCTTTTCTTTTCTACTGTGCTTTTAAGATGTAAGCATATTGTGGCATTAATGTGCCTAACATTTGTTTTGAAGTATTCCAATCTTCATTACCGAATGAATTTATTTTGCTTCATACGTCTGTCAGTCTGTCTAATAGAGTTTATGTCATAAACTACATGCAAACGGGATGATACGGAAATTAACCCTGACACTCATGGCCAACTATTTCCCTTTTTTGTCGGAATTCTATAATCCAATCCATACCCCCATAGGAAGGCCTGTTAGAGGCTACAGCTTCAGCACCCATCTATCAAACTGCACCTGCAGCTGTTCCCTACACAGATGGGAAGTCCTTGAGGAGGGGAGGGGGATCCTTTTCTCACCACCAGGGTTCTCTTCTCAAGTTCTGTCTGCAAAACCATGAAATTTACTCCCTGTGACACACATGTGGGTTGTAAGGTCATACAGAGGTCACTGTTGACACCCCTTGTAAACCCCTGTTAACAGTGTTGTAGCCATGTGGGTTTCTGTTGATGGATAAATGTATTACATTTACAAGATCATCGTGTTCATTTGTAGTTGATGTACTACAAGCTGGTAGTATTCTTAGAAGCCTACAACTTCTAGTCAGTACTTTAAATTATGGGTAAAAAATTACATGGCTTTTCTGTAACAGTGATTGTCTAGCCTCTACCAGGCTAAATTTGACGGTTTTGAACCCATAGTGTTAGTCTGGTTGAGACATTAATGATTGTCCTGAAAAGTTATTTGTCTGGGTCAGTCGCTGGCTTATTGCATCAGAAACTGAAGCTTGATTGAGACCTCTTGAAGTCACCTTAAAAAGTGACCATCAGGTCGTTGACCAGTCACCTGTCAGGTCAGGGAGAGTTGTACTTTTTAACACAGTGGAAAAGGTGACTCTAGTGTTAGATATTGATTTTTAAGTTTTTTTAATAGAAAATCCTTAATTAAAATAAACTTAAGATAAAAGAGTTAGCTCACAACAAGCAGCAGCTTTATTTTGTTAACGGATTATCAGATATATAAAAGTTTGGGTTCTGTAATTTACAATATGCAATACTCTAGAAGTGTAAGAAAAGAAAGATACTTGAAAGTTGTCATTAAATGTCGTTCAAATATGTGCCACATTTGGCTGTAATTCTTCCAAAAGTAATTTGTCTAGATAACGTTACCGATATTGGCCTACCCCCCTCTAGAACGTAACATGATAGTCAATGGCACCCCAGTTATACAACAGGCATTTGGCAGACCATCGCCATCAAGCATTCTGGAAAGGTCATGCTGTGGAAATCTCCTTTGGCTTTGACGCAAGGGTACATGTTAATCATATTGCTGCCTCCACAAGGGAAAGCCTTCTCTATTGTGTATGAACTCACCCCCGGTGTTGCTCGAGTTGATCAAGTTTCGGGCATGTTTTGTTTTGCCTCATTCATGGTGCTTGGTCCGGTAACGTAAGCTGGTGTGCGTCTACGCTAAGCTGCAGTCCGTCGGTTAACACCACACGCAAGTTGGACGTACCACGAGTATGGGCAACAGCTGTGCCTGTACATGTTGGGTTGTACTGCGAGAAAAGATGTCCAGGCTAAGAGTAAGGGACGAGGAATCGCGACCGATCCTGCAACAGGACAAGTCGGACGCCGCGGACGATTGCTACGGTTCCATAAACCCCTCGGAGTCCAGCTTGTTTAGTCCCGTACCTGATCTTATCCCAGAATCACATCTTTCAGCAAAATCCCCAGAAGGTATCAGTTTGTATCTGTTTCTCAGCTTTGGGCATGACTTTGCATCTCGCTTCTTTACTAAATTCTTCTCACATGTTCACAGCTACACATGGACTACTAATGCAGCTCAGCTATCAAGGCTTAGCACTGATGCCCTAACATGTTACAAACGTACCAGTACATGTGTGTGAAAACTGATATCCAATATTGATGGTTATACTATAGGCTAGTCTGTACTGATTACCTACACCAGGTGAATACAAGGTAGCCCAACCCCTTAACACACCTAACATGGGTATGCTTGTCCTTAATGTAAGTTTTTCAATGCACAGGCGCACCCCTGTAACACCCTGTTAAATTGGGTATTCATCCTTAGATCTAAGAGTAACAATACCCTTGACTTGTCAGCATGTACTTGAACCTGTCTGTTTCATAAATAAACATAAACCTCTATCACTCAAACTGGGTTGTATTTAGATTATACTTTACAGTTGATCACTACACTAGTGCTTCTGAAGATTGTAGTGACTTGTGTGGTATAGCCCCCTGTAGGGAAATTCCCCATTCTTGTATAAGAGCTTTTGTCCATTTTTGTGGTCACCAAAAGCAGTCAGACGGTCTGTACATTGAAGTCTCCCGGCACTGGCAAGCATCCAGCCTAATTATTCATCCCTGTATTTGGTAGTCCATCCCCGCTGGCCAAACCAAAAGTACTTGTACAATGCAGTTGTGTCTGCTAATCCGAAATAACAGAGACACCATACTTTATAACATGCATCCCAAATGATAAAAATGCTTTCTGCACCCGGTGACAACTTTTATCTTAACAGCAACATGTGTTTCTACCGCATCTTGGTCTCTTCCAAATCTCAATGTCATCGTCAAAATGTCAAGTCACCATGATTGAGGCTACAAACTTTAACTTGTTACTTGGATGTACTGTATAATTGTTAGGGACACATCATATCAAAAGACCGAGATAAGTCTCTGACTTGGCTGCTGACCATCTCTTCTGCAACACATCATTTCAAGATGTCTTTCTAAAGATAAGGCAATAATGTCAGATAGATAAGTGATAAATACCTACACCTAAAATAGAACAAAATCTACTCTATCTACAGTGTAGATATCATGTCGACATGGAACAACTGACAACAGAAAAATCATATTTTACCAATAAAAATTAAAATAACAGCCCAATTTACTGTATACATGACCAGTATACCACTTGACAATACATCTCTGTATATGCTACAAGTTCAACATATTCCTACTCTTATATTTAAGTTATAAATATTATTTAGTAGTAAGCTGCATGCATGTAGGGTGATTGACCTAAAGTAGTGTCAAGTGCATGAAGTGTGAAGTTGCCTGCTCAGTGTTCGAAATACCTGTCTGCAGTCTGCAATCTGCAGATAGATTTCAAAGATTGCAGAAGAAAAATTTATACAATCTGCAATTTTGCAGCAGGAAAAATTGGCACTTGGGATCGGATTTGGTGCTCTTGGCCCCAAGGACAGACAACACTTAAGCTCTTGTTCTGAAACAACAGGAGCTTCTTCACTAATTTACATCAACCTTGTCTTGACTTGTCTATCTTTTGTTTCTTTTTGGACTTCCTAAAAGTTGTCTTCACTAATAATTTGCATATCAATCAATAGTTCACGCTTATAAACCTGTAAGGTTGTAGTATGGAGGCTTGTGTATTTGCAGAAAGTATTTCCAAATTGCAGAACAAATTTTTGACTCTTCTGCAATATTGCAGAGCACTGAAAAAAAGTATTTCGACCACTGTGCCTGCTGGTGTATTACCCTTAGCAGATTCTACAGCAATATTCTGTTACTGGTATTAGTGGTAAACCGCGAGAGGTAATCTGACCACTTAGCTTTAACAGCTGGTATTTCTGTACTCTTTCTCAGTCTCTTGGCCAAGGTTATGTAATATTAGTACATGTATGTGGTCAGAAAGGCATGGAAAGGTATTATATATCAGAAAACACCATGCTGCTATGTCGATCCACAGTTTTGCTATTATCAGTATATTTACTATGGCTGATGATATAAACAGCAGATGTTCACAATTTCCTTTCATCAAAGTCATAACTATATTAGTGTATTATACATTTATAGGCTTCCCCTATAGCACGTTATGCAATGAACAATCATGTCAGTACATGTAGTTTTGAATTCCAGATACTCTTACTATTAGCTGGCACTATGCATTGATTGTCTACCTACAACTACATGCACTTTGTACCAACCCAATACTTCTATGACAGGCTGTTGAGGTTGCGCAATTTTATTCCATGACAACCAAGTTTCCCTTTTGACACTTTCCAAATTAGAGCAGGGCTAATGAATAGAGCCGGGATTTCTGGGCTGTCATGTCTGTTGCCATGGTAACAGTGGTTGCTACCCCAGACTGCCTCAGCCATTGGGAACAGCTGGAGCTGACAGTAGCTTGGTGGATGTTCTGCATATTCTAGCCCTTTTCAGTAGAGGCCTTTGACAGTCTCGTGAAAATGTACACCATGTGGTATCCCGTGTGTGGACCATGTAGGTTTCATGTTCGTTGAAAATTTGTCTTAGGTAATTTTGTTCAGTTGAAGACAATAGTATGTGTGAAAGTGCATGATTATGGGAAGAAGTGTTTTTTTTTTTTTGCTCATGGAATTATTTTGGTTTTGTTTGTTTCTCTGGAATATGCATGAAGGATCATAATCTTAATTTTTTCTGAATTTTTGTCTTCATTTTTTATTGATTAAGAATCAATAGAATGTACATGTAGCAATTATTACTGTATGGACCAGATTTTGACAGGCGATACTGATGCTCAAGTCATACTCGTAGCTGGACATGTATTTCTCATCAAGGTCATTCTCATCTCTCTCCATCTCTAGGTGTGACAATTAGGGGCACTTTAGACTGACGACGGTTCGATAGTCGTACGAATGTTTATCGTCAAGATGTTGCCGGCGACGGTATTTTACCACCGTCTAAAGACGATCAAAATAGTCGCACGACGGTAATCCTTGAATCGTCGTCACTACCACCTCGGACCCTATCGTGCGATCCTTCAGCGGGGGGTCCGAGGAGGATTTTCCACCATCTAAAGTGAACCGTCGCCGGCGAAGGAAGTGGGGGGTCATTGGCCTTATGCAAATAAGCCTGCAAGCGTTATTTCATGTCCTAGCACATCGCCTGTATCATTAAATGTCGTCAAACCAAAGACTTTATATCGTCATACGTGTCTAGTACAATCCCCTGCCACCAATCGCTACTTCTCCGGTACGAACCGATCCGCCGATCCACATTTCCCGGCCAATATAGCCAGGCCGACGAGTATTTCCCCGCTCGGTACATGTGCCTCATACCCCTTCTTTGCTGGGCACAAACTCGGCGTCTCATCAACAGGACAACGAGTTAAAAGCAGAATAAATCTGCTGCAGCATGCCGAAAAAGGGGTTCTCTCGCCATTTTGAATTGGCGCGCGGCGTGCCATCCTGCGCTGCGGGTGTCCGCCACGCTTTCTGGTCATGTGTCTAAAGCCAGCCGTCGCCCACAACGATTGTCGTGCGATCGTATACCGTCGTCAGTCTAAAGTCGGCCTAACTGTATTATGTATGGCCAACATTTGACAGGCGATACTGATGCTCAAAAATCATACTTGTAGCTTGTATTTCTCAAGCTCATTGTCCTCTTTCTCTGCATCTCTAGTAGGTGTGGCACTGTACATGACTATGGCCAAAATTTGACAGGTGATACTGATGCTCAAATCATACTACATCATGTAGTAGCTTGACACGTATTTCTCATGATCATTGTCATCTCTCCCCATCTCTAAGGTGCTGACAGCCAGCAGCCTGTTCCTGAACCGAACAGTGCCCCGCTCATTCCAGAGTCCCAGCAGAATGGACATCATGTCAACAACCACCACGACCAGAATGGCAAGGAAGTTGCGAAGGCCGCGGAAGACGGCCTGGCGGCGGGAGAAGGGGGGAAGGTTACAGCCGAAGGGGAAAAGGCCGAGAATTCGAAGGACGACCAGGAAGTCATCGTGATCCAGGACATGGGCTTCAACATCAAGGTCGTGGCTCCTGGGATCGAACCATTTGAGTTGCAGGTAAGACAAAAGAAGAGTAGAAAGGCAAATATTTGCTACTACTGAGTACAGTGTACTAGCAGTGCCAGAAATACTTTTTCTCATCATTCTGCAGTATTGTAGAATATGTCAAAATTCAGAATACTTTTAGCGCAAGTGTTCGTATTGGTATAGCCGTTATAACCGCCCTTCGGCGTAACACACCATCTTTGCAGGCACGAGGTGCAGCAGCAGCTGGCTACATTACACCGAACGACTTGTTACACGTAACCCTTGAACATCTAACTCCAATCATTATATAAAGCTATCTAATGATAATGCCCAAGTTTTTAACAAAGGTGTGTTGTCTCACCTGTTCAGGTGAGTTCCCAGGAGATGGTTCAGGAGATCCACCAGGTGTTGATGGACAGGGAGGACACCTGTCATCGCACCTGCTTCTCCCTGCAGTTCGAGGGAAACGTCCTCGACAACTTTGCTGAGCTGAAGAACATCGAGGGTCTGCAGGAAGGCTCTGTGCTGAAGGTGGTGGAAGGTAATTTGAAGTGTCTCTAACTTTTCCATGCATGCTCCAGGGAGCGTAGTGCCTTGCCAAGTTGCAGGAAATACCAAAGAATCTTTTGTTGCTTTCCATACTTGACAATTGACATCTGTCTTAACAGCAGATCCAATAGCATCTGTCATGTTATACCAATAATGCAGTGATATTTTCCCCAATTCTGACTGGGACTGTGCCATCTATAGCCACAATGAACCTACAAATTATTTGTATGGTGATGAGATTGGGACATTGTGACTCACACTACCTGGAAACTGCCTGGAAACATGACTGAAAAATGTCCCTCAGCCTGTCTCATCATCAGACAAAGGACATTCTTCACATTGAGTATACTGAGGCTGAAGCCCTGTCCATAACTTGTAAACTACTGGTATGTTTTTAAAGTGCAACATTTTCTTTTCATTTATGTTGTAGTTAATGGCTACTGATTGTTCATGTTTTTTGTTTGTTTGTTCCCAGAGCCGTACACAGTACGCGAGGCGAGAATCCACATGCGGCATGTTCGGGACCTGCTGAAGTCTCTGGACCCGGCCGATGCCTACAACGGCATGGACTGTAGCTCCCTCTCCTTCCTCAACGTCATCACGGAGGGCGACATAGGTAGGTTCAGAACTGATAACAGCTTATTAGGTATATATGACTTGTTAGGAAGAAAAGGAAGGTTCTGGACCCTGCTGAAGCCTATAACGGCATGGACTGTAGCCCCCTCTCCTTCCTCAACGTCATCACGGAGGGCGACATAGGTAGGTTCACACCCCATAAAACTGTTATACAATCATCTATACAGTTAAACCTAGTGTTCCAGCCAGTTTGTTATCTTAATTTTGTTTCACGAAACATCATGTTGAGCGCCTAGGGGGATCTGGGGGCATGTTCCCTTGGAAAATTTTGAAATCTTAACCCTCTGAAACTCTATTTCCTGCATTTTGAGGGGCAGATTTTGTTGGTAGACTATGTTTAGCTTAATGACATCTCTTTCCATATGTTTGCACGCTGCTGTGTTTACATAGAATGAAAAGGTTTTGTTCTGTGACATTGATTTAAGGTGCTTTCAAGCATTAACAGGCTGTAAAAGAATAAAAGCATTGTTTGTGAAAAATTGGTCTGACATCCTGAAGTCTAAGCTGTAATATGTCACTGTCATGTATTAACCCATATTTTACCACAGCTTTATGTTTATATATAGCAGATAGCAGTTTCTCTAACTTTCCTTATACTTATAGTCGAGTGGAAATTTGGATAATGACAAAGTGAATTTAATTTAATTCTTTTCCTGTTTTCCTAACAGAACAGCAGTGTCTGAAGTTGTAAATAGCTCCAAGAAACCTAATTTAAAACTGTCATGCAACTGTTACACCTCGTGTACTCATTTGTCGTTGTTTAGAAATGAAGAAAAGAAAACGAAACGACAGTGACTCGGTGGACTGCACCCCACCAGACTATGTGATGCCTGGAGCAAAGGATAGGCCAATACTTCCACTCCAGCCTATGTCAAAAGACCTCAAGGTACAACACACAGGTTCACTGTAATTATGTACGTGCCTTTTGTTTGTTTATCCAGATGGGACTTAATATATTGTTCTCTCAAGTTCTTATCACTGTATTGTTTAGTGGGGTGGAATTGTTAGTATGTTAAGCCTTCAGAATCATTCAACTTTATGAACATGGAGTATATTTCTAATGTGAAGGATTTGAAGAATTCAGAAGATAAAAGGATTATACATGCATGAAATAATTCTAGGTCACTCCCAAAGGTACACCAGCACTTTACTTTCACTTTCATCGTTTAACCAGTACATGGACCAGTGCAGGTTAGGTGCAGGTAGACAGCAGAAATACCTGCACTAACCTGCATATACACCCAGTAGTTCAAGCCCTGACTTCAAGTCAAATTGTAATGACTGAATGAATGAAGACCTTACTGTACACATATATATACATGTATATACCCAACAGGTCACAACAGAAGAATAGTATACAGATAAATTGAATGAATGAATGAATGACTGGTTTATTTGATCAACATCAACATGATCCTTAAAAAGTACATCGCAGCCAAATAAAGTGGCTGAATTACATACTGTTCACATCAAGAGATAAGGCTATATACAAATAGGCATTTGGTACAAATAGTAATATTTACATACTGTAATTCCTGATTTGTTCACTGTACTGATAAGTTCACTGTTTTCACTGTCTCTTGTGTAAAGTGAACTTATCATTATAGTTAACAAATAATTCCTGGATTTTCTTGTTCCTGCACTTGTTACCACCGTGAACATATAGTTACGTGAACATGTCCATTTTTCTCAGACCGTGAAATTTTGCTACCGTGAACATAAAGTGAATTACAGTATAGTAATAATGTTCTAAATGTGGAGAGGTTACTGTTCGTTTAGTAGTTATATCATGTATGCAATGACAAATGTGAGTGTTTGACCATGTGCCCCCACCCCTCCCCAGTCCCCCCAGTGCCTGAAGGTTCTGACAGCCAGCGGTTGGAACCCTCCCCCAGGGAACAGGAAGATGCACGGGGACCTCATGTACCTGTCTGTGGTCACCGCAGAGGACAAACACTTCCACCTCACAGCCTCCACTAGGGGATTCTTCGTCAACCAGTACGTGCTGTACAATAACATGTTTATGTCACAATAGAGACTCCGATCAGTAGGTGCTGTATATATTAGATTGAAAAGACCTTTATTGTACATTTATGTCCTCAATAGGTCATGGTAATATTGAGCGATACAAGTGTTGCTTCTGAAGACAGTTGTAGAGTGTATTCTTCGTCAACCAGTATGTGCTGTTTTTAGCTCATTACACCAAATAGCCTGAACCATACCCCATGTTTGATTTTGATGGTGTCTTGCCCTTTTTGATGAAGCTCTGGAGCATATGATGCATCTAATAAAGGCCAACTGTCCTCTAGTTTGGGTATTTGGCACCTCACTTACAGAAGGATTGTGCATGTGTTGTATACATAAAGGGGTCCCAGTTCTGCCCATGCAGGAACTCTTTAGGCAAGAAAGAAGAAAATTGCATGAATAGAAGTATACGTACATGTATTCGTGTTTGACATTTTTTTGTACTTTGGCAGAGCCATATTCACCTGGGTGAAGTCATAAGAGAATAATGCCTTCAGTGCAATCTAAAAAATAATCTGACACCTTGCCTGCAGAAAATTTGTGACATTGTGAATGGCCAGTACAAGTTGTTTGCGAATGTTTATGTTGTATTCCTGCTGTACAGGTCCACTCAGGAGACGTTTAACCCCAAACCTGCCAGCCCCAAGTGTTCGGCTCACTCCCTCATCGAACTGCTGAACCAGATCAGCCCTGTCTTCAAGAGGAACTTTGCAACACTGCAGAAAAGAAGGTGAGGAGGAGACTTAAAGTTTCACAGATGCTACAGTTAGACATATTCTCTAGTAATCATAGCTTGTGGTCTTGCACATATTAGAATGTTTGTATATGGAGAGCAAAATACTCAAAGACCTACAAGTACTATTACTACTACTACTACATTGCTGCCATACTGTGAGGAAAGTCTTGTTAACTGCCTCTCCAAAGGGCACAACATCGGGCATGTCAGGGGATCAAACCTAGGACCTCTTGGTTCAGAGCCAAATGCTCCGACCATTATGCCAAAACAATACCGGTACTAATATTCTCTACTGTTGTGTGTTTTTTCCAGGGTGAACAGACATCCCTTTGAGAGAATAGCCACCCCCTTCCAGGTGTACAGTTGGACTGCTCCACAGATGGACCACACCATTGATTCTGTCAGGGCAGAAGATGGTAAGGACAATTATGAATATAGACCTATAGGCTTGATTATTACTAGACTAAACGTATTCTAAGTTCCAGTGATTTTTGAGACTGAAGAATCCATTGGTACAACAAGGTTTAGAGGTGCAGTTAGAAGATTCTCGTGGATTGACTTTTTTTCTCTCTATCCTTTCCAGCTTATACATCAAGGCTTGGATATGAAGAACACATACCAGGACAGGTAGGCATTAGAAAAAAATAACTTTAAGAGAAAATGTCTACCTAACAGTGATGGTTGGATCAGACTTTTCTAAAGTAAGGCATGTTTAAGAACCTACCTACAAATGTAGACCACATCTTTTGAACGTAGGAGCATGCTCCGGTGTGCGATGGTGCAAATTCTACAGTACAGACTTAATGATTCAGTACAATTATACAAAAACAGAGGCCCTGTCTTGTCTTAGCCTCAAGGTTCACCCTTAATGATAGCTCTGCACGAGTTGAGTGGCCTTAGTAAAGCAGTCACGTCTAGTCTGTAGGCATCAGCATATGTATAAATGTTGTATTCATTCATTCCAAATGTTTCCAACAGACCAGAGACTGGAACGAGGAACTGCAGACCACCAGGGAACTTTCTCGGAAGAACCTCCCCGAGAGACTCCTGAGGGAGCGCGCCATCTTCAAGGTGCACAGCGACTTTGTTGCCGCGGCAACTCGAGGGGCGATGGCGGTGATTGACGGGAACGTGATGGCCATCAACCCGGGCGAGGAGGCCAAGTATGTTGGTTTATTACCTCCGTGAAAAATGGAGGTATTGTTTTCAGAGAGTGTGTGTGTGGGGGGGGGGGGGTGTCTGTGCATGTGTTTTTGCATATCTGTGTTCAGCATAACCTAAGTTAGAGTAGGTACATAACCTAAGTTATGCTGAACAAAGTTTAAGGGTTTATCATGATATTTGGTATGTGGGTAGGTCTTGGAAAGACAAAGGTCAAGGTCAGTTTTGGCCCCCTGGTGACTGACCTTGGTACTGCAGCAAAACTTGTTTAGTGGTTGATTGGTTGTTGGTTGGTTGGCTGGTATATGGTGACAAAAGACTGTCACTATAACTACTTATTGCCTCTTAATGCCAGTCCCAGTAGTCTGTCCTTGGTTGCTCTCTGGATAGTGTACTGTAAAATTCTCAAATTCTCCAACACAGTTATCTGCTAAGAGAAACCTTCTAGTAAATGAGTTTAACCAAGTTTAACTTCTAAGTTGAAGTCAACTGCAGATGTTGGTGTTGGTTTCGGGTATTTGGTTTGGAAGTACAATGTTAGGTGGTTAGTGTAGGTGGGCCAACTTATCCTTGAAGGATGCCAGAGTAGGCGCGGTGGCTGTCTCTACTGGCAGAGAGTTCCACTCCGGAATGGTGCGTGGGAAGGATGTCATTTGCTGGTCTAAAGTCAAAGTTGGTTCCCGCACCTATCTATGGCACCCATCTCCGTTTTTTAGCCCTCATTTCATCTATCCCTTAGTCTAATCATTCTACTGTTGGGGCACCACAGATAATCTGACAACCAGTTTTCTCCCTGTTTTCTGTTTCTCATAGTGCTTCATTTAGTGTCATGCTGCTCCATGATGATTTACTATTTATGGGTTCACCACACCACGAAGTGGTGGTGAACCCATATTGCTTTTTCTGATGTTTCTTCTCCTCCTTCTCCTCCTCCTTATTCTTCTCCTGCCATTTTTTAAATGGATTCAGCTTCTTCATTTTTCGGGCCTAAGGTCCTGAAATTTGGTATGGAGGTACAGTGGGCAAATACCCCTAGGCGTTTTTTTAATTTTTGTGATACAGGCTTTTAGAATGGTTTTATTTGAGTTTTTTGGCTGTGTTATAGCAAATGTATTACTGAGTTAGTGTGCAGTGTTACCACATTTGGGCATGAGTCATCACAATGGAATGCAGGGCATCAACCAATAGGCATGCAGCTTTCCTCTATTCTCCTTGCTGATTGGCTGTTGGAATTTAACAGGCTTAACTTAATTAATACCTGCTCAGATCCATTCCATACTGACAGTATGTCTGTATTCAAGTGTTTTGGTAGGTATTTCAAGCTTTCCTGCTCCAGCATTGGAATGCGGGGCATGAACACTTCTTTTTTTCTTGAAAATCAACAGTTTGCATTATGCAATTGAAAATCCTAACCAATAATGTAGGGAATAGCTATCCAACTGTTGTAGTCTTAGTTGTATGTTACTTCATACTATAGTTATATCAATGTAAAGCATTGTTTTCCCTTGTGTTTCTCATTCTTTCCCTGCCATGTCGTAAAATGTGGTGAAGCCATTGCTGTATTTGCTCCAAAGCAAATGTCGGCCTTTCTAGTTATTTTTATGGCTTCACCACAAAGTGGTGAAGACATATTGTGTTCCCTCATGTTTCTTCTTCTTCTCCTGCCATTTCTTTAAATGGATTCATCTCTGCCATTTTCCGGCCAAATAACACGAAATTTGGCATGAAGGTAGAGTGGGCAATACCCCTACGCGTTTTTTTCATTTTTTTGAAAAATTGTTTTATTTGGGTTTTTTGGCCATTTTCAGGCAAAAAATATACATTTTGAGATCTGGTTCCCAGGTACTAAAACCAAATGACCTGAAATTTGGTATGGGGATACCTTGGACATATGTCTACAAAAAATCATTCAAGCTATTGACATACACCACTTTTCGGACCCAAAATGTACATTTTTGGCTCCTGTGCCCTAATATTAAATCTGAATGACCTGAAATTCGGTATGGGGGTACCTTGGACACGTGCCCAAAGAATGCCATTCACGCTTTTGACATATATCACTTTTAAATTGTGTAAAATAGGGCTTTTTTGCTATTTTCGGACCAAAAATGTACATTTTTGGCTCCTGTGCCCTAATATGAAATCCGAATGACCTGAAATTTGGTATGGGAATACCTTGGACACATGTCCAAAGAATGTCATTCACGATTTTGACATACACCACTTTAAAGTTATGTAAAATAGGGCTTTTTGGCTATTTCCGGCATTGGAAGGTTCCATTTCTGCATGGGGGTGTAGACTATTGGCAGCCATCGTAGGATGGATCCATTTTCGGTATGGGGGATAGGGTGAAGCCATCTGCTGCATTTGCTCTCAAGCAAATGTTGGCCTTTCTAGTTGTATTATATCTTTTTGATTTGATTTGTAATCCGTGACCCCGCCCTCACCCTCGACCATGTTGAAAATGTATGTGTCATACATGTATGTATGTACCGAACAAGCTTTTGAGTTTAAATCTATTTTTATTAAAGGCTTACTTACTACTACTACTCCATTCTCTGATGTTATCCTTCCATCTTCTCCATTGCCTACACCCTCCTCCATCCTCCCTGTACTTTTCCTTGAATAATGTTTCTGATGCCTGAGTCTCGTCATTCTGGGCTTGGCTACTCTGTGGATACTGTACCATCAAATTTGCCAGCTCTTCGCCACTGTTTCCACCAAGACAAATACACGTGGGACACAGTCAACTATTGCTGGCGTTGTGTCCCAAACATAGAAACAAATACAGGACAGACAATACTCATTTTGACTTGCGTTAAGTGAGGAAAGTTTAGCCAGAATTCCAATCTCTGACCCCTGTCTGCCTGTTACAGGATGCAGATGTTCATCTGGAACAACATTTTCTTCAGTCTGGGATTTGATGTGAAGGACCACTATAAGGAGTATGGTGGCGACTACGCTGCCTACATCGCACCTGTAAGTACTCTTCTTACAACATTTTACTTCAACTTAAGAGGCTAAAGTAGTTTCTGTTTGTGTGTGTGTGTGTCTGTCTGTCTTTGTGTGTGTGCATTTATGCACAACAATTACCATATGTTCTGCCAAAGAGACCATATCTTCGAGAGGGTGAAGTGTGACATCTTTGATTGCTTCTAATCTTAATACCACTGTTAGCAATAGAAATACAACATCTATCTATCCAGCTAGTAGCCCTATACTGATAGTTGTTACACATGACATTTTACATTCTATAAGTTCAACAGAAAATCTGTAAAATTATCTGACATAGAAATTCAAAGAAGTGTTGAACATGCATTGGTGCCACCTGTTAACCATGTTTGACTGTATTTCCTTGTCCTGTTTCCAGAGTAATGACTTGAAGGGAGTGCGAGCCTACAACGGTGTGGACATCGAGGGTTTGTACACCCTCGGGACGGTGGTCATAGACTACAGGGGGTACAGGGTCACTGCACAGTCTATTATACCAGGTAGGTGTATGCAATGCTTTCCAAGATTTCCTTGAGTACCATATGCATGTATCTTCTTGCTGCACAAATACAGGTTATTGTTTGTCTCTGTATCTGTATGGCCGGTATAACTGCCCCTCAGTGTATCACACCACTAGCTACGTACATAGCCTTTATACGCTTGTAATGTGTTCACAGTAAAAGTAGAGTCTCCACACTAAGGTGATGACACACTAGCCAGGAGTTCAGCCATTGTTGGCTTTGGCCCGCTCCCCAAGATCTGCTATTATTGGCAGGTAGCGGATCTTGGGTAGCAGACCAAAGCTAACAAGGCTGGACTCCAGGCTACTGATACACTTAAAAGAGGTGTACTTCTTGTTTCTTTTCTATTAATGGTCCAGCAAACTACATCCAAGTCTAGGCTGTAATATACATGTTACAAATTTCTTCTCTTTTTTTTCCTTCAGGCATCCTGGAAAGAGAGCAAGAACAGAGTGTTGTGTACGGCTCCATCGATTTCGGCAAATCTGTAGTAACAAATGACAAATACCTAGAACTTGTGAGTAGGAATATTTTGTCTTTCTTTTATAATTTGAGCAGAAACAATACGATCATAGTAATTTGCAATTTTGATTAACAGTGTGTCTTTTCTTGGAATATTTGTGTAATTTTCCTTTTCATGTTTATTTTTACAGCTGGAAAAAACGTCTAAACCTCTGAAGATTTTACCACACAAGTAAGTAACAAGAAATTGAAAAGTTCTGAATACAGTAACTGTTGTTTACTTGATAATGATTTGAAAAAACTTGCTGAGAAAATAGAGAAATATAAATGTAATTACTAAACTCATGTTAGTAAAATATTCCAAGAATGACAGTGTCTTTTGTTTCTCTCCAGAGTAATTAATGATCAGAATGAGGAAGTACAAATCATCTCATCTGTTGAGTGCAAGGTATGTAGAGACAAAACTGTTTAATATTAAAACTACACACTACTTAAACTGATAGGTTGTAGTACGGTACATAAACATTATACCACAATGAACCAAAGCTGTTCTCATCATCATAGACTTTATATTGTCCTACAGTAACTATACTACTTAATTTAGTGTTTAAGATTCAACTAGTAGTGTGGCTTTGTTGAAATATTTTTTTACTTGCGTCTCTTCCAGGGCATTGTGGGAAATGACGGCAGGTATTACGTGCTAGATCTCCTACGGACGTTTCCACCGGATGTCAACTTCCTTCCAAGTGAGTGCGTCTTACAACTGACTGTGTCCATCATTACGTCCTTCAACTTTTTTTGTACTTAAAGTAACTTTATGTGAATCATTGCAAAATGCTTTACATCAATTATGAACACTTCCGTTCATCCTTCAAAATGGAACAGTCTTTGCATTTTGATGTCTGATGGACTGTACCATGTGCGTTCCAGTGGAGGGGGAGGAGCTGAGTGAGGAGTGCAAGGTTCTAGGGTTTCCCCGGAAACACAAACACAGGCTGGCCTGCCTCAGACAGGAACTGGTGGATGCCTTCGCAGAGTGAGTATTTGTTGTTGTTGTTGTCCTTGTTTAATGTCTAATATCTTACAAGATGTGGTCTCTTGGTGCAGGTTTGCACATGGTTCAGTTCAGGGTCAATTGGTCTCTCTAGGTATTTAGCTCTTGGTGCCTAATGGTTGTGCTTGTATGAAGCTGGAAGTGTCTCAAGGTGAGCACTCCGAATCAGTGCGTACTCTAGATGAGTATTTGAATGTCATTCTGTTTCCCTGTAGATCTCTACCGTGTTGACCCTCTTGTGCATTTCTTAAAGCCATTGTTACAGTTCTGATTAGCCAGTAGCCCAGTACTTAAAATATATTTTCCAAAGTAAGTCATAAATTTGCATCACTGCATGAGTACTTGGACATCATGCCAACTATCTGTAGATCTCTTTCATTCATACCTTGTTGACCCTCTTCTCCATTACTGGTATTGAAACCAATTGATGCAGTAGTAGATACTAGTACTCGGGAGGTGATATTTTCTGATTTGCCAGTACAAGAAGATTTTTTTACAGTGCAAGTAATAGATGAGTAACCACTAACCAAGAGTCTCCTTTATTCCCAGGAACCGGTATCTCCTGTTCATGAGGCACGCAGCTCTGCAACTCATGAGCATTCGGCAGAAGAAAGCAACCACAGTAGAAGAGGTAAGAAACAAACCTGTACATGTATGGCTATACTGAAGGTAAGAAATGTAGGGCGATATGATACTTTGGCCCAGTTACTGCAGTGAAAGGTTTCTCCTTCCTTTCAACTTGTTACAATATACATCGTGGAGAGAAAAAAAAAGAGTAAGCAAGGAAAAAAGTACCTGGCTACAATGTAAAGCTGAATTAGTTTTAAGGTGTTAATGTTCTATCTTTGTGCTTGCTTGCTTACTTGCTATCTTTGTACGCGGCCAATACTTGTTTATGTAGTCCTGCTACCTCCCACAGAACCTTGAAACCATTCATCTACCAACCTGATGATGAAACTATATCAGCAGAATCATTCTGTCCATTTTTTGCCAACAGGAACAGAAGATCTCAAAAAGGCTTGTTGCTGCCGCCCAGGGCCTCAGATCACCCGATCTCCCCCCAAAAGATGTGCACGATCTAGACAAGAACGAGACAACTGAAGAAGACCCCAACAACCCTCCCCCCTCCTCCACCACCACCGAGTCAGACAGCCAGCAACCTTCCAGCGAATCGAAAGAAATCGAAACAAAAGAGAGTAGAGAAAGTGATGGTAAGGAAGCCGCGAAAAACGACCCAAAGGCAAAGGTCTCTGGGTGCACAAGGGGCCAGGGTGCTAGTTCTAAGGACCCCATTGACGCAGAAGCACAGGCTTTGGTAGAGTCGCTGGCAGAACAAGACTCAGGTTCACGTGAGTGCAGCATGTAGTTATAAATTCAACATTGTTTTGGACATGTCGTCGTCGGTTTCAGTCCTCGTCTGTAGCAGTTTTTGCTGCATCTGTAGCTGTGGCAGTTTTTGCTGGAAACCCCTAGATTTAACCCCAAAGTTAGACTTTAGAGCTTGCGTTACATGGTGGCTTTTTCTTTTTTCAATGTTGTTGATGCTATGATATACTACTAGTACATAATTATAAGTGTATGCCTGTCTAATGCTTGCTGACTCAGAGATACATTTGTGTGTTGATTGCTGGTATTGTCTTAAGCATCTCTAGCATGAGGTTGCATTTACAAATGTACATGAAAAAAGATATACTGTACTGTCCTTGAAAGAAGGCTATTTTTATTTGCTTGATTTTTAATATTTTGTTTGGCAACATTTTCTTTATTTCCATGCAAATAATAGACTTAAAAGATCTTTAACTTTGTGCAACTTGTGTTCCATTTTCTTTTGTACTTAGTAGTTTTCACAGTACAGTCAAATCTGTGCAATTGACCACCTCTGCTTAATTAAGGACAACCTAGCCAATGTGACCTTCTTGAAAATTCTGAGAAAATTCTTCCCATTGACTCAAGCATTAAGAATCCTGTCTATGGTGACCACCTGTCCACATAGACCAGATTTGATCAGTATTGGTGGTCTAACTTCTTGAACAGTTTTGACTGTACAATCATGTATTTTTCAAGCAACAGCTGTTATTCATTGCAAACTATATGTTGAATATTATGTTCCCTCCACTTTCAGTGGATGCCGCGAGTCGGGAAGTTATCAACGCAGCGTGCCGTGCAATTGGATCTTTAAGTGACTCGGAGTTTGACGTCCGTTTCAACCCAGATGTCTTCTCACCTGGTGTAACACATCCAGACCCTCAGGTGGGCTTATCTTAACTCTTTGTCTTATGTTTTTTAATGTTCTATTCAATGTTGGACTCAATCAGACTTTCTGTGTTATAGCCAGCCTGAATTTTTTGTCTTCTGAATTTTGTTCGAGGTCATGAATCCTAGGGTGGTCCGGGAGTTTTTAAATATTGACTCCAAAATGCTATTTCCTGCATTTTGAGGGACAAATGTTGCTGGCAGACTAATAGACTAAGCTTTGCATACATTGTATGATATCTTTACATACTGATATTTGTCTTTTGATCAAGCAAAATTTGTCTTCGGCAATGGCAGCAAAATTCTGTCAAAAAGCCGGACTCTGGCTAGAAGTCTGCTTTATGTTTTCAACATACAATGTATAGTCCTATTAAATTTGTGTATTTTTAATTGAGATTTTAAATGGTTTTGTTGCCAGGGTGACCAGTTCAGGAAACAGAAGCAGTTAGTGAAGGATGCTGCCGCTTTCCTGGTTTCTCATCAGATAGGCGGATTTGTAAGTACTAAACTTCCTATCTTCCTAATCCTAACAATTACACAACACAGCTAGCTATAGTAGACTTGAACATAATACATTGTAGTTATGTTACATTATATACATATAGCAATAGGAGGGATTTAAACTGATACATACGACTTACTGAGGTAAAGGTGTAGAATCTTTCAGATGCCGTCCACCATATTTCTTCAGCTACTTGTACATAGTTACTTAGATGATAACACTTTCTTAGTCTAAATGAAGTACTGTCTGTAAGACTTACTCAGTTACTGACACCTCATTTCAACATTTTAACCCTGTATAGGGACTTCTTCAGAAAATATCCTTGACCTAGAAAATCAAGCAACTCCTTTTCCTTAGGAAACCAGATGGTATTGCATATCCCACAAATAGGGCAAATTCATCTCTAGATCTTCGGTCTTCTTTTGGAATAACAGCTGATGTCCTGATAAGGTAATCACCCATTTAAGGCAACAGCTGATTATCCATATATGGTAACAACTGATTTTCCATATAAGGCAACAACTGATTATCCATATATGGTAACAACTGATTATCCATATAAGGTGACAAGTTGCTCTCTCCCCTTTAGGTGAAGGACTGCTTAGAACATTCCATCACGGCCATAGATGGGCAGTCACTGTGTGAGGCGTTACATGACAGGTGAGCCCCCTAGCTAACCATATTTGAACTGCAGCCAAGTATGACAGTCTTTTTTTTTTTAAGGGTTTGCGTGAAAACTATTTTTTGTGGTAATGTCCACACATTCTTGATTATTCATTTCCATCCTATTGAATCAGAATCATTTAACTGGGAAAAACACATAATTTGTGTGAAGAAATTTTGTCAAGTTATGCTTTCCAACTGTATATTCTGTTGGTGTGTAACGCCGAAAGGAGGTTATACCGGCTATACAGATACAGATACAGATTCTGGCCATGTCTTGCCATCACATGTGGCACTTCAAGTTCAAGTTCAATTTTATTTAAATCAACTGGCATGTACACAGATTCACAGAAAATGTGACATGAAATTCGTTGACAATTACAGTAAAAACTCTCAAAATGTGACATGAAATTCGATGACAATTACAGTAAAAGCTCTCAACATGAAGACAACGATTAAAAGCAGCATAATTAAAAACCAGTTAAAAATACAAAGCACTCGTGATGAACAGAGTTCAGCTCTTATACTTAAACCCCACTGTTATACACACTTGCACATGTACAGTAGTCTGTTGATGTGAATGATGTCTGGAATGGTAAAAAAGAAGCACTTTGCAGTTTGATGCATGTTGTTTTTCTTCCTCAGGGGCATCAACATGAGATACCTTGGCAAGGTGGCAGACCTTTTGTCACAGCACAACCTTCTGGAACACATTCATGTGAGTGTCTGTCTTTTTCCGGGTTAAAAATACTTTTTTCTGCATATAGTACCTGCACTACAAACTCGTTGGGCCTCTATTTTGTAATTGGATGGCTCAAGTCAAAATGTGCAGATAGAAACAAAGCTTGTCGCCTTCCCTGACTAGATCCATGTTGGTGGAAGTGAATTGAAGCTGTAACAATCACATGTCTCGAGCTCTGCAGTTAATTTGTAAGATTCAAAGGGAATTTTTTTGGACTGTCTACCTTCCAACTGAAGAAAACGAAGTGCTGTGTGTCAGGCTGGTAGCCCATATTTGCAGAGCATCAGTTTTTTTTTTCACAACTGACAAATACACAAACAGAAATTAACATGACATACGATTTAAAATTTAAGCACAGTCGATAGTAGTGGCATAGCATTTTGCACAATACGCCAGTACTGTTTTTGAATAGTTCAAATCTTTTTTCAATTTACAGGAGTTATAAGTTAATATTCCCTATGTTTGTGTTTGTTTTTTCAGAGGATATCGGTGTCTGAGATGATCTGCCGCGCTGCTAAGCACCAGTTCAAGTCGTACATGCAGGGAGTGGAGATGTTGTGTCTTTCTGCTGCAGTCTCACACTTCCTCAACTGTCTCCTCTCAACCTTCTCCAACCCACACCCTCAACTACCCGAGGACTTTGGGGTAAAATTACTCATCCAAACTATTTTACTATGTACATGTATGTATTTAATCTCAAGATGGCTGGATAGCCCCTTTCAGCTTGGAGTAGCTGTTTTCTGAGGGGGCCAAGCATAGGCATACAAGGCACATCATTGCTACATTCAGTCAAACAAAATACTATTAGGTCAACCTACAATTAAAACATACAGTCCAATGCATCAAAATAGAGTCATAGTTCAAAACTAAACAAAAGTAGCATACAACCTTGTGTGCATGACCCCAATATGTGTGTAACTGTGTTTTTTGCTCATTTTGTAGTTCTATGGCTGTATTCATAGCTTGCACTGTTCTGACATTTTCTTCCGTTGCTTTTTCAGCTCAACATGAACAAAAAGAAGAAGAACAAGAAGAGGTCGAGGCATTACCCTATAGCAAACCATGGTGAGGAATTGACCAAGTTAGATTAGCTCTAAATCAAGGTCTAGCTCAATCTTTTAAAATGCACGTTAATCAAGGGATTCATCTTAAGTTAGAGCTAAAATAAATATGTCTAAACTTTGAAATGCAGATTTCCTTATTTTTTTATTGAGTTGTCATTTATAATATGGTTAAAACATCTTCTCCCCCCACAGTTGACAGAGAATGGGCTAGCCTGACTCCCCAGGACATGTGGTCCAACATCAAGGCAGAAGTCAAGGAGTATTTTGACTTCAACCTCACCTGGTAAGGCATCCTCCATTTTTATTTTAACTCTTTATTTTGCACGGAGCAACATGAAACAGGACACATTTAAACCACTAGTACAAGATGGAGGATTGAAAACATCTCGTTCATCCCCTTAATGCAATCAACAGAAGTCTGTAGGTTCCCTGTAACCATGTAGATTTGCATTAATTTGGAAACACATCTACATATATAGCAGCGACACCTGTGCTGTGCAATGTGAACCAGTCAGAATTGCCCTGAGGAAGGTGACAGACGGTCACCGAAACGTCAGCTGAACAAAACACTTGCATAAAAAGAGTCTCTTTATTCATTAACTAACTGTCCATTTCAGTAGTAGCTGTGATTCACTAAGGAATATCAGTTACTCCGTAAATAATTTCATCAGGTTGGTAAACCAATGAATAGCAAAGTTCTTTGATCACAACCATTTACTTTTACGAGAAGACGTTTCGATGACCGTCTGTCATCTTCATCAGGGCAATTCTGACTGATTTTCTGTGCACTGACGCTAGATGTTACAGGTGCATAGTTAATAAACTGTATTGCAATGAGTATTATACTTGATTGTAAAAGCAATTAGCCTTCGGGCACGATTTTTGAATAAAGTTTCATATAATAATAAAAAAAATAAATGGTTGTGATCAAAGAACTTTGCTATTGATATCAGTTATTGTTGCAAGGTACAACAGATTATACACTTTTAACTGCCTATTTCAGTGACAGCAGTGATTCAGCAGTGGAGACCTACGGCCTCCAGAAGACCTCCCTCCTGCGGGAGATCTGTATCAAGTGTGGAGTGCAGGTACTGCTGAGGGAGTACAACTTCGACTCCAAGCACAGGGCCACCTTCACGGAGGAGGATATCATCAACATCTTCCCCATTGTCAAACATGTCAATCCCAAGGTGAGATCAAAGGTGTTATTCTAAATACAAAGACGGCCTATATGTTCTGTTAATGAACCTTAATTGTAACCGACTAACCGTTCTTATTTCTTATTGTTGATAATTATTGTTTATTAACCTGTTACATGTATGCCTCCAGCTAGTTTTGCAGTCCTCACTATGTACACGTATCTCTTTATACAGTTTAATAAATCAAAACAAAATCACTGCTGTTGGTTACAGTATACACTTTCTGAACTTGAATTGCAGTACCTCTATATCCTGCAAGGTGTCATGACTGTGACTTGTAAGTTATGCGGGATGCACCAAAAAGTATTGGAAGAGAAACCTTGGTGCCAATGCAAGAGTTTACTCCTAGGCTTTTCTTTGAATGTTGTTTGACTGCAATACATTCGTGCCATCTGGTTCAAACTGTGTTGTATGAGATGCTCCTTTATCATTCCAAGAAAAAACAAAACAAGTAACAAACACATTGAGTTTCATGCTATGTACATGTAGGCAACAAGGCTTAACCTAGTTTTTTTTTTATTGTTCCAGGCCACAGATGCCTATCACTTCTTCCAGAGTGGCCAAGTCAAGATTCAACAAGGTACTGTAGGTTAAACTCTCCAGTTCAACTATAAGACGATTAGAAACTTTGAGACACATCCATGCACTGTTAATGTGTTGCCCCTAATGTTTAATTTTGACAGAGAAATGTTTAACAGCTCAAATCACATATACAGTATTGCACTAATAACTCGTTGAGTCATACACTTAATTGGATGGCTCAAGTCACAATGTGCAGATAGAAACAAGGCTTGTCGCCTTCCCTGACTAGAATTGTGTCCGTGGAAGTGAATTGAAGCAGTAACAATTGTCAAATTCCTTTGTAATGTGACTATATCATCGGCTAACCCGTTGCAATAGCCACAGGATAATTTGGCTGCCCTAATCAAGAGATAAAAGAATTGAGCCTCCTTCTTCTCTCTTCTACTGTGTTCTGCACCTGTGGTTATAGAAACGTCCTGCAACTGCATTGTCTTTCTTCATCCTCTTCCACTCTGCTTTTCCCTTTACAAGCTTTCCTATCTTTTGCAGGAATTAATGTCTTCAACTATCATGAAAGTTCATCAGTGTTGGTAGTTGCATGTTTAGAGTTAAGACTTTTGGTCCAACACAAAGGTTCTCTCGCCTAGAGCTTTCGACCAGTCACTCTGGTCTTCCTCAGTAAACTGACCCAGTGGGGCTTGACCGCTTCTTTGAAGTGTGACTTCAACACAGGGCCATAGGTATCAGGTAGATGATGTCGGCCCCCGTCACGGTCTTCATGTACTAACATATATGTGTAATATATTGTAATTGTTTTGTTTACTCCCCAGGGTTCCTGAAGGAAGGTTTTGAGTTGATTAACGAGGCGCTGAACCTGTTTAACAACGTGTACGGCGCCATGCACCCCGAGATCGCCGCCTGCCTGCGTACACTGGCCAGGCTCAACTACATCCTCGGCGACCCGGTAGAGGTAAGACCCAAGGACATTGTCTGTACTTCACAGTGACTCTTTGGGGCTCAAAATACTGTTTCCTGCATACCTGCACTGGTGCAGGTAACATGAAAAATTACCTGCACCAGACAAATTTTACCTGCACTAGGCTCAACTACATCCTCGGGGACCCTGTAGATAAAAGACGCAAGGACTTGTCTCTAGTCCACACCTGCGTTCTGTCGTCTGTAATTCACAGTGACTCTTAATTGTACTCGTTGACTTCTTGATAATAACACCGATGACACTAGAGATCCAGTAGACGGTCCATGTAACTGGTGCACCCTTTGCTACCATTTGTTGACTGTGCAAGTCGCTCTATAGCTAGGAACACATAAACTGACACCTACTCAACTGATGTATCACATCAGCACAGTGTATTCACTATGATACATGTACAGCAGAATGACCCCTAGGGGCCCAGTGCATACCAGTACTTCTAACAAATTGAACTGTTCATTGCATTGCTCATAGCAGTTAATTTTTTTTCTTTCTGTCTTTGTTTCAGGCCTTGAATAACCAGCAGAAGGCAGTCCTGATGAGTGAGAGGGTCCTGGGTATCGACCACCCCAACACTATCACTGAATATGTAAGTTCCCTCCCTCACACTGTCACTTCATAATGTTAACAACAATTACAAAAGTACAACACTTATCGAAAAGTCCTTCCTGGTGTGAGTGGTTCAAACCTTACAGTCTGGTCTATGGGTTGACAAGGGTGATAGTCAACCTGCTATGTCTTTTAAGCATTCCACAAATGTAAAGGTAAATCTTAGTAAACAAAGTCTGAAATGAATGAATATGATAGAGTATGAATTGGTCCTTAAGGTATTAAAAGAGTTGTTATTTCGTGCTGTGTTGTCGTTTTGGGCTTGCACTTCAAACTCGTTGAGCCTCTATTTATAATTGGATGGCTCAAGTCACAAGGTGCAGATAGAAATAATGCTTGTCGCCTTCCCTGACTTGAACAGTGTCAGTGGAAGTGAATTGAAGCTGTTACAATCACATACCAAGGCCCAAGATACTGTAAATCACTTTATGTTCGTGATAGCAAAAGTTCATGGTCTGAGAAAAATGTGCATGTTCATGGAACTATATGTTCATGGTGGCTCCAGTGCAGAATAAAGAAAGCTGGTGAATTGTTTGTTCACGGTAATGATAAGTTTGCGCTACAGAACTGACTGTGAAAACCGTGAACATAAAAGCACGAGAAAATCACGAATTACAGTAGTGTACAGCTAGTGTCAGTTAATGTGTACAGTTAACTTTACCGTCCGAGCTTATTTAGCTTGTACTTAATAATATGTATTATAATACATGTACAAAACTGTTGTATTACGCCTAAAAAGGCAGTTTACGCGTTATGCAAAACAAACAAATGTTGTTTTCCCAGGTGCTTACATTTGTTTGTTATGTTTACCTTACAGGTGCACCTGGCGTTGTACTGCTTCGCTAACCAGCAGGTGTCGGCTGCCCTGCGGCTGATGTACCGCGCACGTTACCTCGCACTAGTGGTGTTTGGGGAGGACCATCCAGAGATGGCGCTGTATGATGTAAGCTGTCCCCATCTTATTACTTAGAGAACTTATTGTATTGTCTTTATTTACACTTTTTAAAAGTTTTTATTCACAAGAAACAGGCTGTATACAAAACAATCGGTTAACCTTTGTGGTCAAAATTGACAAAAGTCTTGGGTACAAAATATAAATACATCCAAAGGAACACCAGCTACCACTCTAAACGCCATGATTTGCTTCTCAAAATGTGAGAAATAGCCTTTATGAAGGCTACTGGAAATCGGAAGTTTGTCCCTGGACCCCCCTAGATTGCAAGCACTCTCCGATCATGAACCTGGGCTGATGGAAGAAAATTTTTAGCTGGCTAGAGCCCAGGTTGTGATGACATCTTTCCTTCCTGTCGCCCACAGAGCAACATCGGTCTGATTCTGCACGGTGTGGGGGAGATCGACCTGTCACTACGTTTCCTTGACAACGCCCTTGAGCTGAACAGGAAGTACCATGGCCAGCGGAGCCTCAAGGTTGCGCTGAATCACCACCTGCTGGCGCGAGCCTTCTCCTGTAAGGGCGACTTCCGCGCTGCGCTCATGCACGAGAGGGAGACATACACCATCTACAAGAGCCAGGTATGTATCATTTTTTTTGATATTCTGTATAGCTGGTATAGCCGCTGTTCAACATGAGACCCAAGCTTCTGTATCTGTATGTGTGACGCCCCTGGGGGTAACACATCAGCTTCTGTAGTAGTATCTGTATAGCTCGTATAACTGCCCTTTAGTGTAACACACCTTCTGCTATATACAATGCAGATCTGTATCTGTATAGTCGGTATAACACACCAGCTTCACGGGCATGTTGTGCAGCAGTAGCTGGCTACATCACACTGAACGACATGTTACACCTAACCTTTGAACATCTAGCTGTAAAAATTGTTCAAAGCTAGGTACTGCACTTGGTGGCAGTGAGTTCGACTCTACAATAGCTCAAGGGCTACAGGATATATTATCCACCTTGCTCAGGTACATTGTAGCCCTGTAAGAGGCACATTTTCAACAAGTTGATAATGACAGCGTGATCATAAGTTTTGTTTTTTGTGTTACAGCTGGGAGAGCAGCATGAGAAGACAAAGGACAGTTCCGAGTGTCTGAAGCACCTCACGCAGCAGGCAGTGGTACTGCAGCGCACGGTAAAATGTTTTTCACAATCAGTATAGGAGATGGTTTCAGATGTACTTCTGAAACATTATAAGAGAGTGTAAGCAAATTCTACATATATCACAAACTCAAGATAGCAAAAAACCAAAGTAGTGGTGTTATGTGGCATTATGGTAGGATATTCACCCAGGAAACCATGGGTCCTGGGTTCAAATCTACCTACATACACCAACGTTGTGCCCTTAGGAAAGGCACTTTACACTTCATTTTTTTGAAAATGAGTACTGTTTAGGTGATAAACAATAACACTATCCCTAGATATCAGGTAGTATTTACTACAGATATGTAGCATCTTCCATTGAACAGCCAGGAACTTCAGCTGAGTTGTTTCTGTTTTCCCATCCAGATGAATGAGATTTACAAGAGTGGTTCACAGGCAACCATCCCTCCACTTCAGGTAAGAGTGGTCACAATGGCTGTTATTCAGGCTTGTCATGGCTACCTCTTGTGGCTGTAGCATAAATACAGAAGGTAGTTCTCAGTTAGTAATTGCTAGTGTGTGGGCTATAGAAATGGCAATGGGTGCTGCACTCTACACTATGGTGTTGGAATTACATGTTCCTAAATTTTTTAACTTAATGCTAACTGAAACGTTACAGTATCTTTTTTGAAAGTTTCGTCTGATTTTCTTTTGTTGACATTTTTTCCAGATTTCCCCACCTTCTGCCAGCAGTGTTCTGGAGCTGATCAACATCATCAACGGCATCGTGTTCCTCCCTCTCAGGTTAGTTCTGAAAGTGCAGTATTACTCTTTGTGCTTTTTACTGCCTACAGCTATAATGTATCAGCATGGTTGATCTTCATAATTTTGAGAATACAGTCCAACAGATACTACTGCGTGTAGTATGTCTGTGTAGGAACCACCTGGCCATTCGGGCCACTTTTTGTGGTCCCTTACATTGTTTTTTTTCCCATTGAACCAAGCATTAAGATATATCTATAGTGACCACCAGTGATCTGTCCACTCTTGAGTGGTCACTTAGGTAGGTTTTGCTGTTACATGCAGTAGCTGTCTGTGGAAAACTCCCAGATACAAATGCTATCAAATACTGTAAGTTTGAACTGTAATTTCCAACACAAGAAATTGGACTTGACCAAATTTTTCGACTGTACACCTCCAGTCTTTGTCAAGGAATTAGCAGTCCACTGCTTCTATAACATCAAAACTTCATCTGAAAAGTGCTCAGAGAGTACAGAAACATCTGCTAGATCCTTAAGATTTTTATATTTTGAACACACAGTCAAAAGGACCTAGACAGACTGCAGCAGAGGCAACAAGTGCTGGGCAACCTCGCTGAGAACAAAGTAAAGGACATGCCGACCATCAAGGAGGCAGGTGACCAGGAATCGTCCGCACCAAAAGTTCCAGAGGAGGACGACTCTAAAGCGACGAAAGCTGACACCGCAGAAGCCGACGACGGAGCAGCAAGATAGAACTTAGCATAAACTAGGACCGTATTTTTTGTCAAAGGGGTCTTTCCTCATCATTCTAGTGATGAATGCAGCAGGTTACATCCACGATTGTTCAGCAAAAGAAGTTGCAAACGAGATGGAGTGATTTTGATTGTCACAGACCAAGTGTGTTTCCTTTACAAGAGGAAGAAGGCACTATTTGGCTACACTCCAGTGGTGTTGCCAAAAAAACAGGCTAAGAGGTTAAAGCTGAGATGCAGTGTTGAAGTAACTAACAGAGATCATTGTCTTGTGTAGAAAATTATATGTATTTGTTGCCGAAACTTTATTGCACAAATTCCCCTTCCAATTTATTGTGTTGAATTGAAGATACAAAGATGATATGTTGTTCTTCCAAATGTCTGTTTTGAAAACCTCAGCAATGAACTGGTACAAGATTTGAAAAAAAAAGATTGAGTGTTACATTTAATGATGTACAAGTGAGTAACAAAGTGTGTCCATGACAAGCAAGGTTATATAATGTACTACATGTAGGTACTGTTACTGTGTAGAAGAGCTGTTTAAGTGGTGGGTGCAAAAATGTTGTCTTCCATGCTCGCAACCTTGCAAGCGTTATTACATATTCCTTGAATTTTTAGACCATTTTCAGTGTAATTCTGCCATTATCACAAAAGTGTTACCTGAAATGAAGAATTTTAGGACAATACATGAAGGAAGCTGCTTCAGAATTTGATTCACATAGACCGGGTGTTTCAGTATGACTGAAATGAGATATGAATTCTTTACTGCGGGTCCAAAAAACACTGCCTCAATGTGATTTCTGTCAAGGAATTTTTCTTCATTCTGTTTGAAACATGTTCACTCAAAAGGTACTAATGTTAAAAGAAACATAAGCAACAGTGCTATAACAGTGGGATGCTTTGGACATTCTATATGATTGTGAACAGAGTAAATAGTATGTAATGTGCTACGTACATGTAGCTTTGGGAAAATGTTAGGGAGTTCTTTCTGACCACTAGCTGACTGAAGTAAGCCACATGTGTTTGAGCCTCGCTGCTAGATGAAAGAAAATGTGTAGATTTGTAGACAAGAGGATAAATAGATGCTCTAGTACATGTAGTATTGTTCACTATTCATGCCTTAGGAACCCTGTAGACAGCTGACACCTGTTTATAAGTGTTAGTATCCATGTTCAACACACATGCAACTTATGTTTTTTTGCTGACAGATTCTTCAATACTGGTGTAGGTTTTTCTCCTTGGGTTTCTAGAGATTTGCTAGGAAAGGCAAGTCGTGTATTATGATGAGAATTTTGTTGATTTTGGCAGTGTTGTCCTATTTATTTCAGGATTTGATATCTCGCAATAACGGTTTGACTGTGAAGAATGTATCCATAGACTAGTGACCCCAAGCTGGTTAAGAATGCTTGGTTCTTGCATAGACCTTAATTATAAGGTGGGTGTGCGATAGTTTGCATCCAGGATGTTGGGGTTTTCTTTTACACAACCAGTAATGTCACCTGCTTATGTTTTGTTACCTATCAGACACCTTCCTCAGAGCTACATGTAGATGTAGGCATTGAAACATAAACAGTACGGGACATTACTTGTAATGTGTAAAGGAAAACTCCAATTTTCAGTTCTTGTTCAGGATTTTCAAACCAGCGCTTCAACCTTTGTTCATGAAGGAAATTCCAAAGAAAATTGTTTGGATTGTCTCATTGGGGAAGTGCTGATTTGTTAATTTAGGGGTGGGATTGGGTGGGTAGAGGAGCTTTTCTGTTTGCCATTCTTCCAGGTTTTAATTATTTTATGTAGTCAGTGACAAATAATGGTCTATTTTTGATTCCCATCTCATTCTCCATCAATTCTGAGAGGCTTTGCTGGCTGCACCCTCCACCCCCCTGAAAACTTCAGAATGGAATGCCCCTTAATTAAGCAACATGGCATAGAAAAGTATGGCATATATTGAGAACAGAAAAGTCTGTTGTACAGACAGTACTAATAGTTATTCCTGAAGGCCATTTCCTGTTAGATCTTGGGGTGGACGATGGCAAGTTGAATAACATTTTCTGACTGACCAGGTTTCCTGACAGGTAGTGGCAGTTTAAAGAAGCCTGGCAAGTCAGTTAACAGTACGATTTTCTACCCCAACATCTGCTTGGAGATTAGCCTGATGGCTCCTGCTATGGTAGTAATTAAAGTTCTCTATAACTTGTTTGGTGGTTCAGTGTTACCTGGAGAATTCTAGAAAGCAAATAAGGTTAAGAGAAATGTATGTGAGAGAAATACTATAGATTGTTAGATATTTTTGGTGTCTAGAGAAACTCTTATTAGCCGATGGATAAGAAAAGAGCTGGGTTCTGTTTGGAATGCATGGAAGAATTTGGGTGAAGAATTAATTAAACACTGTTTGACACCTGATGCTGTGTTGGCGTTCTCTTAAGTGTTGTAGAAATAACGTATTATGATTGTAACGTATAAAATAAGTCCGTGTGGTCATCATTGATTATCCTGTGGTATTAAACAAGCAAAGTCTGTTTGATTTTGCCCATATTGTTCTAAGCACTTGGAGTTTGGAACGGGAGGTGACCTTTGTACATGGGATTTTTTGCAACGTCACAAGGAAGCCAGAGGGAGAAATGGCGACACTTGGGTTCTTGTAGACAGCCATTACTGTTACATTGTCGGAAGATTTAGAATTGCACCTGCCCTATAGACCACTGAAAACCACCAGTACCTTCCGTGCGTATTTTCTCGCGAATTCTTGGTGTGAAGCTGCTGCCAGTGAACCCCGTTCCGGGCACTACCTTGTGAAAGATTTTCATAAAAGTACAGGCCCACAAGGTGAGTGAGTATTACTTTACAAGACTGAGCAGTGTAATGTTTTTTAGTCATTTAAGTGTGGTTCACACAGAAAGTAGAGTCATGAAAGAAGCTACAGCTGTTAGTCTCTAGTTGTTGGGACAATTGACAGAGATTCCAGGTGAGTGCATGGATGCCGGGTTAAGGCTCTGGGGTTGAAGAGGCAACTTCTCGACATTTTCTGCTCTGCCAAAAACATTTTTTTTTGGAAGATACAACGTGTATTAGAATTCAAAATCTAGTATTCGTTGTGGTTAATCGCAGCAGTACCCACTTCTTGTTTAGTTGGTTATTACGTGTGGACCAGACTTTCTAGCGGACTGACATATTGTCCGAAAACTACCTGTATTGATAATTAGCTAGCAGGTTCCCGGTGTTTTTTTACACGTATTAATATAACGTTAGCGATAACTTAAGCGACAAGGTGCGCACTGCATGTACTTTAAATACGGCACATTTGCAGTATGGTGCTTCACTTGACAGTTACTTGGGCTGTGCACGGGAGGAAGTCGCAGGAAACTACAGAACAAAATTGCATTAATTTAAAGCTTACAAACATCTGTGAAGCAAGTGCAAGAAATCGAATCGGTGTGGACTAAAAGTGAAAACTAATTTTTAGTTTTACCTACAGCCACTGAAAGAAATTTCTCAACAAGATGGACCAGAAAGCGCCAAAGGCAGAAAAACCGAGTGAGACTACCCCTGGATGCAGCACTGGGGATGAAGGGGCCACAAATGCCATTAAACAGAGTCAGGGTGCCGGTAACATGGCGCTCCTCGATCAGGAGAGAGAAACTGGAGTCTTGGATGTGCAGGAATGCTACAAGGACGAAGACGTGGTGGCATTCTCAGAAACAGGTAGAAGAAATGATATTCAGTCATTTGAACATAATACAAACTAGAAAGGTAACATTTGCAGAGCAAATACATAATGTTTACCTTTGTCTGTGCTCTGTTAACTTTACTCAAAAGACATTCATATATGGTCAGACAGGAGTCTAAATCCCTCCTGCTATGAAATTGCAACATGATTGTATTATACATGTAAATCCAACACCACTTACCATGGTGACAGACTGTCATTGGCCTTTTTGGTTTGGAGAAGAAGAAACAGAGCAAATTTAAAACAATATGTTTTCCTTCGGTAAACATAACAAGCTTATATTAAATACACACTTAATAGTCTATTATATTTAGTAAAATACACATTACAATTGCCTAATTCTGTGTCTTTACAGAAACCACAGTGACCCAAATTGCAGGCCAGAGCCAAGTGAGCGGTCAGGGCAACAAAGTTATCAACATCGGCCCCAATTCCAACGTCAACATCTTCCACGGAACATCAGATGATACCAACACAGGTGGGTACATGGACAAAAATTCTACATGTATGTCACAGTGTAGAGTAATTCTTTTCTACTTTATTTTGCACCTTTTTAAAAAGGAGACAAGTTGTTAAAAGTGTGTGTGTGTGCGTGCGTGCGTGCATGTGTGTGTGTGTGTGCGTGCGTGCGTGCATGTGTGTGTGTGTGTGTGCGCGCGTGTTTGTGTGTGTTTAGTAATAAACAGAGCAGTCAGTTTTGTTAGGCTAGAAGGTAAACCTTATGCATCACCTTTCCCTAGTGGTTTAATGATTGATGATGAATATGTTAATGAATTAACTATATCCAATACTGTTGTTTGTAATGACTTTAGTTTACTTCTTTTTCAGTTCCCAGCATTGGCAGCCCCAGTGAAGATTTCCCACTGGCTCCATGTCAGGACGCGCTCAGGGCATATTTCAAGACAAGAATGAGTTACCTTCACCCACTAGCGTGGAATGAAACCTTCACCATGAAAATTCAGGACGTTTTTACGACTGTAGATCTCGTGACTCGAACCCAGCAGGGAGGAAACATTAAACGACGTGCCCTCCCCTCGACCGTCGATGCCTTGATAGCCAGGCCCGACTGTCCCCAGCCCCGGCGCATTCTTGTCGAAGGTAATGCAGGCATAGGGAAGACAACAGAGGTTTCAAAGCTCGCTTTTGACTGGGCTGAGTCAGAGGGACGTTCTCCAATTCTAGAAAAGTATGATCTTGTCTTCCCAATCGCGCTGCGGAAGGTAGGTGAGTCCCAGTCCCTCACAGAGTGTATCTTCGACCAACTCCTGCCAAAAGATGTGCCGTTCCAAGAGTCAGACTTGGAAACGTACTTGAAGGGGAATGACAGAGTCTTGATCATTCTGGACGGCTTCGATGAGTGGGCCGAGTATAAAGAACATGGCATCACCGATCTCGTAACAGGTAGGAACCATAAGTAAATGTAGTCCGCTTTTACAGCATTTCATCATCTAAACAGACTAAACCATACATTACAACAAGGCGATCAAATATGGAGGGCTACTGCCATGATTTCATGATTTTGGGGAAGCCTAGGGTCACAGAAAGTAGGGCATCCCTGCAAAAAGGTTTTCCCAAGGAAATTCATCAAGTATATATGTACGTAGGACTTTGAGCATAGATGTGTGTCAGCAAAATTCCAGAGGACATTCCATGCCTGTGGATAAAATTCCTGGACAATTCCTAGAATTCTTCCAAACTGCACACGATACTGTACCATTAATAAGCTCCCCCCTGAGGCGTAGCCAAAAATACCAACATAGGTGCCAATCCTCTCCCTTCCTTTCAGGTAAGATTCTGCGTGAGTGCTCCCTACTGGTCACCACCAGACCTTCCCACACCCCACAGCTGCACAGTCTGATGTGTCCGGATACACGTGTGGAGGTCACAGGGTTCAGCCGGGGCAACATCCGCACTTACATCCACAAGTTCTTCAAGGGAGACCAGGACAAGGCAGCGGCCTTAGTAAAGAAGATGGACTCCTTCCTTATTCCTTCAGGCATTCTAGCAACACCAATCCTGCTTTTGTTGACATGCATAATGTGGGAGGAGAATCCTGATATGGTCCTAGGGGGTAGAATCGGTCCTCTTTATGACGAATTGGTTTCCTTTATCGTAAGGCGACATTGTGCAAAGAACAAAATTGCTTTTAATCAAGGTATTCCCGACAACATCAAAGATGCACTCTTGTGTGCTGGTGCTCTTGCTTTCAATGGTTTGTTGCAGAATAATCTTGTATACAACAAAGACGATGTGGCCAAGTATTGTTCTAGAGAGAGCTTACAGAAGCTTGTATTGTTAGGGATCCTTCATAGACAAGAAAGCCCCTCTAGACTCAACCCTTCTGACCAGTTTTCCTTCTCCCACAAGACAATGCAGGAATATTTTGCAGGGTTGTATTTCGCCAAGAAGCTTCAGGACGAGCCAGCACTACAGTCAACTCTGAACATGTACCTAAGAACGGCTCGAAGTGTGCGAGAGTTTGAAAACGTTGTTGTCTTTGCCTGTTCAAAGTTAGGGTGTGAGGCAGATGTTCTATTGGCTCATCTTGTCAATATCTACCAAGAGGAGTTTAGGAGCCAAATTGAGTTTGATTTGTTACGTCACCATGAAGCATACCTTGAAATTGCACTGTTCTGCTTCTACGAAAGTGGTTGCCTCTCACAGTTCGAGAACATCTTCCTAACCAAAGGTGTTATTCAGTTCTCAGGTGTGGGACCTCGTGTCTACAACGCCTTGGGTAATGTTCTGAACAAAATTCCGTCCGAGTCCCTTAGAAATCTAGAAGCCCTCTGGTTGACCAATACCTGGCAATGTTTTGTTGTTCCTGTCATTGACAGCCTGAAGATGATGAACTTGTCTGAGTTGAACCTTAGAAGTGCTTGTCTTGGAGGTCACGACTCCAACACAGGACCCTGTGCCCGCCTCTCACAACAGCTGCCTCACCTGACAGGTTTGAGGAAGCTTGGCCTGTCTTACAATGGTCTTCTCTGCTCAGACTTACTTGTCTTACTGCCTTCCTTGAAGACGTTGGTGAAGCTTGAAGGGTTGTATCTCTCTTGTAATAAGTTAGCAGGTTGTGGAAAGAGTCTGGCCGAGCTGCTGTGTTCCTTGCGGAGCCTGGAGGAACTGTGGGTGTGTGACTGCAGACTTAGTCTGGAGGAGGTTCTTCAAATAGGTAAGGACATTCATATTTTTTCCAACCTCATTGCATTACTAGACTTTTCTATAATTCATGTGGTAATCTGTGATAACGTCGAAAACGTAAGGAAATATTATCACATGATGAATAGAAAGCAGCCTCGAAGGTCATACAATTTTATGTGAATTTGCTTAGGGCAGAATAGATGAAAATGGGTTGTTCAAAACTACATTTACTTCATGACATTCCTGATGATGTTGTTGTTTTCAACAAACAGCCACTGCAGTGGTGCAGCACCGTCCAAAGATGAGAAAGTTTGGCTATGGACGTTTGACAGGTCCAGGTGGCGATAAGAAAGTTCAGGACGTGCTGAGGGGCAAGTGGCCTGATGCTACATATAGATGGGTACGTAATCCAAAGACCATGAATTCAAATTAGAGAACAGAGCACCCAAGCATTATATATAACTATGAGGAGAAAACTTGTAATCAAAACCTGTAGAATCATATGTACAAACTAAGACACCTGATAGTTTAGTAACTGTGTGATCACACTACAAATGTCTTGTTGCCATGAGTAACGTCCATAAACTGACATTGTCTTTCCACATATTCTTTCCTCTAGGGAATTGCGTATCTTGGACAGCCAAAACTTCCCTCCTAGACCCTACATACCAGAATTGGTTCAGCACTGGTCATGCTCAAGCCGACAACAGAATCCAAGCACTTACGTGTACAAGTACTTAATAATATGTAGACTTTTGTAAAATGATTTATGGACCTGATTAGGCTGTTTCCACTTATTATTGTACAATATACATGTAGTACATATTGTTCATTGACTACTCTTACATTATTACGATGTAATTTCTGTAACAGCAGACAAGAGTGCATACACACCAAGAGTGCTTGTTGATGTAATTGGTAAATTTATTGACATCGGCATCAAATTTAAATGGAACTACAGACCTTTTAGCCGTTCTTTTGATAAGACATGCACCATCTTCTAATTGAAATAGAACCCAAGGATTTCACCGTCTTTCACGTTCGTGCTATTGGGAATTCCTTACCATGCCATTTATAATATTGAAAGTAAAACTTGTTAGATGTACCACGAGGATAGCACTGCTAAAGGTAAAACGTGATACATTTGTACAGATTGTAAAGGTAATCCTTGATATCCCTGGATGTAGATGATATCCTACCACTAAATGGACAAAGTTACAGTAAATCAAGAAAGTCTTCGAAAAAAGATGTGAACAGCTATCAGTGTGTGTTTCTGCGCATGTACATGTATGCAGTTACTGTCAGTTTCAACTGAAATTATAGCAGATACATTTATGACTTTTCAGTACAATCACTAATATATAAAATATATCAATCATAAGAAAGTAACCTTAAGGAATAATGAAAAAAATTACACTTTGAAAAAATGCATACATCCGTGTCATCTAATTCTGTGCACATTTTCCTCACAGTGTTATTGGTACAAATAAAGGGAAGATTTAAGAGGATGAAGAAAAGTTTTGGTTCTTCCTTGCTGAAGTTTACATGCCTGGTGCAGACAGACTCTTGTCCATAAACCTCCTCTTGACAAAACACATCCACCACTGCAGAAAACAGACAAGTACTGTTTGACACCTGACTATGTGTTGGCGGTATCTTTAAGGTCGTAGAAATTATTCTACTGTAACAAGTTAAATCTATCAGTCTGGTCCTGTCAACTTCAAAAAATTAAGACAATCTGTTAACATCATGAGAGAGGCGCCATCTATATCCGTGTACAGAGCAGGTTTTATTAAGATACATCGCCCGTTCCCCTTTGAAAACGTTCCCCAAGTTGGCCTTTTTTCAACTGTTGGTCCGCTTACATGGTGAACGCTGGCACCAGACCACTAAGTACCCTTTGTACTCACTGTAATAGAGCACAGTGTCATACAATGCTGATCTCGGGGCAATCTGCAATCTAATAGCGCGCGGGAGAAGGAAGCATACTTAAGTTTTGCCCATACTGTTCTAAACAAAGCATTACGTTCTTAATTACGTCGGTGAAGGTTAGACATCCAGGTAATAGGGTACGCCAAAAAGAAAAACAGTTACTCGTCTTCCTCAGTAGACTGACCCAGTGAAGCTTGTCACGTGGCTTCTTTGAAGTGTGACGTCAACACTGGGTCAATGGTATCTGGTAGACGCGGTTGAGTGAAGGGTGATGGGCCCTGAAATAGCCTCTTTCACACCTCTTGCAGTGAGTTTTGTCATACTGATAAAATGTGATGGAACTATGAATAATACTTTCCACAAAATCAGCCTGCAATTATTGGTTTAATCCACAAGAAAATTCTTACTCAAACAACTGAAAAGAGTCTACCCAGAACTAAATTGTTCAAGTAACAAATTCCTAGAATAAATAATTGTAACGTTATCTCACTAGCTACCTGGATGTCTAACCTTCGTGGACTTTTGTTAAACCACTGCGTGTTTTCATTTGGGCTCAAATCACTAACTGTACCGTGACAGGGCACTTGTGATATTTCTGAATAAAAATGTGTACATAACGAACACAAAACATACCATTTGTCCCTCCATATCAACGTTGCAGGGCCTTGCAGCGCGTTGGTTGCGAAAACTTCGTGCAGTCTTCCAACGCTTGACCCCAACCATGGGTCATTGACATTGCACGACCCCGAGTCCCGAAAATGAGCAAAGATCAACCCGAGTACCCAGATATTGTCGCTATATTTATGTTTACCGACACCAACAGCAACCAACTTTTCTGCATGTTTATCATAATTACCAGCCATCATTAAGTTTGGGTTCAAGCCCAGACTTTCCTTCAGATGTTTGTCGAGTTTAGACTCAGCAGCAATATATAATAATTTTAGCTTTCTACTTTAATAGATAAACATATTACTTTCTACATAGTTACCTTCGCCAAGAAGGTTATGTTTTCAGAGGCGTTCGTGTATGTGTGTGTCTGTCCTTCCTTCCTTCACGGGACACGATAACTTGAGAAGGCTTAAATGGATTGTCTTGATATTTGGTAGGTGGGTGAGACCTGGAAATGATTAGATTTCGGACCACCTAGCGGCTTCTTATGTACTGCAGCGGAAATTCCGGTTTTGATATCTCATGATCTCAGGGCCACGAAATTTGGATGATAGGTAGCTCTTGTGCTGTGGAAGAAGTGACGTGAGTTTGGGCCCCCTACCGGCTTACTCTGGAATTGCAGGGGCCTTTGTTTTAATAATATTCAAACGGGGATAACTCAAGAACGGGTTCACAGATCGCCATGATTTTTAGTGTAGAGGTAGCTTAAGTGATGCTTGACATAATTATGTGGCAGTTATGCAAATATGTATGTAATTTGCATAATTTATGAGGATGTTCTATAAATCAGTTGCATTACATGATAGGACTGAGAACTGAGGACACGTGACTGAGAACGAGAAAAGCACAGGCAGATATTGATCATGTAAATTAATTTGCATAATTAATGAGAAAATGTTGTAATTCATCAATGGTAACTGCCTGGGATTTCATACTTAGGGTACTTGAAAGTCAAGTGAAGGTGAACATTATTAAACATAACTTATTCAAATAAGATAATAACCTAGATAAGAATAAGAACCTCATTTGCTGCTAGAATGGCATTCTTTGCTAAGATACATGTAGACTGTCTATTTGTGAAGAATAAGATCAACCGATATAATTCATGGAAATGAGGATCCTATTTGCATAATCAGGGGGAATAATCTCTAATTTGTCAGTCATAAAGATTAACATCATTTGGCGAAGGTATGAGATCGTGGAACTCTAGTTTATTTATATTCCTATGCTAACAATTCTCGCAATTTGGAAAAAAAGAAGATGACTAGCAGGCCTACGTTCCATGCAAATTATGCACAGCGTTTAATAACTGAAAGGAACAACAACAAAAGACAAGACAAAAGTCTTGACCAATAAAGAGCAAAAGTTGCGACCTCTTATGTATTTACATGTAGTGTACGAAAGCATCAAAGAAAAAGCTGCATTTCATCCCATTTTTCTGATTAAATATCCATCTTAATATCTCAAATTTAATGTGTCATAAACATTTCAGCATTTAAATGGTCAGCCATTAAATCTTACTTATTGACTCCATAGTTTTCACGACGTTTGATAAGGCCTTTCAATACAAATATAACAAGGGCACAGCAGTTAAAATGACTTTACTTACTATAGTCGAATATGTGTTTCAAGCATTAAGCTGGAAAGAGATTAAGGTACCTAGCGTATCTAAAATAATGGTGCACTAAACAGTTCGCGATAAAAGAACAAACATTTGCTGCCACAAGAAGTAAAAGCATCTGTAACCGTTACGGTAAAGTAACTGTTACCGTCATCTGGCAAACTGACAAAACTTGCAGTGTAACACACTGATTCAGCTAGCTATGGCAACAGCACAAAAGACGTGTTACCGAATTTCCCATAAAACAAGTACCTCCTGATTTTTGATGCAATTGCCCTAAAAGCATTTTTTTATTAAGTCAGGTATAGATAAAATTTTTAGACCTGCAATACTTAGGTCACTGGCTTGAAAACGAAAATCCGAATAATTTTAAAATTGGTAAATATTCATTTAAGCAAGAACTACTACATTCTATAGGTTTGACTTATAGGTTTACTGGAACGTTTTGGAAATCAATATCACCGTCCTTGTTAATCTTCAACATTGTATACTGGGTTCTGGTACGTTTGTGTCCCTGGCTCTTCCAAGAACATCGCTCGTGGAAACAGCGTATGCGGTGGTGCATTCTCAGAATGCTGCTGATCACGACTCGACAATGTATACTTTTGACGACGTTGGCCTCTCTGTCAATGTCAGAAAAGTGAGATAGTTTGTTATACATCAAAGTTTCTATACATTTATGACAAAGTTACTAACAAGAAATTGGAGGTTGTTTCAGATTTCTTCTAGTATTTTGTATTTTGAGAATTTATTGACAGAACCGGGGGTTTAGGATACCTTAATCAGGACTAGCCCAGAATCTGCACTGGGTAATCTGGTCGGCCGCGGGTTGTGTTATCACATGATGACCACTTGCTTATTGCCACAATTGTCAAGTCGCAGGTCTTGGTAAAGTCAGTTCATTTCCTGAATTGTCTAAGCTTTTGACCTGCTGTCATGTGGTCTTTTATCCTGCCATGTGACCTGATGTAACATCAAGTTGCTTTGTTCGGGATCATTATTTCAATCTTACCATAAATCACACGTAGCAATGGCAAAAACGATACTCTCGGAAGTGAAAATGTTACAACGCAGGCCATTCTCGGTAATGGCAAATAAACATTTTACAGCAATTTGTAATGTCACTCAGCATACATTCGTTTAACGTCAAATATAATTTGTAATTGAACAGTTTTGCCCATGGCATTCTATTTGGGTAAATACAGCTGTTGTTATTTACTTCTTGGTTTTGTATTATTCTCACCTTTCTAGCACAGTAGATCACAAGCCCCACAACGACTATGACGACGGCAGTGACGACACAAATGACAGAGATGTATATTGGGTCATTGTACCATGCTGGAAAAAGAGCAAATCCATTCTTACTTTGTTACTTTATGTTTTCACTATTATAGGGAGATAAAATGTGTAACATTTATCGTGTCAAATCAAAAAACAAAAGTATTGCTTCCCTGCTACCATCATAATAGATAAAGTGAATTTATCCTATTGTTTTGTTTTTACGTTTAAATTTTACCCTGTAGAGCATATCTTCAAAATTAATTAACGAATACGCCCCTTACCTTCGGTAGTTGTTGATGCGGTGAAGGGGACGGTAGATTCACCAACAGTTGTTGCTTGTTGTTGCAATGGTGTAGTCCCACTAAACCCTGGGAAAGTTATTATCACAATGACATTTGTTTCACAGGACATGGAATCCAAAGCGTTGTCTCTGGCTTCAACTGTCATTGAAACAGCTGAAAACGTGTCGTTGGACAGTGGCATCTCGGTTTCAACGTAGATTCGACCTAATGACGGGTCTATGCCGAACAGGCTTGCCAGCTCTCCTACCTTGGACTTGAAACTGTAGGAAATGTCACCGTTCGGACCGTTGTCGAAATCGTCTGCCTCTATGGTTGTTATTGTCGATCCTCTTGTAATATTGCCAGAAGCAATCTCAAGACGTTGATTTTCTGGGCACTGTGGAGCTGTGTTTGTGCTCACTTCGGTCACGATCAAACGGAGAGTGACTTCGTCTGTTTTTGGCGGTGAACCGTGATCTGACGCACGGACCCTCACCACGTAGGTACCACTTTCTAAAGCAGTACTGACGGTTACGCTGCCGTTTGTGGCATCGATGGAAACAAAGGGACTGACACTTGTGATTCCGTACGCGATTCTGGAGTTATCATCGGACCTGTCAGCATCAGAGGCCTCGACAGTGGTCACGTGGAAGCCGATCGGGGAGATGGATTGAAGGTTGTACTCGGTTCCAGGTGGAATGTTGATGACTGGTTTGTGGTCATTCTGGTCCGTTATGTTTATCGTTATCGTGGCTGTTCCCGTAAGTGTCGGCACCCCTTGATCAAATGCTTCAACAATGAAACTGAACGAAGTGTGCTCCAACGATTCGAAGTCAAAGTCAACGACTGAAGTTATGATCCCTGAAGTAGTGTGTACTGCAAAGTTTCCATTATCCAAACCTGTTTGGGCAAGCCTGTACCTGACCTCACCGTTACGTCCACTGTCGGTATCATTTGCAAAAACTGTAAGAATCGGCGAGCCAATGGGCTGGTTTTCCGGAATTGTAGCATCGTATCCGTCCCTCTGGAATACTGGTGGGTGTTCATTGGGCGTCATCTCTTCACTGCAGTCCTCTCCTTGGAACCCCGGGAAGCATTCACATGTGTAAGGGGCGACACACGTGCCTTGGCTGGAGCAGTCACCCTTACTGCTGCAGTTTGCAATGTTACAGGAACCGCCTGACCAGCCTGGATCACAGCTGCACGTGTCGAAGCTCACACAGTTTCCGTGGCCTGTACCAAAGGATGCAATTCTTGATAATTAGATACACCACTATATCCTGATTAAATCTTAAATGTCTCGGTATGGTTAAGACTATGGTTATTGCGATACATAGTACTTTGCAATTTGTTTTTCAGATTGACGGTACTTACCAGAACAATACTGCAGTGATTCACAAGAGAAGTTGGCACAGTCATTCCCGGTGTACCCAGTGTCACACTGACACAGGTTAGGCTCTATGCAGGTACCGTTGTTAGTGCAGTTATTCTGTTTAGTGCAGTCTGGGTGATCGCAACTTGAACCAGTGACTCCTGGATAGCAGCTGCAACATAAATGTAAAAGACGGAACGTTACCTGCATGGGAGGAAGAAGAATTTAATGCATTTGGGATACTAAAAGTGCTTTAATTTCACCAAGAACAGATGAAATAATGACTTTAAAAAGACCTACCGACATTCATTTTGCCCGTCAGAATTATTGAAGCAAACTCCATTTTCATTGCATTCTTGCAATTCAGGACAGCTTTGGGCTTCACTGCAGTTTAGACCTTGATATCCACTGTAACACTGGCAGATGTTAGGGCCAATACAGTCTCCTTGTCGGGAACACTGGTTGAGTGTAGGACATTCAGGTGTGATACAGGAGCTGCCCGTCCAGCCAAAGTCACAGTGGCAAACATCTATATCCACACAGCGACCGTGTCCTGCATGGAAAATACATGGTTTCTTTACTATAGTAATTAAAAAAATTCAAAATCAACCGCAAGCATCAAGACCCTTGATTCAAAAGGTTACATGCTGTAAAAACATAGTATGTTATAAAGTATCAATCTAATCAATCAAACAGGCAGTTAAGTTTCAGATTTAGAACTTCCACGACTGTGTTGAGTATCAGAAAATGCAACCATCACTTCTACCTGTAAAAGCCATTCTCATATGACTCAATAACCAGGTCCTAGTGCAGACAAAACACACACATAAAAACACCAGCACGTCCGTCTTGGGAGTAGCCTGGTTACCAAACCTATTATAGCTCCCGAGTCCTACATCCTCTCCGCAAATAGGAGAGGATGTAGGACTCGGGAGCTATAATAGGTTTGGTAACCAGGCGGAGAGGATGTAGGACTCGGGAGCTATAATAGGTTTGGTAACCAGGCTATCTTGGAAGTAAACATTGCTTAATATATGTCTTATGTTTTATATAATAACGTGAAAGAAATATAGGATATCGGATAAGGACTTACCGGAGCAGTAATCTAATGCTGCACACGAGAATTGGTCACACTTGTCACCTGTCCACTGCTCATCACACAAACAGGTGTCGTAGTCCACACACACTCCGTGGTCTGTGCAGTTAGCAACATTTCCGCACGTGGGGACCTTACTACAGTCAGCACCTATGTGGTATTTGATATTGGCGATTAAAAGTAACGAACGACAATTGTTTATTTACAGACGTTCTGGATATAATATCAATACTCGAATAGTAGTTTAAATACGGAAAATCTAGATGCACATACCAAGATGTCATAATTTTTGGTCTTACCAATGTAGCCTGGTTGACACCTGCAGGCATCTGTGGTTATGCAGATCCCATGGTCCTCGCTGGTGCAGTTTCGTACAGCATAACATGTCGCTACACGATAAATGAAACAAAAAATATGTTATCTTATCACCTTTCAAGTTAAGACATGCACTTACAAGGGTTGAAAGCAGAAAGTGGATGTGAGCAAGCTCCTTGATTTGAGGAAGTAAAATGAAGGTGGTGAAATTGTATAACTCGTATAAAGATACAGGTCAGGTCAGTCCATCCTTTTAACAAGGTGACGCCGTGCAGTGTCTCCACATCTTGTTTCGCATGACCGAGGACAGTTCATCAACCTCTAGACCTGTGTCGAGCTTGTGTTTTGGACTGGCACCGAACTTTTATAAGAATGAATGATATTGGGTGGACACGAAACAATATCAGAAGCATCATCCTAAAAAGACATCCCAACATCATGGTACCTTGTTGATCACAAGCAGTTCCCTCCCATCCGGGCTCGCACACACAGAACCCCAGCTCACATTTCCCATGATCCTCGGAGCAGTCTGTACAGTTGCCAAGGTTACAGTCTTTACCAGACCAGCCCGTTATACAGTCACAGGTTCCGTTTACACAGCGACCCCTACCGGAACACTGGTTTGGGCAACCTGGAATTGTGTGCAAAACAATATAAAGGTTTTTATAGTTACTTTGAAAGGGGAATCTCGTTCTTCCGGTAATAATTTTGCAAGAAAAACGACATGCAATACCACAAATTCACTGTTATCAAGAAAAACGTGCTGCACTTATACCTTTGAAGACCTCCTGCTCGGTAAAGGTTGTGTCGTTGGTGATTGACACGTCAAAGATGCATTCATTCAGAAGAGTGTCAGTCAGCCCAAGAGCGATACACATCTCTTCAGCTTTCTGGAATAAGCACAATGAAGACAAATGTGTAGTTTCCCTGGTGCCCTCCCTAATTCATAATATACTCTTTGATACCAATATAGGTGGGGTAATCTAACACCAAAGATGTCGGAATACATTTACATACTACGTACCTTTCAGTATAAATGTTTTTACGTTTCTCGCAATAGTTGAAAAGGATCGAACTATTGCTGGTAGAAACCGTCAAATGACCAATAACGTACTTCCTTTTGCTCCTGAGTGAGTCCATCTATGCCTACAGAAGGGCGGTGGTTCGGATCAGAATAGGCAGGATCCATGACGTCATCAGGATGGAAGTTAGAGGAGTTCCATGACCAGGACCCCATCAGTCCAGAGCCGTGGTGGGTGTTATTTATACGCCCTAGAAAATCAGCAAATGACATTCTGACCTGGTAGGTTAACATTATACTTCAGATGTATATTTGTAACACAACGATTGTGTAAAATAATTATGATTTCTATATAAGCGAAACCAGCGTAAGGAAGTTAGCGTTAAATGCTATATTGTTATCCGTTGTCCATTTTTCATGTACATGTGTACTTCCTATCAGCTTACGGGAAGAACTTGCAATAAAACTTTCAATTATTTTTCATCCTGTGACCTATCACTTACAGGTCTCAGCAAATACAGAACTGTCGTTGTACACAGCGCCGTCCGGACCAGTGAAGTCATTGGCATTGTCGTCATCCATGAGCCCGCACAGTCCCTCCGTGTTGCCCTTGAACGTGGCAGTGGGGCTGAACAAAATGTTCACAAACTGTCGGCCCATCTTTGGTGAGTACCGGACGTCAAATGACACTGTTGCCCCTGGTTTTTTTTAAAGGACAAGAATTATATCAGGATTGTTGGGCCGATCAATCGTCATCGATAAATCGCATAGAAGAAATCAGTATTGAGAGGACTATGAAAAAAGAAAAGTCAATACCTCATTTAGATAATTTTACGCTCGCTTTAAGAATAGTAGTTATCAATTTATGTCCACTTTACCTGAAGTAAAGGTAAGAGATATGATGATAACAGCCCCTGCCTCCGTATCATTTGTAGAAGGTTGCTGACCGAGCAGATGTATTGTCCCATTGTTAAGGGGGAATTTCTCACCCACAGAAAGCTGACATAGTTCACCATCGATCCTGCAAAGAACAAATGACACAAAATGGCATTTTAAAAGGTTTAAATTCAACTACCACATGTCACCAATGCCAAACATCGTTAACGGAGTATGTCGTCGGTATGAAGCGACCATCACAATTCAAGCATACTAGTAATCTGGTACATGGAGTCCCTTACCTGATACTGGGGACGTCCTTTTCCGTTGCATTCGGTAACGTCATGAGAGTGACAACGCTGTGCCCAGCCTTCACTGCAACTCCACCAATCAGAGAAGCCCTTTCGTAGGCGTACATCCGGATCTGTACGCCGAAGTCATTGGAGACGCTCTTACAGTCCCAAAACTCGCCGATACCGTGGTAGTCGTATGATTTCCCTGGTAGGAAAAACGATTATTGATATTATAAGAGAGAGGGGCGTTTAGGTTGTGACTAAAAGCTCAACAGCGTCAAATCATGTTAGAAGTGATGAGTAATGCCATTTACATACCTCGACTATTCATGTACCATGCACACTATGGTGCTATTGATGAGTATTACATGCTATAGTGTATGCACAGTCCACAATGCAATATATACCGCGTAAATTGACATATCGCCTCATGTAAACGAGGAAACACGAAACTTATTACCGTCTAATGTCTGGAGATGAGGATCCCCTCCACCGGGACGAGGACGGAGACGCTCACAACAGTCACCGAACCACCGACCCCAACAGACACAGGATGACTGACAGCTGTGTGTTGATGTACTGCATTGTCCGTTCCCGGAGCATCCTATATATTCAAGGTAAAACAGTTGGGTAGTCAAGCTTTGCCCGTGTCATGTCAGTTTAGGAACTCCTGTCACTTTCTTCTGTCTCTGTACCCACAGAGGTATTACATGATGACAGATAAAGCAAGACCCCTTTTCAGGATCTTCGATCAAGCAAACAAGATTTCATTTCCAATAATGCTCATAACCTATTGACATATGACTGTACCTTGGCATGGCCTGCAGTCAGGCTGTCTACAGTCTGGCCCCATCCTCCCCACCACACATGTAGGTGGGATCCCGCACTCTGTCTTCTGTGGACACTTACAGACACAGTCCTGCCACTCGGGTTCCTCGTCATTCTCACAGTCAGGACAGCTGTGTAAGGTTGATAAAGCCATATAGAAATGCCATTGGGAATCATGAATCCAACCATCCGCTGGTCATTTGTGCATTATATGGTTTCTGTGCTGAGGAGTTTAGATCCTCTTGTAATAGGGGGTTAGATATGTTTTCTGTATTAGTACTAATACGAGTACGAGTACTAATAAGTACAAATAAATTGGACGCTTCACACTTCCGGGAAGTGTTTGCCGTTTTCGTCAATTCATTGAAAGAGCAGAGGATATTGTGTGACATAGTTTAATCACAAGTGAAGCTAAGGTCCCAATTACGCCGGTGCCCGTCGGGGATGTAGCCCCGGCTGGCCCCGGCCGGGTTCAGGAGTCGAGCGGGCATCGGCTGTTTTGGTCACAATTAAAAGTTTCCTTCAGTAGCCTTTTGTTAGAAATTTTTTCACTCTCTTTGGTCGGTATCCGGCAGGCACCCGGCAGGTACCCAGCAGATTCTCTGACGATGTCTTGTATTGATGCAGAATTCACGTATTTGTTGTGATCATTTGATCTGTGAGGTCACACATTTTACCCGGGTTTACGAAGTACACACCTTTATTCTGTTCATCTGGTCTGTGACGTAACAAATGTGTCCCGGTGGAATGCTGGCAACCGGAGGGGTACCTCTCGGTGTTCTCACGATGAGGTCACGGCGTCTTTTTGTCAGCGGGGCCCGGGTAGAATTTAACTCAGAATTAAATTCTTATCGGGGCCCCGACGGGCCAAAAAATAGCCCGGTAGCCGCCGGGTGCCCCGCGGGGCCACGTCGGGGTCCCGCCCGAAAGTGGTAAAAAACAGCCCGGGATCTACTCGCCAGGGCCCCTTTTCCCAATTGGGACCTTAGCTTGAATGAGGACTCGGATAGAAACAGTTAAAGGTCGGCCCATGCAGTCCTAGACTGCTGGCTTCTGATTTGAGATTTGAATAAAATCACATTGTTTCGAATTCTTAAACTGTCTGATCTTTTGACCTCCTGGTGTTGTTAGAACTGGTGCAAAATCAGTTTACTTTGTTCGGGCATGACACCCACTAACCCACCATAAATTAGCACTGCTCAAAACGATACGTCCTTCCCAAAAGTAACTAACTCGGTACTTCACCTGTCAGAACAGATGCAGCCCTGAGGACCCAGAACCGACTCGTGGCAGTTGTTACAGGTGCACTTACACGGACAGCTGCCGTCACTCAACACCACATCCCTGCTGCCGTCAGGGCAGGTACAGGAACACTGTAAAAGCCAGATAAATGGAAAGTCATTTCTGTCTCGCTATGGTTTGAAATACATGTAACGCTGGTTCCACATAACCAGCACACACTACAGAAGAAGCCCTGAAGTGAAAACTGTTATGTGCCAAACTTACTAACAGAAGAGTCATAAAATGTTTCGTTATCTGCAGTATAAAACTTTCCCCATATTTTCTCTCCAGCAGTTCAAAATGGATGCATTGATTATCCACCACGCAAGTTGGAAAACCAACGCCAATTTTTCGCTGCGTGTCGGGGAGGGGTTTTGTCATAAAACGGATTTTAAATGAATGGCACCGCATTGCTATTACCAAAATGAATATAAAATTGTACATAGCAAAACTTACGTCACATCTCCCACTGCTGGTGAGATCCGATATGCTGTTGTCAGGACACAAACATGGACAGTGTAGATGTCCCTGACTATTTACCGTTTTGAAGTGTCCATCAGGGCACCGCTCACAGTTACATCCGTCAATGTCTGGATGCTGTTTTTCGAGAAATACAGAAATTGTGTGTCATACATATTTTCTTACGAATCAAAATTGTGATTGTTGCAATATAGGATTAAGTATCCATTTATCTGAGTAATCATTCAAATAAAATGGAATCCTCATTCATGTGTGCATAAATTGTATAGAAATATTCATCACGCGTAATGAGGGTTATCATTACCGTGAAGCTTGTGTCTCCACTTGAACAGTTACAAGGACACATGCAGAAGCTCTCGTTAGTAGGGTGTGGCATCCCTGTTGCTCCACCACATGAACACATGATGTCCTCACAGGTATCAACACTTGACGGATGTGGTTTACAATCTCTGAAACATAGAGGATTGTCGGATTAATCGACATGAAACTTCTCGAGGCTATATGAAATGACGTTTGCTATCGACGGTCATTGATAGACACTTAAAGTTTAGATCTTTTGATTTCCTCTCTTTAGACTGAAACAAATTGTTTCTGCACCCACAAGTAGTAATTATACACAAATCTCCAGTATGTTGTTACGAAAACAAATGTATAATGCCTTAGTAATTCTTGACCCTTGTATTGGACCCATATCACGAGTGTCACGAGTGCCGAACATTTTAGCTATTAAGTAATCTTCACAGTTTTAATCTGATAGCATACTAAATAGAGACAGTCTGTGTCAAACAGTCAATGAGGATTTCTAACCTGTCAGAGTCCATCCACTCCTGGCGTCTCCATTGTTGTTCCTCGTAGTAATCGTTATTTCCAACTACTACGTTGAATGTCCCTTTCAGATAGTCTAATGAAGACGTGACCCCAACGTTCTGTGGTCTGTCTGAATATGGGCACTCAGTAGAACAGGACTGGGCTGATACACGCAGGAGGGCTTGGGACTGAATGGACGTGGTTATACTGTACCCAAAAGCGTCCCCTTGATTATTTACATCTGGACAAAGACAAAGACATAGAATATTACTTCAGCTAAAACTTCATAGTTAGTTTCCTTTTATGTATCGGACCAAAGTTTAAACTCTACAACTCAAGACTGATTTTGTTAGCAAATATTAACGTAGAGGAGATGGCATGTTTAATTTTTTAATCTCTATTGTATTTTTTAAATTGTCGTAAAATAGAGTTCTTAAATGATTCACAATCATCCTTATGATTGAATAGATATGTGATAAGTGATATTTTTTAAACAGGCGTACCTATTGGTATCGTCAACTCATCAACTTCACTTTCTCCAGATGTGGGAAACTCGATGAAGAACTTCGGTTTGACTTTTAGCTCCAACACGTTGAGATGGTCTTTTTCGGTTGAAGCTCCCGAGAATGACGATATCACGATATCTGCACTATCCTTCAGTTGAGATAGAGGAACCAACTTTGTTAACCTAGAAAGTTTGGTAACTAAATGGTTTAAGAACAAGATTGCAACAAAGAGAGCCGTTTCACACCGTACGTTCTACATGTTTTAAAAGTATGTCCCACTCCAAACCTTTGGCATTAATTGCCTATTGAGATATCATTATAGAAGATATTGGGTTTTGTAAATACTCACAGATTCCTCATTCTGGTCAAACGAGAACCATCGACCTCCTTCTTGTGGTTGCCAGCTTCCACCTCCGTCAATGTCTGGTTTGACCACAGTGGAGGACATCTGAATACTGCCTGGACCCTGATGTATGGATGGATGAAAGAAGAGTTTGTGATCACCCTATACCACAAAAGTGCCTGTCAAAGCTTCTGACAGGCAATTTCCTTAAAAAAACACACATCGCCCGGTTCTAAAAGCATAAATTTTAAGAAACCGTTTCTAAAGTATGCTTTCAGAACTTTTACAGAACTTATAGCAACCTTATGTACCCAGGCTAACCATACAAGGTTTATGCTCTGAAATATCTTGAGAAGATTCTGTTGACTGCTTATTCAAAATAAATCTCACCTACCTCAGCGTATATTTCATACGATGTGTCAATGTCCGCCCATATCTTAGCTGGTATACACGCTGTACTGCTTACACACAGAGAGACATATATAGGATACAGTTCCGTCCGGAATCCACCTCTGGCCCTTGTGCTAGGGGGATGAAACGCATATGTTACACGTATGTAATTCAATAAATATAAAAACATTTTTTTTACGCAGAAAGAACTAACCTCGTTAGCAATACTGTATTTCACATATATATTGGATTTCCAAAGACTGAACTGGTACATGGCCATACAATGGTCATATTGCTACGGTAAGGTGACATTTAAAATGTACAAAATGCCTTCTCGGCCCAACTTACCTCTCCGAAATGTCTACAGAGCCCTCCAGTCCTACTTCTAGCCGTCCACCAATGAAGAAAACTTCGGCCCTGATAAGCGTAGGTGTTCGAAACTCTGACGTCGAAACTGCAAGCGACAGCTTGATTCCAGCTGAGAATCTGGCACTCGCTGATAGGTCGATACTATAACTATCGGTGACGTACTGCAAATGTATTGCATTACCTTTGATTAGACGCAAATTATCATATGTTGGAAAACTATCATTTCATTCCAATCCCATCCATGCAATGTCCCTGTTTGTAAATGGGATCCGGATGTTAGACATCTCACAAAAACTAAGTAGCTATAACATTCCATTTTGTGGTCTATGATGACTCATCGTGTCTGATACTATTTTCTCCGATTGGCGAAAGATATTTTAATAGTTCATGAAAGTATAGAATTTTGTGCAAATTCCAAAGTATTGTGCTGAATTCGACGAAAGACAACCCCTGCAAATAATGGTTGTGAAAACAGTCATACCGAGAATTGGTCTCCGATGAGGATGTGCAAACTACGCTTGGGTGGAGAAGGGGTAACATCCTCCCGTCGTCGCCTTGACGACATTGTCATGGTGGACCTGCTCAGGATTGGCTCCACTTCCACTAACGTGTACTCATCCGCTGGGGTGATGTTCAGAACCTAGAAGATTTTTAATCATCCAATGGTGGCAAAATTAAGGCGGTTTTATAATTGAAATGTGTCCAGTGCTTCTTGGAATGGCAAGCATTTTGATTATGTTGAAAATCATGTACTCACTTTTGCCAGCAGCCTGCCACTCCTTCTCCCCACCACCACGTCACCAGTCCCCACGTCCGCTTCTCCTCCCGCAGAGTCCACGATGAGCAGCCCGTGTGCGCCCTCCGGTCCGCCCGAACACGGCAGGGAAGCAGGGAGGGTTACCCCTTCCGCTGTCTTCAGTTGCTCCTGGAAGCTGAGATGACAAATTTCAATAATCTACATTTTAATCTACATAGCTGGGTGTGATATACACGTTGTTCACATGCTCACTTCGGCTGTCTTTGGATGTAGCAATTGCCCAAATCAACGTAATTAGGAAGACAAAGAGCACTGGTGACGATAATTACACGACTCCGACTTACTTAAAGGTTATAAAGCAATCCTGCAGCTGAGTTTGTATGAAGGCTCCATAAGGAGTCAATGTCTGTTGGATAACCTGCTCCAGTATCCCGTTGCTATGGTTACTGACAATGACGTCACCAACTGACAGGTGATCAGGGATGTCTCTCATCAGCAGGTGGTAGCTGCCCTCCCCTTCATTCCTAGCCCGGGCTCCAATACACTTGTAGACAGAGGTATCTGAGAAGTTGGTTCCAAAACAATTATGATAGGTTTGAATAAAATTATGCAAATATTACTTCTGACACCGCATTCGCCGGTTTACTCAATTACATGTATTCAGATTTTCAAAAGCAAGTAAAATGTAGAAATTATATGTTAAGATTCTAACATTTCCTAAGAAGAATTTTTCATGTACGCCAGGTGTCTTATATACCACCTACCTACTACTAACTACTTGGTATCAAGATATGCTGAACATTATGCACAGACCATCACCATCATTCATGAAAAGAATTTTTGTCCCTACATACCTTCCGTGATGACACGAACAGTGCTCCCATGGAACGTTCCGTTTCCGCTCAGCACCCTTTCCACCACAGACAGTTCAGGAGCTCCCTCGTTCCTCTTCATGTCCACAGCCATCTCCAGCTGAACCTCCTGGCTGAAGTCACTGTAATCCAGCATGTCCTCCAGAGCAGCAGGGTGGGCTACTATTACGGTGTAATTGTCTGTAGAAAAAACAAAAGCTAATTCTCAGTTCTTTTGATTCAAAACCCCCTATGTATTAGTTTGCAACCCAAGTCGAAGGGATATATGTTTGTACCATTGTCTAAGTGACGGGGGCCATGGATGTTAATACATGTATTAGTCTAAGATTTCCTCACCTGTCCTTATAACTTGCTCCACCTTGTGTAGCACACCGTTTGCCTGGGGACTGGACAGCACCTGACCGATCCGGATGTCCAGGTCTCCTTCATTCACAAACATGGTGGCTCCCCAGCTGGAGAAGCGGACAGGACACCGGTACAAGATGTTGCCTTCCAGCGGGACGTACTCGACGTTATGGCCGATGAGAATCTTCTCAATACGCGTGGTGTCGTTGTACAGTGGGTGGATGAAACCCTTCGGACACTGATCCTCATTCCACACTTTGCAAAACCCGTCAACCTGATTCAAGATCAAAGATTTAGTAACAAAAATGAACAATGATCTGGCTAACATGAAAGTTAATTTGTGTTGGTACAAGTAAGTTAGGTCAGTATGAAGTAAAAACTAAACTTAATCTAGTGTTGGGGATTCTTTTTTCTTGCTTAGGCTATAATCAAGCAAAATGTACTACAGGTGGTATGGATAATTTTCCCATTACCTTTCGATTATCCAAATTACTTAGTATTTCATAACATTACATTGTCATAATTTAATTAATAAACCACAGTTTAGGTGAACAGATACCGTGTCCTTGAAACACCCTTCAACGTCCTGGCATCTTAGACATGACTCTACTGTCGTCGTTGAGAGTGTCTTGTTACATTGTCGATGTTCACAGTCGACAACCTACGGTAGTGACAAATCATGTAAGGAGTGGCAGCTGCACGGCAAGCTATACGCTGGGAGAAGACTACCGCATACGTTGAATAAAACATTTGTACACAACCAAGAGGATTTTTCGACCGACGTTTCGGCGACTGTCTGTCACCTTCAGAATTGCCCTGAGGAAGGTGACAGGCGGTCAATAAAACGTCGGCTGAATAATTCACTTGGTTGTTTTACCATCCGATGAACCTTTTACGGCTATACGTAGCATGAGATAGCACTTTCATGCAACAGGTGAATATAAAACATATAAAACCATTCACAAACTGGTAAAATACGTCTTCACATTATTCCAGTATCCGGACTCAGATCTGCACCATAAACTAAATTCCCTGACCAAGGGATATCACCAACCCACCCACAATGTCATTATTTAGTTCAAGAATAATTTAAAGAAATATCAAAGGTTATACAATTGGTATGACTGTATCAGAGACATCTTTTGTCAATGACAATGCTACATATGGATTCAAACTTTTCTTCACAAACGAGCATGCCTTTAGTTAACTCAACTGTGTCATGATGGTTTCAATAAGGGTATTTAACGAATTTTAGAAGCTAAAGGAAAAGGAAACAACAACAACAGCAGAATTCTTACCTCAATGTCATCAGAGCAACGTCCTGTGTCTCCTACGGTGAAGCAGCTGTGATAGAACCATGTGTTACAGGGCATAACGTCAGGACCTCTGTACAACCCAGATTCACAACTCTTCCTCTGGTCACACCATCCACATCCAACTGTCATGGAACACGACTTGCAAGTGGTGAAACGGTTGCAGTAGCTGACTGTGCATGCACGACCCTACATGTCATAAAATCGCATTGAATGCCGAAATACACAGAGCATATTTTAACTTAGAACAGAAGTAACCACACTCAAATGTGTACTATACATTGTTGTATTACAAAGGACCCCCAATATAGCAGTCTACTAATTTGTATTTTGGATAGAGCATGCAGCTTGATTTTAATTTTTTCTGTATATCTATCTTGTAAATATATTATTCACACAAATATAAGTTACCTGCCATCCATTTCTACATCTGCATATGTTGGGTCCAACACAAGTGCCAAACTCTCCACAGTCGTTCCGTTCGTTGCAGGTTGCCTTGGAACAGTCCTCTCCCCTCCAGCCTCGGTCGCAGATACACGTTCTTCCCATACAGTCACCGTGGTGAGAACATGCGTTAGGGCAGTCATCAACTGTGTAAATACAACCAGAAGTATTGAAAACAACTTACGTGGTAACTTTCAATGAGTAGAACCCCCCCCCCCCATATCTGAGGTAGAGCGTTTCCTTACCTATTGGCCGCTTGCAGACGAAGGGGTAGAAGGAGCCACAGTCAGCAAACATTGTAAGTGACCCATCCGACGGCAGATGTATCTTGCACTCATGTGTCGAATTCGTCATCTTTTAAGCAAACAACAAAGACATTTAAAAGCAAGTAAAATGTCGATCATTTGTGAATATTGATATAATTGCAGTACTTTTCCATGTATTTGAATCTTGTGTCTGTGATATAGGTCGATTAATTAACCGTAAGAAGCACAACATGTGATAGGAAGCACCAATTGTATAAATTATATACCTTGACAAAGTAATAATTACTTACATTGTTAGGTCTGTCCTTCCAGATGGGTATAGCTGAAGCATAATTAACTTCTGTGGCTCTGACCATGCTTTCAATCAACGCTAATTCCTGTCCCGTGAACGACCTAGCAATTACGGCATGTTGAATCTGTAATGGAGGGACTTTTATTGGCTCTTGATGCTTGTTGCTGTAAATGCACTCTCACACCAGTCTACATTTTTGTACTACAAACTGTTCATGAAGTTTGCACACTAAGGCAAAGCAGCACAGAGCACTCAGACAGATAAAATATTACGTTATATCTTTTTAGATGAACTTTATATTTGGCATGAGAATGGCTATCTTTGAAGCTATCTTTATGCGGCCTTAGTAACAATCGATATCTCCAAGCAGATCTTTCGGTAGCCCATTGGCAGATATAATACTCGTACAAGAGGCAAGTCACTATTCATCTTCGACAGCCTTTATAGTATATTGGACCCAGACTCGCCCATTATAATGTATGGGCTTCAGAAAGTTGTATTGGAGAGTAGATGAATATAACCTTGCAGGAATGAGCCGCACCCAGCCAGTCCTGAGATCCACCATGGTACATGTAACAGGTGCTGAGGTGCTTGATGTACTTCCATCCTAGTGGACAGGGACCTGGAAGTATGTACGAGTAACCGTATAAAGTTCTGTATAAAACCCGTGTCTACCGGAGGAAAAAGTCTACATGTTCCAGTAAATAGTGACCTTATTCAACCCTGTGCTGAACACAACTGCGACGTAACACTACTTCGCCACCTAGGAGCTTACAGCATCCAAACAACAATGTCATGTCCAACATTGCGCATATGGCAAGCCTCCGGTACGGTCAGATTAAACCACAAATGACCAAACAAACGCCGGAGTTGTGATTAGGATACAGACCTACTACTGCACCATGACACTCGTATGATGACTATACTATACTATACCTTTTAAGAAAATGAATTATATCATGACAACTCACCATCCGCTGGCAGAACTGAGATCCACGGATCGTACAGGACTTCGGCCCAATCCTCGTTGTCGTTTCCATCTCGAATCCGTCTTGAGATAAGATCAGCTGAACTGAAACCCCAAAAGTTACTGGTAGCGTTGACTGGGTATGATGACGTGAGGGTCGATGTTGCTAGTTCTGCGTCGAATGCAGGATTCGTGAAAACATTACCGTGTATCTGAGCATTTCTCCCGGAAACTACCATAGTGTATTTTGCCCCTGGCACTAACGGTACATTGTCATAAATGAAATTGGTGGATAGCTCTTGTTCGTCGAAATGTATATTGCGATTTTTCCATTCTATCACATGGCGACCGGAGTTGTTGACAAAAGTGTTACTTTCAACTCTGCCGGGTGCCTGATCAAAGAACAAGGCTTTATCAGAATTAGTAGCGTCATTTCCTGAAAATAAGTTTCTGCTGACCATCACAGGTGTTTGGTCCGATGCGTGGTGTCGCCCACGCACTATCAACGTCGTCTTCCTGCCGTATAGAAACATGTTGTCTATTACAGCTACGTTGCTTCTCAGCTGCCGCTGAATATCGATGAGCATGCCCGTCATTCTATTGTTTCGCAGTACATTCCCTCGGACTACTACATTAGATCGCTCATGGATCACACTGATAACTTCATCTCCGTTATTTGTCTCGCGTTCTTGGTTGTTTTCGAAAATGTTGCAAAGAACGTCGATTAAAGAATCTGGTGCTTGTGACGTTACTTTTACAGCCGTGCCCGAGTTGTCTTTGAATAAGTTGTTGTCGACCCTGCACACAGAGGCGAGGCCTAGACTGGTGTTTCTGCCATTCCACCGAAACCTGTTGTCACCAAATGCTACGCTGCTTCTCTGTTGCCGCTGAATAGAGATGAGTATGCCAGTCATTCTATTGTTTTGCAATACATTTCCTCTCACTTCTATATTAGATCGCTCATGGCTCACACTGATAATTGCCTCGTCACTAGGTCTTTCTCGACCTTGGTTGTTTTCGAAGATGTTGCGAAGAACGTCGATTGTAGAATTCTGCGCTCGTGTAGTTAATTTTACAGACGTGCCGGCATTGTCTTCCAAGATGTTGTCGACGATTCTCCACACAGAGGGTGTAAAATGGTCTGGAAGGGAGTAAAACACATGAGGAAAAAACGTTACTATGTACACATGTATTACTGAAATAAATAAAGTACATGTATATTTCAGACTGATCATTGTAATGAGGCAAATGGCTTACATTTAGATGAGATGCATTTCAAACCAATACAAATGAAAATGCATAGTACAGAGTACAATGTACTCACCTACTTCGTACTTTGCCAGGAAACCTCGACCTGAATACCAGCCGCTCATGAAAACTATGAACATGCTGTTTCCTGTTGAGGCGATAGGAGCACTTTGGGATGGGGAGTAGCGATTATATGTTGCAAGTAATGAAGACGTTGTATCGTGTCCGTCATAAACCGTGACTTGAGTGTTGTAGCCTAGGTCAACAATAGGGAAATCCAGTACAATAATGTGCCCTACAGGAGCTCGGATGAGCCACTCACAGTGACTGTTCGTTGGATATGAAGAGGTTCCAAAGTTGGGACTCGCAAAAGTTGCGCTGAAATTACTGAAGACAATGGGTGTACCACATCGAGTATCTGCCGTTGATGATGATGCGGTCCGCGTTGCAGTCACTGTAATTGCTCCTTCATAAAATGTGTTATTGTAAATGAGACTCTTGGTGACGGTCGCTATTCTGTTAGCTCTTTCCAGAGATATACCAGCTTCACCGTAACAGTCACGAACAGTAACATTTGTTACATCATACGTAGATTTTCCAGTGGCATGGATTCCGGTTCCCTCACACTCCTGAATGTGTAGATTAGAAATGCTTCTGCTGTTTTCTGAACTATTTAGATAGATAGCACTGCTTAATCTGACATGGAGTCGCCCGGTATGAGCGAAGCCTGCGTGAGTAACTTTGAATTCCTGTTGGCTGTTGGATCGAATGCCTCCCCATTTGTTAGAATTACACCTTTGGCGAGGTGATACTGACGTCTGGGCGTTACAGCGTATTCCTACCAGGGTACAGCTAGTAGTGAGACTGGGAGAGCGCCGGAAACAGTTGAAAATACTCGGTTCATCCCCAGCACAATTTATGTTATTTGAGTGAAACCATGCAGGTCCCCTACCAAACTCAGTTGTCACTGACGTTGTTGCTGCGCCATAACCAAGCTCTTTGCATACGACATTAGCCTCGAAAGAATCCCAACCATATCCATAACAAATGCCACCCCATTGATTATCGTAAAGTATCTCAACACGACCTTCCCAGGGGTAGCGACCATTGACCAATCGAACATGGTAAAGGTGTGTGGCTGATGGCTCAGAATGGAATTCTATCTGTTCTGTCTCAGTTCCAACAGCAGCAAAGGAACCAAGGTTAAAGATCCCAATACAAGGATAGAATCTAATCTGCACACCCGGTTCCACTGTAACTGACGCATTCTCCAGGATAGTTAGATCTTTCTTAATCGTGTACGGACTTCCACTTTTTGTGAGATGCATTTCCCCATTCAGTCGTCCTCCAATGTCATCTGTTGTCATGGTGATATTTCGGATGGAGGGATCAGCTGGTTGAGAGCTTACGTCAGGTCCAGTTAGGTAGGGAAAGTAGTCAACTGGTGCACGGTCATTCCAGTCATCGTAATCAACAATTTCATATCGAATCTCTTGTTCATCAGCTGTTCCCCACCAGTTGAATTTGGCGTCAATGGTTTCGTCAGGAAATGTCGTACCTACCCTGCTACATAAAGTGTGGTTCATGTCTGCATTATCTATTAAGTTGTGGATGACAGTAAAGTTCTCTTGGTATCCTCCTATCTCAAGTGTGCACGAGTAGGGGTCTGGGTATTGACTGTATTGGAAATTCCCGTCTGTTTCTGATGGACTGTAGAAATTTTCATTGAACACATTATCTCTTATAAGGACAGTGGATTTCTCGCCGATTTCGGACTGATCTTCAAACAGAATGGAGAAGGTTTCCCTGGCGTTGTTTTCGCTCAGACTATTAGAGGTGAAAATTATGTATTTAGGTTCTCCGTTGAAGGCAACAACAGGCTGGTACGGACAAATATTTTGCGTGATTAAGTTCCTGACAATGTCAAATTTTGCCATTTTTCCTGATGCCTGAAGGGCAAAACGCTTGTTGTTGACGACATTGTTGTTGGTCATAACGATGTGAGGATACTGGTCATGTTGGTAACGTCCAATAGTTACTGAAACCCCACCTCCCTCGTTTTCCTGAATATGGCTGTTAAAGATGTGTATATAGGACTCGTATGACAGTTGCAGCTGGACTCCGATCCCGCGATTTCCTTCACATGTTAGGTTTGTTATGTCATTAGACCCCCTTGTCTGTTGGATATACACACCACCTTGATTACCAGTCACCGTCACATCTGAGAAGGAACCGATTATAGGGACGTCCTCAAAGGCGATGCCGAAACCGTTGTTTGATATCAAATCAATTCCAACAATAACAGCAGCACCAGTAATCCAAGACAAGCCAATCCCTCTATTACTGTTGCCAATAGCTGTCACATTTGTCAATGTCACATTTCCATAAACATTATAAAGGTAGAGTCCATCGTTTTGATTGTTCATTGTTGACACATCTGACACGAATACATCACCTGTTGATGAATAGACTCCGATGCCATAATCATTGTTGCCAATAGCTGTCACATTTGTCAATGTCACATTTCCAAAAACATGATAAAGGTAGAGTCCATCGTTTCGATTGTTCATTGTTGACACATCTGACACTAATATACCACTTCTTGATGAATAGACTCTGATGCCATAATCATTGTTGCCAATAGCTGTCACATTTGCCAATGTCACATTTCCAATAACATCATAAAGGTAGAGTCCATCGTTTCGATTGTTCATTGTTGACACATCTGACACGAATATATCACCTGTTGGTGAATTGACTCTGATGCCATAATCATTGTTGCCAAGAGATGAAACATTGGTTAATGTAACGTTTCCCCTAACATCAAGGTAGAGTCCATTGCCATGATTGTTCATTGTTGACACATCTGATACTAAGATATCTCCTCTCAGTGAAGAAACTGCGATGTCACCGTTATCATCGAATACTGTCGTTGTAAGCGTAATCTGCCCTTCTGTATTTGATAACTGCAGACCCGAACCGGTATTATGAAAGAAAAACGACCCGGCTATTGTTTTATCTCCTGCCGTATTTGTCACGTGGGTTCCACTGTTGCAAGACCTGAATGTAGATCTTTTAATATGGACATTTGCCCTTTGGATGTCGATATGTATGCCATAGGCAAAGTTGGTCACCGATGATTTTTGGAATAAAATCGTCCTGGACGACTCGTTTGGACTACCAGTATTGTAGACTGTAAATGAATAATTGGAATTAGAATATCACATATTTTCGAAAGGCGGACAACAATTATGGAATCTGTGCAGTACATAGTGGCATTATGACACATGAGAATGCAGGAACAGAGTGAGTACTTGTAACACAATCCCTACTTGGACTGAAGTAGTAAAATGTGGTTAAAGAACCATGGATGAAAATACCTCAATGGAAAAATGCCTATTTGCAAGTCATTGTTCTTACCTGTATCAGGGGCTGCTCTTACTTCAGCGAGGAAGAACGAATCACGACCTTGTTCAGCCTTGATGTGTAGTGTCAGCATCGACCCAGATGACGTGAACACTCGTGACCCAGTGCCGCTGGGGTCATCATTGCTACTGTCAATTGTACCTAGCACACGAGAGTCGTCCATGGTATTTGAATCATAGACCGTAAGGCTGTTGTCTGATGGCCCGTAGCCAAAATGGCTTTTCTTTATATTTAACTGTACATGGTATCCATGCGGAGCCTGAATGTTTTTCAAGCAGCTCGATTTAACGCCCCAGACTATGCCATTTACAAGCCACAGCCTCAGCCCTGGTTGTAGATTGATGTTCGGCGGACCTCTATACATCGAAACCAACATGTAACTCTCGCTGTTTGCCTGGTCCTCAAGATTCGACCCAGACAAAGTATTCAACATCTTTATACCGATTCCAGCGTCAATTTTGTTTCCGGTGTTGGTGAGATGAGTATTGCGTACTATGACGGACTGTTGAGGATCTAGAACCGAAATACCTGCTTCTGTGGCACAACTTTCTATTGTGACGTTCTCAATGTATATTTCTCCCTCCGGTTTTAATATGTCTATTCCTGATTGGCTATGGACAAAGTTTGTCATGTGAATTTCACTGAACAGCATCCGGTACGGATCATTTCGTATCGACAGGGCAGAAGCTTTCCTAAAATGCAACTGCCCCACATACTGAAGGTTGATGTTACTGATGTTGACAGGTTCACTTGAGTAGCTGCGAATACCTCCCCATCCGGGGGTAGGCTCACAAGTCAGCTTTGTACAGTAGGAGCAACTAGTTGTTTGGTAGAAGCTGCACTCTTCTAGGATCTCTTCATGCCCTTCACATCTGACGGTTACTTTCGGTCCTGTACATGACATACTACTTGTAGACTTTGATTGACCAAGTCCTAGCTGTCTACAGGCGATGCCATTAAATTCCCCGACCCGCTGATGGCAAACACCCATCCACTGGCCTTGGTGGTACACTTCAAGTCGCCCGTCGGACTCGGAGTCTCCATCTTGTAGGCGCGGTGCGTCGGTTCTATTCAGACGACTCCGTGCTGTAAAGGTGAAGTTTGTTGGACTGTCGGGTGTCCCGGATATTTCCAAATGACCGAGGTTCAGTATGCCTACCCGTGCGTTAATCTGAATGTCGACACCAGGATCAATGATAAGAGAGGCGTTTGGGAGGATTGTTAGGTCTTTTGTTATTGTGTACGGACTGTTGGCTGTCGTGAGACGTAACGAGTCAAACAGGCGGCCACCCAACTGTGTTCCGCTGATGTTAGGTCGGTATTCGCTGTTTATAGGGGTTCCAGACGATGAGTTCAGGTACGGTACAAAGACAACAGTTGCGCCACTATTCCAGTCGTCATAATCGAAGATCTTGTTTGCTATAGCGGCTGCGTCTGTTGTTCCCCACCAGTTTAGCGTTGCCTGTAGTGTTGTCTCACCTAGACCTGTGTCCTGACCATTGCTGCAGATCTCAAGCCGAGATGATTCACTTTGAAATGCGTTTCTTGACACGTTCACTGATGCAGAAGATAAACTACAGAATTCGAGTGTGCAGAACTCGCTAAGTGGTTCAGAGATATATGCATGAGAGGGAGGATCGTATTCATTGTTGTCGAAAATGTTACCGACTATTTCTACTGGTGGTGAGGAGAGAGAGATACTAGTGGTGCTGTACAGTCCAATGCGTTTGCATGTGTTTCTGATGAATCTATTCGCCATGAGACGAATATTTTTCTCAAACCCATGGACGTGAATGACTGGCTTGCTTCCACACTTATTTAATTCAAATTCACAGTTCTCAACTGCAAGCTCTGCGTACGTACCACTGAGTTCGAGAATGGTCTCCGTGTTGTTTCGGTAAATGTCCTCTTTGATATGTATTCTGGGATAGATACTCTCATCGGAACCGTCCACAGTAATTTTGACTGAACCATTATTGTTGCTCACGAACTCGGAACCTAAAATATCGACTTGATCTACAAGCGGCACACTAAATCTATCATCGTAGCTGATTTCAAGGTCAAGTCCTCTACCACCATTACAGTCTGCCACACCATTGCTCATCACTGTAGTGGTCGATTCCGAGGAGAGGACGCTTGTGTAACGGATATGAACACCGTTAAGGCCATTGTGATCAAAATGGCAACCGTGACTTTCAAGGTTGGTGACTCTGTCAGACGAGATACTGAGTCCGTAGTGAGAATTGAAGTTGAACACGGAGTCATTGACGGCGACCCTCATCGGAACACCTGACAGCATCAGACCTGCACCGCTGTTCTCGATGAATGTGCTTGTGTTGATGGAAAGAATGCGCTGTGCTGTGGGCACCCGTAACGTGCATTCCTGCAGGAAAATTTCTTGCAAAAGTTGTTGAAGAAACTATGATATTTTGCGAAGGGTTATTAAGTAAAAGTCCGATTCCACTGTTATCAGAGATCTCGCAGTTCGATATTTGGAACGGAGTGGTTGGATTGTTGATGTGGATGGCTGCCTGACCGCTGTACTTGATAGTGACGTTGTGTAGTTCGGGAGAAACTGCCGTGATGTTGACGGCAGCGTTTGTGTTTGTCGAACCCCCATGGAGAACGTCGACATTTTGTATCACTGAGTACATGGACGGATCCGTTGTGACGAAATTCAGCCCCTTCCAGTGGACACCTCCCCTGTTCCTAAGACCCTCGCACACTACACCCAGGTCATTTCGGTTGCGCCCAGTTTCTGTTTGAAAGATATGCGGATAGACCCCGTGATTGATATACTATATATAATAGACTTTCCCTACCCAATACCTTCGATACAAATATTTTTCTTGCAATCGATTCCGCTGTTTGTACAACAATGTGGGATATGACTAATGATGATGTGGGGTGAGGTAATCTCCACACAACATTTGTCACAGATATGACATTGACATCTTTTGTCAAAAGGGTTTACATCTCCGAGGCCGGAATTTGTTTAGTTTATTGAGGGTTGATTTCCAGCTGAGATGTAATTGAAGAACGCTCTGTTTGAAATAAAAACAACAACAACGCGATCGAAGCGAGTATTTTTTGCCGTCTTTGACAACTGGGGTTAATGATGCCCCAAGAAACGTTAGATTTTAGCGTGCCGGAATGCAAACATGTAGATGAGTTACAAACAAAAGACACCACCATGAGCTATCTACCATAAAAAACAAGAGCTGGATAATTTAAGTGGGCTGCGCAAACACAGATAAATCTAGGTGGTGTAGTTCTTTGGTGTTTCCTATTCTATGTGTTTTGACCATTTCGCCCGACACACGTGTACATTTCTAAAATATACTTTCTTTTGATCAAATGACCCACGCATGTGCCGGCATGGAGGCAATTTGGGAATATGAATATTCATAAGATGCGAAGAAGTGCGGGTTCACATGATTGGGTACCAACGTTTTGAACAGTTTGAGTAGTAAGGGATGCAGATGAAACATCACCGGTCTCAAAACAAATAATTCATGCATATGTAATTAACTATTGTTCAAGATTATCATTTTATAAAAAAGTATTCTTGCAAAAAAACATGCAATAAGGACTGCCTTGGGCCTTATGGAGAAAAACTAGAAGACTTACCTGGTATTGACCATTCTCTGAATTACAGATTTGAGTGGTGCGAGGTCACCGATTCAAAAGTATGATTGACTGAGTGAATAAGTGAGTGAGGAAGTGAGTATCAAATTGTTTCGACAGAAGTACTGAAAGAACCTAGCCAGTACGATTTGCTTTTTAAAACTTTAAATGCGATCAACTCGTAGGAAACTCACGGCACTGAGGAGGTTGGTCCAGGCTGTCATGTCCGCACTCGTAGATATTGTCCTCATTGCCGCGACACTGTAGGTTGGACACAGCCATCCGCCCTGTGCCAAACCGGTACCTGCTGTCTACTCGTCCGTTCTCAAACCCCAGTTGTCTACAGACCACCTGTGTAGAAACATGTATTACATTACAATGATCTTGAACTAAGGTGTTCCTTTTTGCAAGTTTTGCGGCGTTGTTTCCTAAACATTCTGAGTGCATTCCCAATAGTCGAGCCCGTTTTGGTTCTCTATCGAAAGCGATGATAATGTTCATAATACTATTTGAAATGCACTCAGAATTGTTTGAAATGCACTTCAGATAGCACGGAATACAGCACGCGAATGTTTAATTCCAACGACATGTGCGTAGAAGATTGTGTATAAGTTACGGCTTCTTTCTTAAGTCAAAGCAGAACTGGCTAAGGTATTAGTGACTACAAACAGACGCTACTCTATTCATTTCTCAATTCAATAAGAGATAAAGATATTTCTAAACGTGTCTTTTACTTACAATTGCTTCTGAATTCCTCAACCAACGAGGGCAGATAGAACCCCACGTCCCATCCCGTCTGACCTGGACACGTCCTTCAAACACGTTAGGACCCAGCAACCGGATGTCGTGGTCACGTGTCACGTTGCTTGCTTGATCACGTGTCACGTTACTCTTCAGGTCAAAGACGATTCTATCTTCAGAGTCGCCTATCTGTTTACACAGAGAGAATGCGTACTCGATTTACAGAAGTAGAGTTCCAAGATTTGATTTCAAACATTCTCTAAATTGTGTTAACAAACCTTGTGACTGACGAAGTATACATGCGTTTGTCATTCATTCATTTATTTCGAAACCTTTTAGCCCTGCTGGGCTAGTCTTCCAAGGCTCAAACACATTTAAAATTGTACATCATTACATACATGTAGCACGGGAAAAGTACAGTAAACACATTTAAAAAGACATACTTACATCACAACATCAACAATAAACACACAAATCAACACTAACAATTTCTGGAACTCGTAACCGGTATATCGCATGGTCACCAAATTTTCAGAGGATGATGTACTAGTAAAACTAAATCATATCAATGACTTTGATGTCAATATGCGTATGACGTCGTTATTACGTAATTTATATGATTTTAGTGACTGAAACCGTCCAGATAGGTTATTCTCATAAAACTTAATGGTATACAACACAAGTCTAATAAAAAGTGTCTATGATAGAATATTAAGGTCTACTAAAACAGTGACGTTATCCACCATGTTGGATCGTCAATCTTCAATTTTCTAAAATGCTTTTTTTTTCAGATAAAGCCTGCAAGTACAATGGAAATAGACATAAGAGGTTCAATTGAACCTTTTATGTAAAAAGAAATCGAAGTAGTGATGGAATTTTAAGGAAAATAACCGGGATATACCTGATCTCATGCTATGGTCCCCCATCTTGGATTTTGACCAATGGCGTCCTCAAATAAGCATAAATTATGCATGATTACTGATAAGAATTACGTTTATTTTAGGAACATTCACCAAGTTTGGTGGTGCTAGCGCAAGCCGTTCAGACGCTATCCGACATCAAAGATGGCGCTGGCACTTTTAGCCCCAGACCCCCCTCCCCCAAGCTAGATAGGGTTAAACCAACCAGGGTTAAACAACAATCCTACAATCTGATCGATCATGTTTACTGTAGTGACACCCATAGGTTAAATTACTCTGGGGTAGTTCATTGTACCATTTCTTATCTTTATGCCGTGTACTGTAGCAGAAAGGGGAAACGCCCTAAATCAACATCTACATTATGTGACCTTACGTATGTTTACTAACTTTCACGAATAGAGCTTAATATATATATATAACTGACCTCGGGGCTTTAAGTCGGAACCCTATTTACCAGTGGAGTAAGCATGGGCAATATTCAAATCCCTATTCATCATCACTAGTGACATTTATACTCCATATAGCTCCACACGCTGTAAAGCCACGTAGCCTCTCTGCAGACACAGAGAAAAATTATTCTTTAGAGAGACAACATGAAAGCCAGGGCTCGGAAGACGGGAGACAGTACTGACTGGAAGAAATACCGGTAAAATGAAACAAGATAAACAAGCTAGTAAAGCAGGCAAAAGCCAGCTATTGCCAACACAAGCTGCCTGTTAAGCCTGCTTCCCAGAACCCGGACGCCTGCCATTGAGTCTCGATACTCTTTGTGAAACAGTGATCACTTGACAGCACAATTATCCAAAAGTGCAAGGGGCCAAAAAACTTCCATAGAGCATTTTGCTTTGAAACACGCTACCTCAAAATGTTCGCACTCAATATGAAAACTGGCCTTATGGTTCCAATCAAATCGTTTAATACTGGATGCTATCCGGCACAAGTGGTGTAAGTTAAGCATTGCACCTCGTCTAAAAAACCCAAGTTGGCAAGGGAGCTCTACAGTAACAACAAGAATTCGGAGATCTCATATCTCCATAAAATATGAGTTTTCGTAAATGTTTTTATTTGTCTCATTGACAAAGTTGTAATTAGCATAATCTAGTGTGATTTATGGTTTTCTAAATTCCTGTCTACCTGCCTAAATGCTTAGGCCAGAACTGGCCCCTTGCTCCTCTTCATTTTTCCTGCCAGGCATCACGGTCCTTAGCCTTTCGTTCAGCGTACTTGAGGGACCACCCCATCGCGCTCTCATGGCGCTCTCATCGCGCTCTCATGGCGCTCTCATCGCGCTCTCATGGCTCTCTCATCGCGCTCTCATGGCTCTCTCATCGCGCTCTCATCGCGCTCTCATCGCGCTCTCATCGCGCTCTCATCGCGCTCTCATCGCGCTCTCATGGCGCTCTCATCGCGCTCTCATCGCGCTCTCATGGCTCTCTCATCGCGCTCTCATCGCGCTCTCATGGCTTTCTCATTGCACTCTCATGGCGCTCTCATGGCGCTCTCTCATCGCGCTCTCATGGCTCTCTCATGGCTCTTTCATCGCGCTCTCATCGCGCTCTCATCGCGCTCTCATGGCGCTCTCATCGCGCTCTCATGGCTCTCTCATCGCGCTCTCATGGCGCTCTCATCGCGCTCTCATCGCGCTCTCATCGCGCTCTCTTCGCGCTCTCATGGCGCACTCATCGCGCTCTCATGGCTCTATCATCGCGCTCTCATCGCGCTCTCATGACGACCTTGGCGCTCTCTCTGCGCTCTTGCCAATTTCAGGTCGCAGACAGAGCGCCGTGGGAGCGCCGTCTAAGTGGAATGGGGGTATAAGTGGAATGGAGGCCTAACCGTCGCTGAGGTGACGGCGCTCATGGCGGTCTCATCGGGCAGCGGCCTTGCCCTTGTCAAGAGTTTATCATATGACGTTAAAAATGTGTCTCTTGGTGTTAAATACTAGACAAAGGAGATAAGAAGTTGTTATGGACAGGCACATACTGTGAATAGTGCAAAAAGGTCTTACTGACAGGAAGCGCAGGGATAACTTTGAATCATCGGTTTTTATATAATTAGGCCACACCGACTAAAAATTATGGATGACAAAAAAAGGTCATGTCCACCACGGCTCTGACCTGGCTCTAGGCCTGGGTAGTCTATGGTAGTTAGCAACAATACGGAGCCGGCCACATAGGCTACCGAAGCTCCACGACTAAAAAACTCAGTACATACGTACATGTAGTGCAGATTCATGAATTCCGTAAAAAGCCAACACAGTGTCGTATTGTCGCTATGTACTGCCGCAAATTCACAATACTAGTACCAGCTTTGTATTCCTGTGGCTTAGTAGCATTTCTATTTTTGGCCAGAAATTTTTTTTATTCGCCCGCGCGCACTAGTTTGGGGGTCTTCAAAGGATGTCATCCATGACATTAAGTCGGTGAGGCCTTATGAACAGGTGTTAGTCGGTTGAGTGATCGCCTTGCAAAACATCCTGTCAGTAGTGAAAAAAACCCTTATTGACAGGAATAATCTGTCAAAAGAGAAATATTCTGATGAACAAGCACGGTCTCTGCTAAGTGGACTCGATAGCATGCGGTATGATTAAGATGAACCGGGCAACAGGCCGGGCAACCTAAGCAATGGTTAAACCTCAACAACATCTGGTCTGACAGACACCTGTCAGTGCACACAAAGCTCAGGGTTTACAACAGCCTAGTCCTCTTCATCTTGTTGTATGGAGCAGAAACATGGACACTGACTTCCTCACAAGAGAGGCACCTAGACGCCTTCAATACCAAATGTCTACGCAGGATCCTGGGGATCAAGTGGTATGATCATGTTCCCAACGCTACCCTTCGCCAGTCAACAAACCAGCCTCCAGTCTCCTAGAAAATTCGAGCTGCTCAACTGCGTCTCTTCGGGCACCTCGCCATAAGAACTTCACCACCCCTAGAAGCAGCCAAACTGTTGCTGCACCTGCAAACTAGACCCAACCCAGGGACAGGCCCAGACAGAAGTGGTTGGATGTAGTAACATCGGACCTTAGGGATGCAAGACACAACCTAACCACAGCCTGGGAAGCAGCGCAGAACAGAAGCGCCTGGAGGACTGTTTGCCGGGGCGCTACGCTTCTAGGAGCAAGCGGACCTGAGTGAATGAGTGAGTGAGTGAGGGCAACAGGCCAACTCGCGCGTTCCTGCCAAAAGCCCGGGCAAGCTCACTAAAGACTGCTGTAGTACTACCTAAAACAAATCACATTCGCGATGTAACGCGATGTAACCGTGATATATTATTAATTAAATGTAAAAACTAGTAAGATTTATACAAGTTTAGAAATTTCACCGCCAGGTGAACGAAACATCGACACTACGAAAGTGCACAGCAACGTGCATGAATCTGTGCGGATTCAGCATCCCGCTCTCGCCTGTTAGCCTATCATAAATTCCTACATCACATATATTTAACACTCACAGCTATCAGCCGCCCCAGCACGGTCATGCCGACCCCCTCCGGGAACAACAGCCGAACCCCCGCCTCGATCGTCAGGGTCGCCGCCTCACCGACGATGATTTCATCGGTAACGTTGTACGGACTTCCCGACAGACTGATCGTGTGGTTCCAGTAATATGATCCACCGATGTCGTCAGAAACTGCACCGGACAATAATCCAAGTGAAAGCAGAGAGACCAGAAAAACGCGCCACCACAGAGGCCCCATGGTGACGACTGAGTTTACATGTAACTTTGCGAACCTGCGCAGGACTCCTGCGAGAATGTTTACATACTGTAGTTTTGTACTGAGTGCCAAAAGGCAAATTCATCACAATAAAAATGGGCAGGTTTGGCCTTGCTGTGCCCCTCTGGTGATTCATCCACTTTTGCGCCATAACGCCTTATCCTAAAAAAATCAGAAAAACTAATAGCAACTCTTAACTTTTGCATTCTACACAACACAAAGCTAATATGCATAGCCGTGGTAGTAGTGATCATGATTGTACTAGTATTCAACATCATATTATTAAGACAACCTAAAACAATAACCCATCTGTAGGAACAGGAGAGATTGAAAAATTGAACTTGGAGCTAAATAAGCATATGTTAAAAATAGGAAAAAAATGTGGTAGTTCAGGAATTCAAAACAGAATAAATTTTCAACGAGTTTTACAATGACTAACCAAGTGCATGTATAGTATAAGATAGAGGGAAAAGCCAGTGACTCGATATAGGGCCAAGAGTGCAATATGTGGGGTAAGCTTGACGGTGTATACATGCCATCGATATCACATTAGAACGTTGACAATATATTTTATCGCCTGATATTCTCTCTCCTATATTCTCTCACTCTATCCCATAGCTTACTCAGCTGTTGGGGCAGCATGATTGGTGACGTTTTAGTCTTTTTTAGGACAAAAAAATCCACTAATGACCGCCTGGTACCTGGACGCTGTACTCCCCTCTGATGATTTTGGAACAGTCCCAACAAGGAAGAAAATTCCGCATGTTTGTTCCTGTCAGTATTTGCTAAACGTAGCACTTCTGAAGGAAATATGGCGACTCATTTGTAACAGTCCCAATAAGGAACAAAATTCCACAGGCAAAGTCTTGCCACTCGGTAAACAGTTGTTGAGCGCAGTAACAAGTACTGTTGTGACTTAGGCCCCCATTCCACTTAGTGGCGCTCTTGACCAGAGAGCCGTTAGAGCGCCAAACTTCACGAAAAACGTGCTTAAGTGTAATCTCTACGGCGACCTGTCTGCGCTCTCTGTGCGCTCCCATGGCGACCTTGGCGCTCTGGCCAATTTCAGGTCGCGGAACTCTAGAGAGCGCGGTGAGAGCGCCGCCTAAGTGGAATGGGGGTATGCACGCATACAAGTCAAAAGTAAATCTTGACATGCAATTACCAATCATTAACCCAAAAGTTATCTAACTGCTTGAAACGCTACAGCGGTGTGGTAAACTATCTAGTGTGATTTAAAGCTGTTGGTATATGGATATCTTATGCCTTTTTGCCGGCTTTTACGACCTGTAAAGGGTACGTCAATATTTGTCGCTCTGGTGGCACAGAATCCTTTCCCAGCAGATCTCTACTTGATAAGAACTAGGGACCCTCATTTAAACATCATTAACAGGGGCTGTATATCTTAATTCTCCTGAATACAAGTACGGGATTAGTATACGTGTTTGGCAGGTAAATTGAAAAGACTGCCAGCATCTTATCGCGTAGTCTTCATTTACATAGTTATTGATTATCGGCTGTTTGTTTACAATTGTGATTGTTTGATATTTCGCACAATGCGTTACGTGTAGCAACGCTGTCTTTTACAAGCTTTCAGTGCTTTGAAGCTTCTGAGCAACTGTTATGGTTCATGGGGCTGAGAAAAGTTGGCACCCCACTTAGGTCAAGTGACAGGTAAAAGGTGAGAGTGGGGTGAAGGCCACGTGAAACAAATGAACAATAAAAAGTCCAAGTACTCATGAAACAAAGTTGAGATGGCTTCAGGTAGTATAGTGGCGACGGTTAAGGGTTGGTTATATGGTGGCAATAAATCAAAACATAAATACAGTCATGCAACTTTGCTATACATGTATTAGTATTTACAGAAGACTTAAAACAACGATACAAACAGTTATTAAAACAAATTTATTATCATATGTGTGACTAAGGTAGAGATGGCAGATTACAACAGACTAAGAGAAAAACCTTCATCGACGTAAGAGAAAAAAACTCTTAACTTTATGACAAATCAGTATAGCAATGTTTGCATGGCGACTTTGCGATGGTCATTTAAAGCTATTTGCAGCATTAACTAAGTATATCACATAATGTAGTTATACAAAGACGACTGTGTACCCTTTGATTTCGTCCAAGACGCTGTGACTGTGACAATGGTGTCATTGTTATCATGAGAAACAGAGATACATTTGTATGGCTTAAAAGTCAATGGGGATAGAGAATTTGAGAAAGATCCACAGCTGGGGTTAGGATATGTTCTGCGGCCCCAATCCTCTCCCCCAGTCAAGCACAAATGGAACTTGCAGAAACTACATAAGATATACTATTTTTTTATTTACAATTCTACAATTTGCAAAAAGAAGAATTGGTCGTCCAAGCACAACTCTTAAGAAACTCATTGAGTCTGAAACTGGTCTGCAAGGATCGGATCTTCTGTCCGCAATGACTGACAGACTGTACTGGAGACAGAACTTCTCCAGCTGCAGCTCATAGAGGAAGAATGAAGAAGAAGAAGAAGTAGGACTTAATCTAATACAAACCGTTTAGTATCAACAACCTAAGTTTGGGTAATGGTAAAAATGTTACAGTTTGTATGTATCTGGGTGTAAATCGGTTATCCCCTAAGTAGAATGTTACATAAGAGTTGTTTAGACATGTTGTGTACATCAAGAATAGAGCCTACCAAGTTCTGTAGATTGCTGAGTAGAGTGACTCTTTGCTGATTATATGCTGTCTATTTCAGAAAGAAATCATAGTGACCCTACTGATAATAAGGCGTTGACTAAGAAGGGGGGGGTGAGTTCGTCGTCGTTCTTAGTCAACCATTTACATGTATATCACACGATATTAGACTAGTCATCAGAATGGTTTTCTTCAGTATAGACTTGCCTGTTATAAGGACGAAGGTGGTTCTGTGAACGCGGCAGACTGTTCAACGTTTGGTATTGGCTGTGGCGGAGACTCTGATATCCGTCCGGGTTCTGCGCACGCTCAGGAACAGTCAAATGTTGGTACTGATTTTGGTGACGGCTCTTATACACATTCGAGTTTTGTCCTTGCTCAGGAGCATTCAATGTCTGATAGTGATCCGGCCGAAGGCTTTGGTAATTTCCAGATGGACGTGGGGATTCGTACTGAGAGCGATCATTGCGCACATCTTCATACTCTCCATCAGGATCAATGTCTTCCATATGGTTAAGGTTCTGGCCTTGTACGTGTGGATCAGGCGTTGGTTGACGGCAGCCGTTCTCTGTTTTACACCTATCTGTTCGGTATTCTTGCTTTGTGTGTCCATTGTCGGCATTTTGGTCGGCATTGTGCCGTCGGACTTCTTGGTGGTCTTGACGTGGAGTTAGGTACAGCCCATTGGCTTCAGATGATGAAGAAATATGGCAGTTGCCTTCAGAAAGACTCACGGGTTGCTGTGATGAGGCTTTTACCCAGGAAACCTTGTTGTCGTTTATCTCAATATAGACTTCGGTTTGTGAAGATGAGATAGCTGACAGTGGTCTTTGATCTTTTCGCAATGTTGTTTGACTTTCCATCACGTTTGGTAACTCCTCGTAGATGTGTTCGGACGCGGGGTTCTCAAATTCAACCCTTCCGTCGGAATTATTGGGGAAGGAGACACTGACAGGAGCCGAAGTGTTTTCGTCAGTGGCGTACTTGACTTTACCGTGTCCTGATCGAGTCATTTTCCTGTATAAAGGAATTTACATGTTAGGCATCTACAGAAAAAGATAGTTTGGACTAAACAATCTCTGCCAAGCACATCATCCGTAATGCATGTTATCAGAATGTCTAAACTACACGTGCGAGCTGACGGCATTGTTTGAAGGTCGGAGTAAGGTGGAGAAATATGGATACAGCAGCGGCGGATGAGCCTCACTCGTCGACTTCACTCGTCGACGTCACTAATGAAACGAAATGGTTATCATGAACAGGACATATTAACAAGAAAAACGTTTCTTACTTCTTTCTGTAACATACAGTAGTAACAACCCCTGCCACAACCCCGAACGCCAGACTCAGTACCACTGCCACCGCTATGATGGTAGTCGAGACAGTGCGGGTGGTTTGTCCAGCTGAAATATTTCCTCCCATTGTGGTTCCTGGAGTGGAGCAAAGACGCCATTTGTTAACATTAAAAATAAGACTATCATAGTTTACTCAAAAACCGCTGACTTAAAATAAACTGTGTGAGAACATGCGGGCATTTAACACAATCATGTAAGATATGACAGGTAGCATACAACACGCAGTCTTGACAAGTTCTTTCGTTCCGCCTATGCATCAACGCAAGAACTTGTTAAGGCTAATAATTTTAACGGTAATATGGTAATTTGATTTTGCCCACCGGATCCGGTGTGGCGAGATGGCTGTGTAGAGCTTGTTCCTGGCCGAGTAGACTTTAAATTCGCTCTCTCTGTCGGTAATTCAGTCGTACTTTTAGTTTGTGGCGGCCTCGGTCTGCTAGTTGTCCACGATGGCCCTGTCGCGATGGTGGATTCTGTTGATATACTAGTAGATTGCCATTTTGTTGTTGCTATAGGCAGTAATCCTGACGTTGATAGATAGGTACGTGTGTTGGGCGATTGGGCAGTAATGGCGGGTGTGGGAGGTACACTTGTAGTAGTTGTAGAAGGGATACGGCCGGGTGTTGACGATTGCCCGGTTGCAATAGTGACGATTGCCGATGGTGTTTCTGTCGACATTGCTGTGGTCGGTTGCCCTGTTGTTGTTGTTACTGAGGACAATGTCCTTGGCGTTGATAGGTAAGCACGTGTACTAGACGATTGGATAGTGATGGTGGGTGATGAAGGCGAAGGCACCATGGCAGATGCAGGGATAAGTTCTGAAAAAAAGCAGTCAGATCTGCACCACTCATCTAGGTTTCTTTTATTAGACATGTCTTGAATAGCATGTAGTTTTTACAAATCAATGAACTTTTTAAACACTATCTGGAATTCTTTATTGTTAAGATGGACTGTAAAGTGTGCAATATAAAAATTTGATTTTGTGAATGGACAACAATGTAAAGCAATTGATAGCTACAAATAGGTAATCTACCGTATCCCTTACCGCATTGTCCTGTGTATGGTATCACATGAACATCATCTATTGCGATGTCTCCCCTGTAACTGCTTCCGCGAACTGCCTCAAACACCACCGCTGACTCCGCGGTGCCGTCAAGAGGAAGCTGGAGTTAGAAAAGAGGGAGACACCACGTCAATCGAATGCCCTTACATCACCACGGATATCAAAATAATTTTTCTAACATCTTAATTTTTTCATCACCCACCTGTCCTTGTCGCCAGGCGTTGCCTTGTTCATCGAAGAGGCTCCATACAGGGATTTCGGAGCCTCCGCTCCCTTTCCGGTTAACAATCAGAGTACCAATATGGAGGCCGTACATGTGGTACCAGAACGTCAGGCAGTAACTTGTATGGCTCGAAGACGAGGGGATGATTGGAAGGGTAGGAGACAACAGGCGTGCTGTCTCCCCAGGGTCAATGTTGGAGGCCTCGAAGTACATGTAATGTCCTGTAAGGAAAAAGATCAACTACAATTTATTACTTTTTTGAAATGCGTATCATCCCGAAAAGACATAGATTGAACACTGCCATACGCAATGTTGCAGTAAGAAAATGTGACTGCAGCACGTTGTAAAAAATCGTTTCCTGCTTAGATTCTACTGTCAAGATCAGAAATAGAGCGGTACTTTTGAAAGCCATGTACAAGTTCAAAGTCAACTACATTTGCATTATTGTATAGAAATAGATTTTACCTAGTGCTGTGCCCAAGGTATGGTCAAAGTCAGGCCCCGTACCGCCGGTATCCGTATGTCCCTGGTGCCATGTCCACTGAGCTGAGTCGTGGATGTCTTGTCGGTACCCGCAGATTGACGACACTTCAAATGTACAGTTTGGAGAGGCTAGCGGATACGGAGTTGTCGTTGGCAGAACTGGGAAATGACGCAATGTCATTGGCTTTAGGGACAACTCACGAACTACACATTACCATTCACTCTGCAACAGCCTTATTCATTATGTTAATGATGTTATTTAGTACAAAGTCATATACGACTCCTAAAAACCATCATTTAAGTTTGAAATGAACCAAACTTCATAATTTTGGTCCCCTGAATATGTCATATATTTAAATAAAGGTCATCTGTGCTATAAGTATATAGTTATACAGCATCACAGTAGTACATATTTTGTTCAGTTGAATATTTACCGGTTGTTGTTATCGGATCACATTCATCACTGACGGTGACGTCGTCGATAGCGATGTCTCCCCTGAAGCCGTTTCCGCGAACGGCCTCGAAGACGACGTTAAAACTGCTGCTTCCGTCCAACTGCGCATGTCCGAACTGCCAGGCGTTTCCCTGGTTACCGGTAACAGTCCAAACCGGGGCTCCCAGGATGCCTTGCTTCCTGATGTACACGTTCAGAGTCCCCATGCTGCTGTCCCCGAACATGTGGTAGTAGAACCTCAGGCAGTAGGGAACACTGCTGACGGGGAAGAGCGCGGAGACAAGGCGGGCAGCGTCACCTGGACTGCCCACAGATGTCTCCAGGTACACGTAATAACCTAATGCCAACAAGGAATAGAACACATCCTTACGAAATGTGTGAGTGCAGTCATGGTTCTAACATATACAATGTAGTTAAGTGTAGAAACTTAAATTCAACGAAGAGCTGCAGATTAAATCATATTAGTTATTCCAGTGTCTTTCTAGACAGAAAGGCAGGTGCATATGACATAACAGCCCTCCCGCGAGTAGGATTGCCCTCGGCCTTCGGCCGTAGGGCGATCCGATGCGCGGTCGGGCCTATACCTCGGGCGATACGGAATACACCGTAGTATATATATATGAGGTGGGGTGTATACTTTAATCCACTTCACGCGCAAGTCAAAGACATCACAACATATATATGAGGTATAGTTAGAACAGAAATATGTGCATCTTACAAAGGATGACATGTTCTAACATAGTTAACCGTGATATATTATAAAAACTCGTCTACTAATGTCTCAAAAAGAGAGAAGATACGTGTAAAGCTTAGATATACGTAGATAGTGCATAGCATAGTCTTAATATTCCTAATTTGTAGCTGATGTACTGCACTAAGCCCCACTAGCTGGGTCATGGATATGCAATAAACTTCATTGTCATTGTCATTGTAGCTATTTGTGGACAGATGACAAAATAAAACCACGTTTTTACCAGAACCAAGAGTATGATCAACTGACGGTCCAGTGGCAGAGGTTGGTGTTTGTCCGGAATGACGGGTCCAGTCCAGGTCATCTGTGCTGTCTTGTGTGTACCCGCAAAGGTCACTGGTCTCAAAGTCGCACGGCCATGCTGTACATTGGGCTGTCTCACAGAGAGCGTATATGAGAGGTCAAGACGTTTAAGTCAAGTCAGTAAATTAACAACTGGTACAGTTCACAACAGACTGTCAAATCATGAAGCGACCAGCCAGTCTATATTGATTTTAGGCTACACACTGCCCTACTGTCAAACAAAAGTATTTAAAATATTGACTATAACTAGAAAGGCCGGGAGCAAATGCAGCAAATGGCTTCACCACATCCCCCGTACCAAAAATGGACATATCCCTCTCCCACACAAAAAAGGATTGTTCCTAAATCACCCATGTCCAACATGTGAAGTCAAGTCTTCCAACAGTCTATACCCCCATGCAGCAATGGAATCTTCCGACGCCTTCCAATGTTGGAACGAGTGTTTTAAAGGTCTAAATGTGAATTGTGAACACTATATTCAAAGCATTTGGTGCCACTTTGTGGTATGATGAAGCCATAAAAATACTGTAACGTTACAGTTGTAGTAATAAATGGAGGTCTGTTATGACAGATAATGATATGTAACCTGTAGTTACAGCAAATTCATTCTAAGGAGGAATTAATATCTTAGTGACAGCAAAACGGAGCAACGCGGAAGGATTTCGTGACCCTTTCGACACTTTCAGTACTGTACAGTGCAAGCAATCAATTCCCCAAACTTCATGACGTTTTTGCGCATTTGTTAGTGCCTTGGTACTAATAACTCTGACAAGTCCCCATTAAGATAGTTTTAAAGTTCTCTAGTAATCTCTACCGTTTCAACGTCTAGATCAATGACATTGTCTCGTACCTGATGGTAAATGTTGCATAATTAGGACGAACGCGCAAACCGCCATAGTCCATAGCGAGTCCATGCTGTTTTCGTACGGTAATGTTAGCACGAGCTTGAAGGAATAGTCCCTAACACCCGCGCAAGGAACCCTTGCTTATCGATCTAAGCATGACAGATTTATTTTCAGTTAAAATATTTCAGCGTCTTTTATTACGGTGAACACTGCAGGTTTACCGTGATACGTGTCATGTGAGCCAATTTATACTGGTAACCCACGACGACGATCTACCGGTTGGTTGTTAACCGTTGAATAGGTGATTGATTAAGTGCTTGTAGTCGAACGATAAACAGACCATTTGTCTGGAACCTTGTCTATAGAATTTTACCGCAACCTGGCAGCGACAGTAACCAACAACCAGAAATGGCTCAGGAAATTATGAGATAGCTGCCATACTTTGATTTTTTGCAGTAAGGCCATACCCACATAATTTCGTGGATGACATCCGCGCGCGCATTGATTTTCGTCTGTTCTCAACAAATTAAAAAAAAAAAGATCGCGTCCTCCAAGGCTATGGCTTGGGTAGTCCAAGGTAGTTAGCGACAATAGGGAGCCGGCGGTATCTCTGGAGGATGGCACACAGGCTACCGAAGCTCCACGACTCAAGAACTCAGTACATACGTACAGTGCCGATTCATAAATTCCGCAAAAAGCCAACATGTGCCGGCTTGTCGTATACGTCGCTAAGTACTGCCGCAAATTCACAATACCAGCTTTGTATTCCTTTGGTTTAGTAGCATTTTTATTTTCGGCCGCGCGCACTAGTCTTGGGGTCTTCAGAGGAGAGTTTTTGTTTTACAAAGAGGCAGAATTTTAATGGATTCAAGCACAAGCAAAGCCCAATGTTCAAAGTGCAGAGAAATATCTTTTCATTAGAGGGCGCTTTTTAACGCTTTTTAACTTCTGTTAAAGCTGCATTATGTAACATCAGGGAGATACAAAATGTGAATTTACTCAAAGTAAGTTGAGTCAACCCTACTCCACTGCAAATAAGTGCCATTCCAGAAGTGTAGATGCCAAAAAATATCATGCCTTATGAGTGTGCTTAAACCTTGAAACACAACTGTCAACCATGTTTGTTTACATTAGGGTAGTTTGAGGTGGCACCACAAACTGGGTACGCCATGTGTGGGCTGTTAGCACCAACCATAAGTGTAAAAAATGGTAGATTATTGCACAAATATGCTGAAAAGTAAGTTACAATCACAGGAATATTTCGTTAACAACACCTTTCAATTTTTGGTGCAAAAATGTTACATAATGCCCCTGAAAGAAAACTACTGTCTACTGTCAACAACCCTGTTAACCTCTCAAATCCCACTCATCGTAGAAAATGTGGAACTCTTCGTCTTCCACACCTTCCAAAAAAAGAAGTCAAAAAGTCAGTTTTACAAAGAAGTTTAATCAATTCATTATGGATTTTAACAAAGTTCAATGCTCAACTTGCACACACATATTTTCCGTTAGGTGGCGCTTTTTAACAACTCAATGCATTAACGTTATTTTAACAACTTCGGGAGCTCCTTGGTCAGACCCCAAGACTAATTTTCTTATTTATAAACCCACTTTAACACCGTCTGTCTCCACATCGATTTGCTGTCTCCTGGACAAAAAACAAATGTGGATTTTTACCGAAAATTCCTGTGCGAAACGTCGACTGCAGAGAAACTGTAATCCCGAGTATCGATTGAAACGATTTGTGAGGATTTACTAGCAGACAGTGTTCTAGCCAGTCTAAATTTTTTTTTCAATCATCCCAATTTTGTTTCACGTAACATCATTTGTTTCACGTCACCAATCCTTGGCGGGTCCGGGGGCATGCTCCCCGGGAATATTTAAAAATCTTGACCGTCTGAAATGCTATTTCCTTCATTTTAAGGGACAAATTTTGCTGGTAGACTAAGCTTCAATATAGTTTAATCGAACTTTTTCTGTATCTTTACACGCCGATTTTTGTCCGTCAAAGATGACGCATTGGGCAAATTTGGCTTTCAATGCTTCCAATGTCTCCAAAGAGTCTGTTGTTGAACACGAAGTCTCCACCAGTCACCGTATTTTTTTCTACAGAACAAAACTTTTAGAACAGCTGTAAATTTTTTTTTGCCAAATAGCACATCTGTTACAAACAACAAGGGAGTTGCTGTCTGACTCCAAGTCCCTAGGGCCCTGCACAGTGTATGTATATCACTACCATTAACTGAATTTAAGCCCCAAGACACCTGCACACACATATGCGGTATTCACAGAGGAGTTCACTTCTGGCAGCGAGTCAAAACTTTGGGGAGACATGCCCTGGCCTTTATACGCTATCTAATAAAACAAGATCATGCTGATTTATCATAAGAGCGGTTATGAACGAGTTTTGATGTCAAGAGCCGCACCACTGGAGGATATGCGAACAAAAAATATTACATTAGAGTTTGTGCTCTTGGGTGTCGTGAAAAGGGAGTTTGATAGATTGGTTACTCAACGTACAGTAGCTACAAGAATGTACCTTCGGGCCCTGGGCTTACATTTCATTAAGACTTCGATCCCTATAAGAACATCATGACGGAAATGAATTTGCAACTTGCAAACTTCTAAACGTGTCAAAGAATGCGAAATATTGCAGCGTAAAAATGTATCGGTATAGCCTGTATAACCGCCCTTCGGTGTAACACACCAGCTTCGCAGGCACGCGGCGCGGCGGCAGCTGGCTTCATTACACCAAACGACTTGTTACACGTAGCCCTTGAACATCTAACTCTAAGCATTGTTTAAAGCTATCTAATGACAATACCCCTACTGTACTTGGTGACAGCGAGTTCCACTCTGCGATAGTTCTACGAAAGAATGAGTTTTTGAACACCTCAATTATCCTTCAGTCTAATAGAACCCCCAGCTCTGTTTCCCCCGTAACAACCCAGAAGAAACCCTCTGCCATCTGGTGGATAAAGGGAACCGAAACATTTATCGATTATTGGATACTGACTTCAGCTGATGGCACGATAACTCTCGTACTTCTTTGACAGAAATGACAATAGACGGTAACTTGTATTGCATCGGATTGGAAGGAACGGTAACTGGTCTTGTAACGGCTTAGGAGGGCCACGGATCATGAATGATCGACTACCCGTACTGGTAAATGGGGAACTACATATTCTGGCCATGGAGAGTAAGCTATGACCTGTGTGGATTTGGAGGTTTTACGTTAGGTACTAAGTGTTTTCTGTAGCATTATTTTCTGAGCTTCCCAGGGTAATTGAAATGGTTACCGGAGAAGAAAAGCGCTTTTCCGGCAGCTATGTAATGTACATTGTACCTGGTAGAATCGTCCTGTTTACTAGCGGGATCACAATTGCGTCAAGATGTCGGCAGAACGCACAGTGCCCTCGCGAAACCTGTTTTTTTTCACGGTTTTTTAATATTTGTCCAACGTTGCATCAGGATTTTGCCCGGTGCAGAAGATATATTTTTCGACACAACATTTGAAAACTACACGTACACACGGCATGTCATCCTTAAATATAGCCTGGTATCCAGCCTTGTTAGCTTTAGTCCGCTACCCAAGATCCGACGGGGAGCGGACTAAAGCTAACAAGGCTGGATACCAGGCTACCTTAAACACGTGAATACAACCTTAAAGAAGACGTTCTGTTGAAGTGTTATTCGCAATACAATACGGCTTTGGCTAGGACACAGTACATTCTGCTCTCTAGGCGTGAGGTACAGATTACGGTGCTTGTCAAAGACAAGAGTCACAGAAACTTGATAATTAACTGCAATTCACATTTATTTATCACAGACTAACTCGCACAAATCGGTATCAAATCAGTTAGAAATGTGTGACATTTCTAAACAGTGAATATCCTGCATGCTTCTCATTCGCCATATCGTACACCAATGTACATTTGATGATCGAACTTCACAACAAATATCTTGATTTATAAGAGCCACAATTCCTTAGATTCTCGAATTCCGACAATTTTACAACGACTAAGACATCGGTAAGGGGAGATATAAGAAATCAGAAATGTACACAATTTCCCTGGGCACAACGAGGTTACTTTGCCGTTGAATTTGTACACCAAGGACAACGTAAATGTAAACTTACAGAATCATCAGTAATACATTTTTTCTTTGCGTGATTCCTATGCTCATCGGGCTAGAAAACGGCCAAAATTTCGTCTAAATTTATGTAAATCGATCAAAATGAAATTAGTCACTGAGCTATGTGACATCACCACTTTTAAAGTTACACCAAGGTCATAATAATAAGAAAGTGTATTGCTTTATACTTATTCCAACTTCGAGGAAAGGAAACTACTATCTTAGGTAAAATTTTCCAATACATTTGAAAGTTATACAATATATGTATTCGCTTATACATTCTTGATTGTGGTTGTGTGTACTGTATGTACGTACGCATGCGCAGTAGAAAGGGCACAGTTGTGTGTGATTGTGAAGGCATTTCCCATGAGGCGCCAGCGCCTGGTCACGTGACGCGTGATTTAAACATTCGTCAGATCATCCAGATCCTTTGTCGTTATTGCATACAAGTCACGTGAAAAATATGATTACGGAATCACACATATGTCTTTACTAACATACCTAACCTGTGAGGCGTGTGTATATAATCTCCAAGCGGATTCAGTACGTGGGGCAAGGGGACTTTATGTAGACCGCCTGTATCCAACGTTCGCCCCACAGTTAAATGGATACAGGCGGCGAACATAAAGTCCCCTTGCCCCACCGAATCTGCTTGGAGATCATATGTATAATCATTCCTAGATTTATTACAATATGAAAGAAATCAAGCATGGTTGAAATTCATGATTTTTTACAATGCAGTAAACCCAGGTATATTCTTAAGTGCACCTTCCAACACATAAACCTGCATTTGTGCCTTTGCTAAGATTGTCCACATGTCATGTATGTTTGTATAACACATTTGTAGTTATCGTGAGTTACACCGACGTTATCCAATAGGTTATGGATATCTTCAATTTTGAATAGCAGAAAGCTATTTTGACAGGCATTTCAACATTTTATAAAGGCCCAAATCCTTGTAAGATATACATAGCAAACATGAAATTCAAATGTTGATCGAAACTTAAAAGGCTTCCAGGCACAATTTGTTTTCAGTATTGATGGCAATGCGGACCCGGGGAGACATGTTCGATCCTTGCGAAGTCTTTTAGAAACCACGAACTGAAGAGATATGTTTCTTTTCTTGCCACTATCGACAGCCCTCTCATCTGTCGATGCCGGTTCCTCCATTACCAGCAGTTTAGGCAAGTCAAGCCTGGCAGCTTTTGAAGATGTATCAGACTGGCGCACGGCTCCAATCGTTGTGTACATGTGCTGTGTAGACATCCATCCCGATAGAAGACATGATCACCCTTGGTATCTACTGTATAACCGCTAACGTAGCAAGATTGTTGGAGATTTGATGAATCGGTTGCCGGTGAACACAGCACTCCCAGGGGACAGCCTTTAACGTAGCCCGAAAAATCACATCACGCAAAGTTGGTCAGAAAAATGTCAAAGAAGATGAATGCGACTTGTCAAATTTATGCCGTGTCCCCGAGTGCTAGCCCGACTGGGACGCGTCACTTCGGCACCGCACGTCTGGAGCTGGCACGGCGCCAAGATTCCATTTGAGATAGCTTGCCATCGCGATTGCCGAGAGCTTTACTCACCAGCACTCGGAGACGTCTCTATGTGTGTTCAGATGGTATCAAAGAAATACACGTAAAAGGACCGTGGTATTGAGCATGCATGTAGCCATGCTGTTACGGTTACAGGAAATTACAAATGATAGCATAGATGTCAAAGTATATAAAAGTAAAAAAAATATTGACAGCGTGCGCTGGCATGTCTAGATCAGATCTTTATCTCACCAAAGCATGAAAAGTGGAAACGTCCTAGGTGTATCCAGGTATGTGGTAAGAAAGGCTACGTCCTAATATAAGGCAGAGACATTGAAGTGAAGTATCTGAGATCGTGTAGAGAGGATCAAGGTCTTGTCAAGCCAGGGCAAGGCGCCTATAGGCAGCTTGACAGTTTTTTCCTGGCCGAATGGCGTGTCTTCATCGCATATCTTTGGGAATCTCGCTTGCAGTCCCGTCATTTTTTAAATGTCAAGGTTATCCTTTATTTATTAATCGGATAAAGACGCACATATGCTGCTGCGTTTGGAGAAGTTCCCATGGGATGTCGTTCATGGCCACGTACCTCCAACTTCCCTGATTGAAACGACGAGGCAATCGAAGAGTAGAATCTGCTTCCCTCCCCGTCATGGCTACCTGAACATTTAACAATTTACATAGTTTGTAATAATTACTTTCATCATTAGATTTTATTCGTCATATACTTGCAATGTGTGGCGAGTTCTGCATCCTCTGTCTCCTGTTTCTCTCCGTGGTGACCACAGCCGCCACCACGGCTACAACCACCGTGATGGTGATCACGAGAATCGTCACCGTCTCGGCCACGCAAAAGTTCGTCCCCAGCGCTTTCAGCGTCACGTTTCGCACCTCCCCCGGCTTGTGACAGGCCAGCTCCTCGTAGCGAACGATGTGCAGGTTCTTCGTTAGATGGATCTTGTTAAACGTCCTCTGTAGGTCGCAATCGCAGTGCCACGGGTTCGAGTCCAGGTACAGGTTTGTGTACCGGCTCTTGATGTTACGAAACGTTTCGAAATTCACGGAAGACAGCTGGTTGACGTCCAGATTTAAGGACCTTAATGTCCTGAGATCCTTGAAGGAGGCGGGTGACATTCTGTTGATCTTGTTACCAGTAAGTAAGACGTGTTCCACGTCTAAACTTCCGCTAAATATCCCGTCTTCCATAGCGCTCAATCTGTTGTACTCGAGGTGTACAAACTTCAGGCTATGCAGATGAGCAAAAGTCAAACTGTTCAACGTTGAAATATTATTCCTGTCTAGGTAAAGAGTCTGTAAGGAGTAAAGGTCCTCCTCGTTTAGGAAGCCCAGTTTTCTGAGAGAGTTGTAAGACAGCCTTAGGTCCTGAAGATTAATAAGACCGCGGAAGACTCCTTTTCGTAGGAATTTCAGCGAGTTCCACTGCAGGTTTAGAACCCTCAGCTCTCGCATGTTCTCAAAGGCCAACTCCGCGATGTCGGAGATGTGGTTGTTGTCTAGCGTCAGATAATGCAGCCGACGGAACCTCTGAAAGGACTGAGTCGTGATCTTGGTCAGGTTGTTGTTTCCGAGGTTGATGTAGTCCACGTCCGCGCCCATGCCGCCGGGCACGTTGGTGAACCCCTTCTCTCGGCAGTTGACGAACCCTGAGACGGCGTTGCAGGCGCACTGGTTCGGGCACAGGCAGACGGTCGGCCCGACCAGCAGCAGGAAGATGTACACGAGCTCCAAGATGAAGATCATGTCCTCTGGTGATTCCACCAATGTTAGCCAGCTGCTCATCCTCTCGGATAGTCACAGCTGTCCGGTGGAACTTTCCTGCAAGAAAAATGAAAACAAGGGTCTGTATCTGTATATAGCCGGTATAACAGCCCTTCGGCGTAACACATCAGCTTCTGTATCTTTATCTGTATCCGTATCTGTATAGCCAGTACAACCGCCCTTCGGCGTAACACAAGAGCTTCAGTACATGTATCTGTATAGCCGTATAACCGCTCTTCGGTGTAACACACCAGCTTCTGTATCTGTATAGCCGGTATAACCGTGCTTCGGTGTAACACACCAGCTTCTGTATCTGTATAGCCGGTATAACCGTGCTTCGGTGTAACACACCAGCTTCTGTATCTGTATAGCCGGTATAACCGTGCTTCGGTGTAACACATTAGCTTCTGTATCTGTATAGCCGGTATAACCGCCCTTCGGCGTAACACAACAGCTTCGCAGGCACGCGGCGTGGCAGCAGCGGGATACATGACACAAAAAGATACTAGTACCAGTAGAGAAAATGAAGCCCGATAAAAACGTTTAAAAATAAACCGAAGTCTAAACCTAATATTGACTCATCATTGATGAATATTTGAACTAGGAAGGTAACATTTGCAAGGCAAATGCATAATATTTACCTTCGCATATGGTCTGCTTGTTAATTTTTACTCAAACACATTCATATATATGGTGACAGCAGTCTACATCCTTCCTGCTATGAAATTACAATATGATGTAACCCAATACTAGTTACCATGGCAACAGACACTAGGTTCAGGTCAGAGGTCACTGGAGAAGAAGAGGAAGAAGAAACTGAGCAAAAACAATATGTTTTCCTTCGGTATACACAACAATCAAAGTATCACAAAGCAAAGATCACTGGAGAATAAGAGGAAGAAGAAACTGAGCAAAAACAATATGTTTTCCTTCGGTAAACATAACAATCAAAGTATCACATTTGTACCTCCTGTGTCCAAAGTGCATCTTTATAAGACATTCATTCGTACATGATTGATAATCGTTGCAGGGATGCGCGCTGCCCTTTTTTGCCCACGTCAGCGGAAACTTGATTTTCATAAAGTTGCCTCCCCTCCCGGGGATAGTACAGGGTCAGGGGTGGCGGCGCAGGAGGTAAAACATTGCATTACCGATTCAGACCCTCTAGCGCGGATTAATTGGATTATTTATGAGATGTAATGGCAAAGTTGAGGACGTAACCATTTCCATGGGGAATACGCTGACGGAGACATTTCAAGTGCTTGACTTTTTAATTCGTTAATCTTTAACGTCTTTTTCTTCTTCTGACATCTATTATTTAGAGTGCTAGTTCTATACAACCACTTTACGCCACATTGAAATCCATTTAATTTCTGATGACGATAGATGTCATTGTTAACGGTCTGGCCTAAAGTTATAATATGTAACATTAGGGCGATTCAAAAAGTAAATTTTCTGGTCATTTCTTAACAACGTAAGTTGAATCAACCCTAGCTAGCTACTCCATTGCAAATAAGGAGTGCATGGAATGGAGGTGCCAAAATATGATGCCTTACGAGTGTGTTTAAGATATGGAAACACAGCTGTTAGCCATGTTTGTTCTAACTTGTAACTCTAAATATTAGAAATATAAGATAATTGCATAAATATGCATAAAAAGTGGAAGTAATAAATGGCAATCACGTGGAGATTTTTTTTCTACTACGATGTTTCAACTTTTGGTGCAAAAATGTTACACAATGCCCCTTTGACGTATCTTTAGCTGAACGCCCATTCTCCACACCTTACCTGTTTGCATGGCATGTCAGAGCCCTGGTCGCCAGTGCCGTCCGTCTAACTCTGGCCACGGTCTTACTCTCGTCTGGCATCTGAACATATCACACTAGTAACGACGGTGGTGATGTACACATTCCAGGTCCAGCTTCTCGATGTCTGTCCTTTGTAATTGTCAAGACTTCAGTGACAATTGGTCCGCTTCAGAATCTGCACTGTTGGAGTAGTCCTGCGGGTCGGAGAAAACGGTCTTGTCTCACAGCTCCGTCGTTATAGCAGGGCAGTTCTCGCCATTTCGTTGTCCTCACTTCCCTTTGATCTCGTATGTCGTACAATGGGCATGCGTTAATGACGTCTCGGCAACTGGCATTCTAACAGGGACACATCGAATCGCAAATCGAACGGACGTTCTTTCGAAGAAATAAAATCGAACAAAAGATCCTGTTCTTTCGAATCCCAGGCTCGGTGTCTTCTTCTTTACTCCTCCTTCCGAAAGAACGATGTGTGAACGAGTCGGAAGACGAATGCGGTGAAAGGTTGTTCAGGTCCGGACGGTTGTTTTCAGCACTTGGCGTCTGTCGTAATTTGGCGGCTGGCTGCGAACCCGAGCCGCCGGATACCTGCAGGTGCACAGAAATTCGATCAGAGCGCTCACGGTATAATTCAATAATCCTCATTCGTGCACTCAGTATGCAAGCCGCGCCGTCAGCTGAATACGTGAGTGACTCTGGAGGTTAGTTTGTCAGCTGCCGTTCACCGATGGCCGTGACTCGGCGCGACCTGGGTCATAAACCACCTCCTCTGGCTAACCCCCCCACCCCGGGTCTATACTGCAGGGCGTGTGGTGCTGAATATATGAGTACAGATACCGGCTAAAGATAGTCCGTACTTAGGGGCAACAGGGCGGCAGCCTATAAGCCTTTCCTGTGGTTATCTCAAGTCTTTGCGGTATATCCTTTTCAGACCTGTTACACGAGATAGCGACGTTCCGGAAAGTTCCGCATTAAGGCAGCACACACGGGAGATATGTGCATTCTGTAGCCGTTATATAAACCTTACAAAAGACGTCTACTCTTTTTGTCCTTCTGTATAAATCCTGGACTAGACAGACACAAATAACAAATAGGTGTGCCACGGTGATGCATTTGTAGCAAAGCTAGACTCAGTTTTTTTTGTTTTGTTCCTTGCATTGAAGTACGACTTCCCAAGCTACTACTGTAAGAATCTCTGGCGTAGTTTTAAGATGAAGAAGATATATAGCGGGAGAACGAACGCCGAAGGTTTGCATTTTGCATTCGTACTAAGAGCTTGTAAAAAGTTGACTTACGTCTCCGCCTGAACAGAAAGAAAGATTTTATCTCTAGTCGTAAATCGGAGGTCCGAAGTGTGCAGTCTGCAGTCGTATGACGAATGGAACATGGAAATGGGGAGCCTGGGGTTCAAGTAAGTCCTCCCCCCCTAGAAAGCACTGCACCGATACAACATGTACATGTATTTATAAGCAGGGTCTATCAAAATCAATGTTATGTTTTCGGTTTTAGTCCTGCCTAAGGTAGGGTCGGTAGGTAGGTAGGGATTTTAAAATTCTTGAAATATTTTTTTAGATGTCAGCTAAAATGATCCAACAAGTAGAGTTAAGCAATTAAGGGTCTCAAGGACCCGATTTAGAGAAAAAAAATCTGAAAATGCGTTAAAAATGGCGTTTCCGATGTCAGGGGTTGTGGAATTGAGAATTGTCCGATCGAAAAATCGTATTGCCTTACCAGAGGTCGATCAAAAAAGCTTGGGTCGGTCAGGAAACCAGAAACACAATTTTCGTCATAGGCCTAAACACAGTTTCGTGTAATGCGTACAGCTTACATGGCAGTTTCCACAGGTTGCACTATATTAACGTGGACATATACCATGCCTGTATAATTTACGTGAGGCCGTTGAACTGTAAGTAGATCTAAGTAATTCCAGAAAGTGATCGTAAAAATTTTATGACCTGCCACGTCGGGCTAGGGTAGACGGTAGGACATGACTGGGATGATTTTATGGACCGGTTATGGATGCTGGGTGGATCTACATCGCTAATTAGGGAGCCTTATGGGTCGTCAGAGAGTCGCTATTATAGCAACACTTAAGTTCACATAAAGACGGGTTATACTGGCGGCTCTCTGGAGGGGGCATCGACCTCTGTCCGGAAGATCGTTACTGGTTTATCAAGTTCAGCTACGCCAAAAAACACTGGGTATTTTTCTTTCCAACATATATCACAAGACATGGCGCACTTTTGGCACACTCGTGTTTTATTCCGTCACCAACGCAGACAAACGCACGGACAACGGGCAGAGGAAAGTCGTTTTAAGTGCCTTTCCCAAGGGCACTAGATCGGTGGCATGGCAGGATTCGAACTCAGGACATCTTGATTCCGAGCCGAACGCTCTTTCGTTATGCCTCACGACCCCACATTGGGTATTTACTTTACATCTAATCGGCAAAGCCTCTCCTTTGCCAGTCTTCTTGCGGATTTATAATGACATGCCTTGTTTAATTTTCTATATGCAACTTTTGCACTAATCGTGGTCTATGGTAGTGCCTATGGTATTACATTGAAAAATGTTGTGCGTTAAAGACGATCTCTTTAAATGTTGCGAGTCGCAACCAGGCCTAGCCTAAGGAATGAGTCTTTCAAACTATTGCAACAGTAAATGGTGGAATAAAGTAGTTGAGAACTTTTCCATGCCAGAGCTACCGTAACGGTATATTATCCCGATATGAATATTAAAGTCACGTAAGGCAATAATCACAGTTAGGAGGTGCGTTTGTAAGAAACGTGCCGCGTAACGTCGTAAGGCATAAATGATCACCTTGTTAGTTTCCTGCGACTTACTCAGTCCATTAATGTCTTCATCTGATCTATTGCCTCTCTCATTATCTCAAGATGAAGCGAACTATTCCTCTTAAAACCAGAACAGGAAGGGTCTAAGATAGAGGAGTTGACAGGCGTCTTGGGTAAGTTGTAGCCTACTTTATGAAGCCTATAGCTCGTCTTTTAACAGATAGTTTTATTTTTTGACGAACGTCTCTCTCATTATCACAGGATGAAGCAAGCTATTCGTCTTCAAACCAGAACAGGAAGGGTCTAAGATATAAGAAAAGTTGACAGGCGTCTTGGACAAGTTATAGCCTACTTGATGTAGCGTATAACTCAGTTTTATTTTTGAGTTGTAAAAATCGCCTCTCCAAGACGAATGCCTCTCTCATTATCACAAGGTGAAGCGAGCTATTT